TTACTGATAACAATGACGTGCTTTATAACATTATAACGACCAACTATATAAATACCTATATATGGTTTTATATATAGTAGACAATTGTGATCTCTGATATTATGAAATAGCTGCTGTACATATTATATACTTATTAAACATTTACATAAATTTATACACATTGTATTATACCTATACCTAATGTATATAATATAATATACAATAATACTGCTGGTGTTGTGGTGGGAGTGGGGGGGGTTACAGGTACGCACGCAATAAGTTATTATAATTATGGTTATAGTTGGTGCCATGGTAGGTACCTACTGCGTAGCGACAAGTTATTGTTTTCAATGCACATAATGCCACGGAAATATACTTGTAGGTACTGTTATCAATTGCGTACAAAATAATATTGAATCGATTAGTTGTTATATTATGCCTACAATTTACACACGAGTATAATAATCTATTCTATATAATTATGTAGAATGTTATAACATGTTGAATATATTAAAATGTTGTGTGATGTGTATGATTTATCGTTCGGGTTATATATACCGTGATGTACCCAATCACGAGAACCACAACAGTCGAAATCGTAAGTTCAAAACCTATATTCAGGCACCAAAAAGAAAAATAAGTCTGCCCCGATGAGAGGTATTCAGTTAAAATTTCCAGTAGGTAGTACAAATATCCAAAAAATAAAGACATTCTAGTTTATGTCCCAACAGTAATTTAAATGTCCAAAAATTCTAGTCTAAAATTTAAGCAGATAGAACATTAGTTGATGTGCAAATTAGATATAATATTTAAATAAAAATATTAATATCCTTGCAGTAAGAGTATAAATGCTTTAAAATGTTTTTCAAACAATATTATTTAAAAAAAAAAAACTAAAACACTTAAATATATTATTTTCGTAATGCTATTAATGGTTTTTTTTGGTGAAGTCCGTGTCAATTTGATTCGTATAGTTGCCTTGCTATATTAAATTCATTATATTTAATATTCACCGGGAACTTCACTATTTCTATAGTAAAAATTCAATAATATTATTATGCGTCACATATGATGCATAAGTATTATGCGTATCCCTAATAAATAATTCAAATGAAAAACACTTTTGTATTGTTTATTATTATTTTTTTCATGGATGTTTTAAATACTTCCCCTCGTAGAGTCTTTATGAATAATAATAATAACAATATAATTGTAGTGTGTGAAAGTTGATTGGGGGAGGAGGGAGACGATTCACTTAATAAATAAACTTTTCTCGGGCACGACCCGCCTAAAGTCTGCGCACGCCTATGACTGTAGGTATCATGTTAATAACTCCTAGCATATCATACTCTTTATAAGAATCCAACGGTTGGGATAGCGTATACCTTATATAATGCAATGATAAGCAATTTATTATCACCATAGTGGTTGTTCTCAAATCAGGAGTGTAGAGAATATAAGAGAGTGATAAATCCCTCCATTTTTTTTTTTTTTTTTTTTTGTTATAGAGGTAGTATTAGGTTATAGAGGCTATTCATTAACAATATTCGTTCGTTTATTTTCTCTCCCTTTAAAAAATCAAGAAATAGCCAACGCTGAGTCAGCAGAATAATAAAAAACGTTGAATAGAGAGTAAAAATAAATGCATGTGTGTGATTGTGGACGACATGCGATTTATGAATTTATAATTTACAAAAACGAAATCGATAAAAAAAAAAAAAAAAAATTATTATAAAATATAAATCCATGTTACACTGCAGTTGAATTTTTCTGGCAATTGTTCGGCGATTACCACAGCGGAATAATATAACCATTTATAATTTTATAATATAGTTTCTACTTTTTTTAAATGTCACATATTTAATTTAATATTATTACATTTTCATGTTCGGAACGACTACAGGTCAATGTTTTTAATACCAGGAATATTTTTCGACTTCTGACGTCATCATCGTATTAGATAACTTACAACGTGTTTGTAAACGTGAAAATTATTTTATACACTAAAAATAATTAACTAATGAACCCATGGTTTGGAATGATGCCGTGGTAAGGAAACCGGACTCAGTGAACTTAAAAGTGGCAGTTGAATGTAGATCAACTGGAAAGAGATACCAAGAGGACAATCTAAGGGCAAAGAAATGGTTGAATGGATGGATATGGACGGGGTGAAACTAGACCTGGGGAAATTATGAGTAGTTAGTAAATTGGTAAAACAGAGCACGTCATATTAGTGAGAAGTTGAAAAACAGTGTAGTGACAGTTATAACTTGAAGATTTACGATCCCGGGATTATTATAGTAAAATAGTCGTTCAATAATTTCAATAATTAAACACACGTAATATACTTCAGCGTTGTATTATAATGAACTATTGTTGGTATACCGAAATTTTATTATTATGTAGAAATAACATTATTTTCCAAGTGTTACACAGCTGCTGGCTTTTGCGATTCGCATATAAATGTATATGCGACGATACGATGTGTCAAAAAAAAAAAAAAAAAACATGCAATTATATAAATAGCTCTATATTATATTAGTTGTCAAATCCACGTGCCATCAATCCAACACTCTTTGCTAAACTAATATAGAATTCGCAGCACTGCCAATATATAAAAAATATACATATATCAAGTGTATACATTTTCAATATCGAATAATAGTTTTTAGTTCTATAAACTGACTCCTCCTCCTCTTTAATTTTATTTTTTCATCCGAGTGCCAAATTTAAATCTACAGTTCCTATAGGTATAATAAATACGTGTATTTATGAGTCTATCTGATTTATGTATGGATAATGTATATTATATATACGCTTATTATGTTACATTATATTCACATGTAATAATGTTTTAAATATTTTATAAAATAAATGCTATTATTCTTATATATAATCTACATAATGTTATATTTTACGAGTATATTATATTCGTCTGGCAACACTGCGTGATGCATGAAACATTACTGTAACATAAATAATTATAATTTACATTAAAACATCTTGTAGTAGAGTACTTATTAATATATTTTTTCACATGTGTATGCTGTGCCACACCCACAAAATGAGGGGTAGGTATTACGTATAGTATTAAAATAATTTCTCAGGATCGTCGCGAATATAATAACGTAATTAATACTGCACATTTATCCAGTCACAGAAGTGGATATTAAACTATTCCCACCAGTATAAATTGTTTTTTAGTTACACCCAAGTACATGTACAAGGGAGGGTTCAACCCCCTCCCCTGAAATTTATGATAATTACGATGAAAGTAGATTTTTTATAGAGTCTCAAAAATTGTTTCTGTCAATGAGGAAGATAAATACAATTTCGGTTTTATTTTTATTTTATTACTAGATAATAGATTGTTATTAATCTAGCACTCTCTAAAATTAAATAATTTTTAAACATAAAAATGAATTACGAATATAAATAAATTGCATATACCATTATAGCTGATTTAATCACCGTCGTCCATTTCTATTAAACACTATGCATTCGTACATCATAAAGTATAATTTCTTTCGGAATTTTAGCTCGTATACGGGATTTTAGATTTGACACTTTATCTGTTTACAAAAAACAAGTTTATAAATTGTGAAATGAAAAAAGAGGTTTTTATTTTATTTGTTTTGCACATGTTTGAGTTGATTTTTATTTTTGTTCTTACAGTTATAGTATGTAACATACTTGATAGCCTACGTGTTTTCCGTTAGCCTACATAAATATAAGTTTTACTTTTCAAAAATGGAACATTATATGAACCAATAAAAATATAAAATTTAGCGAAATGTAGTAGTATTTTTTAAACGTTTTTATGTGTTTTTAAGTTTAAATATATACGAAAATGTTATATTTATAATATTAATTCGTATATTGACAAAAATCGTAAAAATCATGGCATTTTAAAACATGTACAACCGAACTTCGTTTAGAAACGTATTTCGTTAGCAATGATTTATCGTTGTATGCAGATGTAAATGAAATAACCTTATGTATCCTACCTTCCCAAATTTCCTACAACAGTAGTTCACCCATCAGCAGCAACCAAAAGCTTCTTCACTCCACTTAGAATCTAAAATAAAAGTTATAACGTGTAATTTATGATAGGACTATTTTCAAATTTTATCCTTTATTTAATAATTTGCCATTAAGGTATGGGACCCAAAAAATTTAAAATCACCGACCCCCCCCCTTCATGTTTTATCAAAACCGCCAATGAACGCGCCACAAGGAACAACCATCAAAGTGGCGTCTAACGCCACCTAGACCCTGACCAAGGCGGCAGATTATATATAAGACGACAAGGATCCGACGAAGGTACAGCTCAGTCAGCAAGAAAGTATATGTTATTTATATGGAACGTATATGCAGTGACGTACTCCGGGATTTTTAAAAGGGGTGAGAGGAACCATAAAAATAAAAGTAATAATATGTTACAACGTAGGTATTATTGTTAAATCTTCAATTTTTTTTTATAATAAATTAATAACAACTCTCATGTTTCGCAAAGCACATAATTCGTATGATCGTATACTCTCTATCATAATGAAATTATAAAATATTAATATTATAATTATTATTTTAATTTTTAGTTGATTACGAAAACATAAGTTATTTACTATTTTATACCCTCCATTAAAACATTAGATTAGACAACGCACTTGAGGACATTACACTTATATCTAATAATGGTATGGTATTATTACTTATATAGTATACCCTCTACTTTTTTTACGATTACAGCACTGTGTACAAACTCAGAACTCCGTTCAGAATCGTTTTTTGTTAAAAATCGATCGATACGATTCATTGTGACTTACGTTCAATTTCTCTCTATATCCTACCTCCGCGACTTCTCACACTTACAACAGTGGCCTGCCCATTGTGCAAAGCATGTCAGTCTTTTTTTTTGTTTTTAATTCGTATAGTCTCCGTGTGCAACTCCACAGCGTGTGTACGCGTATTATATTATAATATTATTTTGTCGTATAACGAACTCATTACGATATTCGACAGTCAGTCGGCACTGGGCAGTTGGACGCGCGCGCGCGTGTGTTTGAGTGTGTGTGTGTGTGTGTCCGCACGGTCCCCAGCCGCTACTGTCACTTTACGGAACGCTGCGCGCCAATCACACATGTATCGTTACGATAATAAAACACATTGTGTTATTATTATAATGTCGTAACGTTCGTTTCGCGTTTGAATTTGTATTCGTGAGACAATATTAACATTATAATAACATTCGCGGCGGCCGCGCGACGCACGTGCGATTGTGCGGTAAAAATATCTGGCAGTTTTATCATCGTGCGGATGCAACGAAATGTAAACAGAATTTTAATTTTCGCGTAGTTAGTACACCGGTACACGCGACCGACCGACAGCTATACCTAATAGAAGTACAATAGGCCTGCGGGAGTCTGTCCCGGTGAGTACCCATAATATATTAAAGCATATCAGTATTATACTTACCTATTAAAATACATTAATCTTCTTTCTCGGTTTTTAAAGACCAGGGAGCCCATGTATCGCAACACTATACCTGCAGCTTCCGTCTATATACTAGGTAGCTATCCCAATCCCGAGCTAACAGTGGCGCTCAACTAATTTTTTGTATGTGTAGCAATAAGCATTAATTTATACCCACCTACTTCTACACGGTATTAAATTTAATACCCCAACACCAACTACCAATTTTTTAAACTATATAATATTATTTTCATAAAATATATAATTTCCTGAATAATGTTTACATTTTTGTATCATTTAATATTTGAATGCGTAAATAAATTCTTAAATTAAATTTTTAATTAGCATAAGTAGAAATTGTTCATATAATCATTAGAAACCGATATATTGACATTTGAAATTGACAGGAATATATTTGTTTTATCGTTGATTTTAGAATATACTTTTAATATATTCTAAAATAGTTTTACTGTGATGCAGGGTCTAAAATACATCTGATTTCAGAGGACACATTTTTTGATTCAATTGTTACCTTTAACAGATTCTCATACCAAAAAAAGAAAAATTAGGGGGTTGTAGCGCCCAAAATTTTGGAACGAATGCAGTTTAGCTCTCAAGCGATTTTTTAGAATATTTTTTCCAAATGTGTGTTTTACATGTTTAGTTTGATGGTACTTTCAAAAAAAGTCTCTCAAACTTCATTTGGTAGTTATGGTGAAAAACCTTCAAAATGCTCGATTTTTCCAAAAGTCGTGTTTTTGAGTTTAGGATACCAAAAAATGTATATTTTTGGATTATTTTTTTTAAAAAGCTAGTAATTATGTGCTTAACATTTTGGTGAAATCAGAGTTCATTTATACTATATATCTACTTACTTTTTATGTTATTGTTAATAAACTACGTAAAACCTAATTATAATATTATTTCAATCATTTGCATATTAAAGTAAATCAAAATTGATATTTTGGACTTTTTTTTCATACAGTGTGTAACACTAAATGAAATAAAATTGAATATATGAATCAAATAAATGAATAACATAAAGAAGTTTTTGGTGAAATTAGAACTAACTAATATTTTTTTGATTTGGAAGACATAGTAGAAAAATGCATCTTTTCTTTTTTTCTTTTCTTTTTCACCTTTGGAAAAAATATAGTTTATTTAATACTATTTTATTAATTTTTACTTACTGATTAATTCTGATTTCACCAAAAACTTCTTTATGTTATTACACACCGAATGAGAATAAAAAGTCCAAAAAATCAATTTTGATTTATTTTATTATGCAAATGGTTGAAATAACAGTATAATTAGGTTTTACGTGGTTTATTAAATATTAACAATAACATAAAAATTAAGTACGATAGGTGAATTCTGATTCCACCAAAATATCAAGCATATAATTATTACCATTTCTAAAAAACATACTCCAAAAATATAAATTTTTGTTATTTAAACTCAAAAACACTATATTTTAGAAAAATCGAGCGTTTTGAAGTTTTTTGACCATAATTTCCAAATTATCCGGAATATGAGATTACATGAATGCGTCCCAATAAAAAGCTATCATTTTTTCAACGTATCTCGAATGCGTCCCAGTTAATTTAGAATTATCCAGGGTGCACCACGAGGAGGTGAACTGACTTAAACCTGAAAAATATTAGATTATTTTGTTATCTATTACACCCATTTTGGTTGATTGAGTGTTATATAAAATAGATACAGAATACATAGTCTTTAGAGTAGGTACTTATATTATTTAAATTTGTTAGCACATGAAAACATAACAATTTTTACATTTTTTTTTTAAATCTTGAAAATTACTGAAATAATTCAGTACCAGGTTACGGGAAAAATTACGGCACTACACTCATTCACTAAGTTATTACACAACTACAAGCCATACTCCATAGTCTGATTGAGTTTTATTATCGAAGTTGAAACAAAATTCAGTTTTCCCACTGATTAATTAATCAATTATTAAATTTATCAGCTTTTAAATAGGTATAAATAGGTACCTAAGGTTACATCGATTCGTACTGCGGACGCACTGCGACAATTCAAAGTAATTGTTGGATAAGACCGTGGACGCACTTGGAATATCTCCAAATATCCCCAGGACGGGCCGTCACCAAATTTATGATTTGTTTTAAATGGTTCCGATTTATAGTCAATCAAGGAACCCAAGCTTTTTTTTAATACAATTTACCATATCATTGAGATGAGTCTATTAATTCAAATAATTCTTTAATTTCGCACACAGATAGCTATTATGACTTAGGCATCCGCTAAGAACAGATTTTAGAAAATTCATCCCATAAGGCGGTAAAATAGAGGTTTTTAGGTACGAATATCTAATTGCCTATTTATTCATTTTTATTTATTCAAGGGTTACCTTATTTATACGGATGATAATTTGGTTTCCATGGAAAAGAAAACTATTATAAATATTATTATTACTATTATTTACATTATTAAAATTTCACAATAGAACACATTTAGTCCGTCGAATGTGGACTCTCCACTTTCCATCTATTTGTTTTTATTCAATTCTGACACGGTCAAAACCAAAAAAGAGCTGATATTAGGGATGAGAGCGGCCACTGTTGTATATGAGAAGTTGGGAAGGAAGCCGATAGGATACATACGGTTATTTTATTTATATCTGTAACGATAAACCATTGCTTGACGAAAGACAAATCTAAGCGCAGTTCGGTAATACTTAATTTGAAGTGCCGTAATTTTTTCTGTGATTTTCGTTTGAATTTGATTTCAAAACGCTTAATAAAAAAAAAAAAAGTCGTCCGATAATTTTGGAAATGTTAACACGTTTAGATAATTTCAATATAAGTATTATTGCCAAGTTTCAAGTCTCTACGTGTATTTACAACCAAATTACAGCAAAAAAACTCAAAAATTAAAATTCTTTAAAAGCTCAAAAGTGACTCAAAAATTTTGGCGATAATACCGTCAGAAATTAAATCAAAAAGGCAATGAAAAAAGCATCTTATGATTTTTCAATTAAATCATTTTTTCTGGTAGAAAATGACCGTGTTTTTATAAAATAATGAAATCGTGAAATTGTACGTTCTTCTACATTTTTCCCCACTTAAGTGCTTTTATTTAAAAAATGGCGTCGAAAACTAAAAAAATTGCCTGTTTAAAATACAATCTAGACAACTTGAAGTTTCAGAAAAGTTTTTCTACGTAAAAGTCGGAGAAAGTTTTCTAGGAAATAACGTGTACATAGACTAGAACAAAGGAAGAAAAAAAATAGAAATAAACAGCATTGTAAAACCAATAGCTCTCTTTCGCTCGGAATCTTAAATTATATTTACGGCCGAATTAAAATGTGATGTATTATAATATAATAATTATATATTTATAAAAAATATTAAAAAATTGATTTATTAATTCATAACTTATATACTTTGGTATTTATTATAATAATATATTAACTTAATTATTTTTTATACAAAATTGATCCCTCTCTATAAAAAAAATTTGAAAATACGCCATTGGCAGGGCGTTCTAAGGTCGTGGCAAGCGGGGTCCTCGCCCCGAGCCCCATGCGTTAGATTTCTCGTTAAGTCCCACGTGAGTTATATAAATTTATAATAAAAATACAGTGATAACAAATAAAAATATAGTATTTAAAACCAAATTGACTTATTTCAGTAAGGGAGAAATTTTTATTTAACTACAACGATTTACATAATGTAATATACAAATCTGTGGCTTGGTGCAAGAAGGGCCAATGTTAAATTATGTGATTATTGGGAAATGGACTTTGAAATTTTAATTCCCCATAAGGCTCTGTGTATTTTATTAAATGTAAATGTTTTAGATTTTAAGTGTAGCTAAGAACGTATTGGTTTTACTAAGATGTTTATTATTTTTATCCTGTGTACAAAAATTCGACCATTAATCATGCTTAGATATATACGCGTAGTACCATTTCTAAAAATAAATGTTGTCTAGATGGTATTTTTGGGAGGTCATTTTTTGATTTTCCAAGCGGTTATGATAATATCTGGAGAAAACCAGGATAAAACGTAAGAAAAACGGGAAATTTACAAAAATAATGCTTTTCTTATTTTAAAACTATTTATTTGTTGTAATTCATTTAAAAATATATAGTTACACCACACCATTTATAGTGTATTAAACAAATTATCACTACAATATTATTATTATCAAGCCATTTCCGTAGTATGATAATGAGGAATAATGGAATTTCTAAAATTAAAATTTGTACATAATAATGTGATATGTGTTTTTTTATCTGATTATTTTTGTTTTTGAATATAATTAGCATATAAATATAATATTTTTAAAATTATTTTTTTTAAATATATAAATACATTTGAGAAGACGTCATAAATTGATAAATTCAAAAAGAATTTAAAGGAATTCTTAAAATGATTTATTTAATCGTCTGAATCGTTCATTCGAACTAATTCTTTTGTGAACTGCACATCTTTACAATACGCTAAGATATTTAAAATAGACTATAATATTGTCATTATATTATAATTACTAGATTTTTAACAGACTTCTTCCGTATCTTTATTCCCTCAATATTCTAAATGTATTTTCTCTTCTCCTGTATCTTACTTACTCCTATATCCTACCCGACAAGCTTTAACCAGCAGCTCGTGCATAATAAAATAACACCAAAAATTGAAAAATAACAGTAAAAATCTAAAATACTTCAAGTATGGAAAAAAAAGTAGTATACGCTTTTATATATGGAGTCTAGTGCATACATTCTTTTAAGGCCCTGCTAAAAGAGTTATGCCCCGGACCCCACAAATTGTAAGAACTGTTCCGTTCATTGATTCATTAAGTTAAATACCATAATTACAATATAATTATTTTTTATTTTTAATACATTCGTGTCTATGATTTAAATATTTTACAACGCAAACGTCGTATTCTGAAACGATGTTATCTATTTTTAATAAATCGCGATAATGTTCCTTGCATTATTTTTTAGTAGAACATTAATTTTATTTTCTCATCATTTTTAGGCGTACGGCTGCTGCTGGTAAATATACGTATACGAGTACACGAAAAGTTGAAAATTAAACACACGTGACTTTACGCATTCTTACCCGTGTCGTGGTACTCGATTCGGAACCGTTTTCTCTGCAATAAGTATATTACTGCAGCAGTCTTTTTCTTCTTCCGTAGAGATATTCGCCTACTTTTATATCATTACACGCGCAAGTGGAATCGGTTACCTACACTCTTAAGTAATATTATTCTCGTATTTCATTCACTGGGTATTATTATACGAGTGTATCGTTTATAAACCTGCGAAAATTCACACCATGAAACCGACGAAACACTTCTCTTATTACGGTGAGTATATTACTTATTTACCTAATACTTTTATTTTGCCTATAAATCGGCCACATTATACACTGTGTACACTGTATGGAGTGCAACTTTTAATAGCTTAATTGGTAAAGTTAAGGAAATACAGGATGGCTGTACATATATAAAACTCAAGATTTTAATTTGTTTTACCTGTTATTTATTTAGAGTTGCCTCAAGAGATTACAATTTTAAGATTTTAGGTGAAAATTTACATTTTTTTATTTATGTAGGGAATCGTTACACACAATGATGGTAGAATGGTTGTAGTATTTAAAGTTATCGATATATCTTTACTGATATTGGTAAATTGATAAATGGTTATAACAGAACAAATAAATACTATTGAGGGGTGTGAAAAAATAGAAAACAAAAACTACTGTGTGTAATATTATAGCGATGAAAGAGATGCAGCCAGCGAAGTGATTCGAAATGTTAACTTTTGCTACACCCTATATAATATATATTATGTTGTTATTATAATTATTATCACCAGACGGTGTCATATCTCGGCATGTATAAAACTGTGACAAAGAATTTTTTTTTGGTCTCATGCCCTCTTGAATTGAACGTCGTTATTTCTTTTCTCTTGGCTTGGATTTAATATTATTATACTGTTGCAGTATAATACACGTAATAATAATAATCAGTATGAGCTCAATAATTTCTTAACTAAAATATTTTTTTTTAGTATACCGAAGTAATAATGTCCGAGAGACGATTTTGTAAACAATATTATGCATTATATAATCTAAGTAGATAATATTACATACAATTATTTGTGTGATGTATAGTTTGTTCATATAGCAGGATTTAACTTAAAATCTAAATTTAAAGTGAATGATTCGATGACATTTTCTTTAAAATTGTTTTTTTAAATTTCTGTGAGGGAGGAGTAAAGGATCGATCGCCCCCCTCCCCTTGTGCCACTGTTTTTATTTAATTTTTTTAAATTCTAATATCACCGTACTAGTAATATGTATTTAAGATACACTAAATAATGAAAAATTTTAGTAGGTTTTCAGCGTTATGCAGGCGTATTCTCCCTAGATTTTTATCCAGTTATACTACTGCTACAATAGATAAAGATATTGTCATCAGACCTCTCCTGCGCAGGGCTGAAAGTAACACAAAATTACAAAAGGTACTGCGTGATCTTTAAGTATTCCTCGAATCTAGTATCTTTTTAAATAGATTATGTTAAAGAGGACACCTTTTAATAAGCACGATCTGAGATATATGTCCCTTATCACTTTAGTCCCTGGACCTGTGAGTTTATTCGATTTTCTTTACATGAAAATACATATATGTATGTATTCAAATACAAAATTTATCCTTAACGAATAAATACAACTAACAACAATCAAAATTTAAAATAGCTTGTTAAAATATAATATATTCAACAATTTCCTTTTCTAGCCGTTTACAGTGCATATTATATGAAAATACCGTTATTGATCAAAGTGAAAAAAGGCTTAAGTGAATTTTCAATTATATAACAAGTAATTAAATTTTGGAAATTGCTGAATAAAATAAGGCATAATTACTGAACGGCTAAATTGCTAAATAGTCTAACTTAAGTAAGGCATTATAATAATATATTGTTAGTAATAATAGTTTATAAATATATGACGCATGTTTTTTTACCAAACAAAAAGTATATAATAGTGACTTAAGATATATTGATATGCAGCATAAGATTTGTTAGAATAATTAACAATTATGATATTAAGGGGAAAAAATTGCATAAATATACGTGTATAAAATAAAATTATTAAAAAAATACCAAACATTGACTTAAGCTCCTCTTTCCTGGGACTAAAGATATTACAGCCGGCGATGCAATTAATAATTCGCTACTTGGATGAAATATCGCCAAAAGTTTTCATTTACTGTACAGTATTTCACTAAATCTATTCGATAACCAGTAACTGTAGACCGTTAATGTACGAATAGTTATTAATATTTGTTTGGCAATTTCGGCAACCTAGTTGTCTAAAAGTACATTCGGTTATCAAACAATTGTAACAGTAAATTATCCATCCAAAACAGTTTGTTCACTAAATTATTATAATTTCTTGGTAGTAACTATAGTACCGCCAAATTACGACTATTATCGCGTTGTATATAATTGAATTATTATACAAAACGCCCAGACATTGACTCGTGTTGCAATTAACTGTTACAGTTATTTGTTTTATTTTTTTTTTTATTATTTATATTTGAGGAAAAAAAATATTACATTTATATTACGACATAATAATAACGTAGTGTATTATATAATAATATAATAATATATACTTACAATCTCTGTAAAAATATACATTTTAAATTTATCTCATCGTATAGTACTATAGTATTATACCTATACTACTATATTATTTTTTAAGTGCATTTTGGACGCTATCGCGGGTTGAAGATACAACAATATCATATTATATCGAATAAATAATGTATAGTAAATATGTATATATATTATACCAACGGATGTTTACACTGTAATACATATATAAATAGTATTACACAACGTCTCGGACAGATAAATACAGTAAATATTATTATCGCGCTCGTCGATTATCGCAAAAAATTGTAAAAAAAATAAAATTGTTTACATCTGCATTGAGTGTAAGCAGGGCCGGATTTAGGAATGTGGAGGCCCTGGGCTCACCTTAGAAGTATATATTTTCGATAACATATATTTAATATTGTAATATATTATTAAAACTTTATAAGTGAATTTAATTTAATAATAGGTATATTAACATTTACCGAAAAACAATATTTAATTATAAATAAAATTATGGTTTAAAAATATTTATATTATAATGCCAAAATAATAATAACAAAAAAAAAATGTAATACAATAAGAGTAGGTAGTAAATTATGTTCATTAAATATATATTTACTAACTAGTACTGTCACTATATATTTATATCGTATATCTACATATTACATAGTCTATAATAATAATATTAATATAATACTAAATAGTATATAATTAATAATAATTTTTATTATATTGCAACTTTGCGAGATTTCGTCGTTGCAAATTTTTCAACTACTTGAGAAAAATCCAATGCTTTAAGTATTTCACTTTCTATACTTAAAGTGCAAGGGTTGATAGTCGACTTTGTGTCATCGAAGTTCGTAGTCGATTTTTTATCAACTTCATTTTTGAAAACGATCGTTCCCCACTGCAGTTAGNTATAAAAATATTTCCCATTGCTCATTATCTTTACGCGTTTCTACATATATTTTGACAAATGAACTGAACTGTATGAATTCATTACCAAGTGAAGATTTCAAATCATTGGGGTAAATGCTAACAAGATAATTTGCAGCAGATTGTAGCTCAGAAGTTTCTAATTTTTCAAATGTATTTAAAAAACCAAAACGTTGACAAATTGTTTCGTAAGCAGTTACTCTTTCGGTTAATGATACTGTCAATTGATCAATTACTGATATGAAGCTTTCTGATCTGAATTTTTCTCTTGGTAATAACTGAGTTGAGGCTGTTTGATTATTATTTAATGAACTGAGTCTAACATTTTTTTTCCGATTATGAATTGGCGCATAATCTTTTAATCCTGACATGTCTTTTGCCTTTTCTTTGTATACTTCATATTTGTTTCGTATTTCTCGAACAAATGATAAAAGTGAATTAAGAGCATTTACAGCAGTTTGAAGAACTATTTTTGGGTCTTGTAAAATATGATTTGTTGAATCAAACCTCTCTAAAATATCATTCCAAAAAATTGCATAAAATGCCACTTCAAATTGACACATTGATTCGTAAAGTTTTTTAGATTGGATATTAACAATGTCTTTTTGATCAAGATCGTTTGAAATTTCTACCAAAGCTTCTTTTATATAATCATAACCAAATACAACAGCTTTTGTTGCGTCTGCCCGATATGACCAACGGGTTTCGTTCAAATTCTTTAAAACGTAAACACGTTTATTTTTTATCTATGCAACCTTTTTTTTTTTAAAAAAAAAGTGCATAACGTGCATAACATCAATGTTAAATATAATCTTTATCTACGTTATTGCATGTTTTTATATAAAACCTATTCGGCACGTATTTATCAACAGCGGTCGGGCGGCTTGCTATACAAATAATATGTGTTTATTTATAACTGATTGTCTCAAAATTTAAAACCATATCAAATTAGAAATATTATTTAGTTGGCCTTATCGCTTATCCTACTCTACGAGACATAATAATCTATTTTAAATTACTTTAATCATTTTACTATATAAAATATNAACATTATACATTATACATTACACTTGGATGCAAAAAAGTCCCATTAAGTGGGGGGCCCTCATTTTGTGGAGGCCCGGGGTCCAGGGCCCCCTGGGCCCCCCTTAATCCGGCCCTGAGTGTAAGTATATTATAATAATATACGATTCTTCTTTCGTACGTATAATACTATAATGCTTAATGTATACTTTTGATCAGGTTTTTATTTTTTCTTATATTATGCAAATTATTTTTATTATCTTTGAAAAGATGAAAATAATATTTGTATATTCATTCCGGTTTCAAATGAGTGGTTTTTAAATCGTTTTATTTGTTTTCGCGAGTCGCGGTTCAAACCCGAAAAATCATCGCCGCCATGTATATAATATGAACAATTTCGTTAAAAGGACATGATTATTAATATATTTTTTTTAAAACTTATTACAAAAAACTACCGTCCTATAATTTATACCATACAACTATTTTGCTTCGAAATATTAGAAACAACATATCGTCCCGTGTACCAGATTTATATATATTTTATTTGAATATGTGTGGACTGTAGGTAATTAGGTATGCCCTCATCGATAAATATCAATCTGTGGTCGGATTACAGCTTGGATTTTCGATTTTCGAACCGTTTGTATTGCTCGGTATGTAAAACATCAAACATCAATCATTATAAATATTTCTAGTGCAAGTTACATAAATTATTATATTTTATCTAATAAAATGGGTCTCTGTAGCAGTTAGCTAGTTAACGTGTGCTGTGAGCCAAATCCAAAACGTGGTCATATTATACTTGATAACGATATAAATATTTTATAGTAATTACTGGACTGATTTTTAGATTCTAAAGAGTACAAAGGAGAATTAATTTTACAAAAATGTATTTTTTTTTTGTCACTGAAAACCTTAAATCTTTAACTTTAAATGATACAGATTTTTTTGTCTGGTATTTCATTTGAACATTTCAAATTTTCTAAAACTTTTTACATACAATTCTTTTTTATGTTTTTTATTGCTCTATTTTTTTCACTCATTATCTACCTACCTCAACAAATGCAGAAATTGTAAAGTACGTTCTATGTTATTTGCAAACATTTTTCAAAATGGTCAGTTTTTCATCCCTTAGCACTTTTTTTGTTGGTTTCTTCAGTGTCGCAAGCATAGATAAAGTTATAATCTGTTCCAAAATTTGTTGTTTTTTTTATAAATTATACTTAGTACAATGTATTTGCATAATTTGAGTAAAGGTACAATTTCAGAGATTTCCTTGTAATTTTAAACAACTCACTTCACTAGTAAGTTATCATCTCGAAAAGCTATCCAGAAATTTGTTCAAAATCAGCCCCCAAAATAAATTGTGTGTACTACGATACACCTTCTGTAATACGAAAAGTGAAGTGTGTTATTCAAATTAAACCTTTATAATATTATGTATGATTTTATAGCTTCACATTTTTTGTTTTTATTTTAATGATTTTTTGTCAAACTACATTTTAAATATTATCTATATTATAGATAGGCACACAGTAAACTATATTTTGTGTTGTTATTTATTTGTTATTAGTATTCAATGTTAAATTGTGTAGCTATTTTTATTTTTATCAGCTTGGTCGGTAGTAAACGATGGTGGTAGCATACTAGTGTTTATCTAGGAATAACCCGCATACGACACTGCTATAGCCGTCACTGTTGGTATTATTATTAGGGTTCGGATGTTTATGAAATTGCATATTTTTTCTGTTTGTCTAATTCAATGCTGACCCGGATACAAATTTGATTTTTGTTCTACTGAATCAAATAATACTATTTTTACTTTACATATTTTTACATATTTTATGGTTTTGTATTTTAAATGCATATTTTGAGATTTTAAGAATATAAATGCATAATTCAGTACATTTCCGAACTTTTTTAAAAACAATATAAATCAATAACGAAATATAAAGCAAAAAAGCATAAACCCAACTAAGGGGTTACTAGGGGGTCTTTAGCACTCTCAAAAATACCTAATGTGTTTTTTTATAGTATCGGCTAAATCTGTAAGCAACGATAAACCATTGCTAACGAAAAAAACGATTCTGAGCTTAATAATATTGCTTTGTCAACAATACAATATATAGTATTATGTCATATTATGGTAAAATGATTAAAACAACGTGCGTTTCCATGATAACAATGATAGTAAATATATATAAAATAAATATAGATATATATATATATAAAATAATAAAAACTTAATAATAACAAAAAATAAATAAAACCGGTAACCAATGATAACTTTATTTTTAATCTTTCAATTTGTTTTTAACCTAATGACCAAGGTTTTCATCATTATCTCGAATATTAATGAGAATTTCAAAAAAAACCCTGTACAAAGTACTACCTAGAGAAAATTTCCTTTCAAAAAAGGTGCTGTATATGATAATCGAAGTATGATTTCTGGTAGTAAAAGAGTTCACATAAAGAAAAAAAAATAAACATCATTGTAAAACCAATACATTCCTCGTTTCACTCAGAATCTAAAATAATTACTAAACAAATTACAAACAAAAATAAAATACTTAGAGTGAAATCAATTTTTTTATTGCATATTTTGGTTTTTTAATTTTTAGTGCATAATTTGATTACATATTTGGTAATTTTATAGTTCATAAATGCATACATATTGCAGTTATTTTAAGTGCATAAACATCCGAACCCTAATTATTATTGTAACTTAATATTAACCAAATACTATACAATATATTTTAGTCGCAGCTATTTTTGTACGTCTATACGGTCATGCTATTATCGCTATTCTGATATTTTCTTATAGTTAACTAATTTAGATTTAAGTAATAGTTTTTTTTATTTCTACGTTTTATACCACGAACTTAACAATGGACACATTTCTAATAAAATTAAATGGCAACTACTACCTTATTGTAAGATCCAATATCGTGGTACCTCTATTTAATAAACTTCTATTAACGAAACTCTATATAACAATTGCTTTATAGAATCATACATTTGTCATTCAAAAACGTTTCTACTAATCAAAAACTTCTATTTAACGAATTAATTTTGTGTTATTTTTCTATAACATATTTAAACAATTTTTGTTACATATTTATAAAATAGGCACACACTTATCCATCAGATTTATTTAAATAAATAAATTAGTTTAAACAACTTATTAAAATATATTTATACACATTGTTAATTTATATTAAGCGTTATTGATTGAAGAAGGAAGTCCATAAGCATTAGTGATAGTTTTCAAAGCTTTGATTTTTTATTTAGATTTGTCCGATTTAGAAATATATGTGTAGTACGAAAATTTAAATATTTTAGGGGCTGTTTTGTTGAAATTCATAAGTCTCCCTAAAACAAATTCTGGTTGATCCATTGGATTTCTTTGGCCACAAGGAAAAAAACACGACTAATATTATACTCCACTCAGAATGATTTTTCGTTTGTAATGGTTTACCGTTACATATACCAGTATAACAACTATATCACCCTATATGTCCTACCTTCCCAACCACCCACCTATAACAGTGGTGAGCAGTATCGACTTTTTTTTTTCAAAAATTGTTTACACCCACATTATGCCGTTCATTATAGTAAGTCGTACAACTATACACTAATTTATTTATATAGTATGTTTCTCCGTATACTCGTATATATATGTAGGTACATCAGTATAACCTAACAATCAACAGGCTATTATATTATTATTATAAGTATGCGTATCGTACTTATCACAGACTTTTTTTGTAAAAATTATTTTTTTATTAGGTATAAACAGTAATTTGTTTATTATAATACACTTTTTAAATATTGCTTGTTAGAATTAATTAATTAATTAATTATTACTATTATTATTATTATTTCAAGAATAGTAGACAAGTTTATTTAAACCTCTGGGAAAATATCGCAAATGCCACTGCGTGTTTTCGAATATAAATATAATTTGTATATTATGAAAATAGCGGCGGATGTGTATGTTTTCAACAACTTTCAGGAAAACGAGTTTAAAGTTGATTCATTTTAGGATATACAATAAAAAATCAAATTTTTAATGGAGTTCATTCGTTTTTTTTATGTATATATAATGTATAAATTCATTTTCAAAAGGTAGTGAAAATTACAGATATTACAGTAAAATTAATCGTTTTCACCACATCATATATTTTAGTTTAAACTACACGAATACATCAATAAAATAAATTTTTAAAAGACTAATGGGAAGTTGGAAGAGTGGATACATTGAGTACCCCATTTAATTTATACATTTATACACTGCAACGATAAACCATAGCTATGAAAAACGAGCAGAGTTTTTCTCTCCCTTGTTTCCATAGTAACCCAAAAATAAACAAAAATTATACAACAAATTTCTAGTTTTTTCGATTTATTAAGAAAACTTCAAAGGAAACAAAAAATAATTGGCGCATTTCGCTACCCGCAATGTACCAATAATGTCAAAAATGCTACAAGAAAGTTTCTGTACAGTTTTCGATTGAAAATAAAAGTAGAATTTAATGTAGTAACTTTTCTTTATACGAATTTTAATATCAAATTTTGACAATAATTATAAATATTACGGTCTTTCAAAACACGTGTAATCGAACTTCTCTCCGAATCATTTTTCGTAACCAATAATTCGTCGTTGTTTAAGGATATAAATTTAAAACTTAATGTATCCTATCTTCTAAACTACCCATTTACAAGAGTAACACACCTGTCCCCAGTATCAGCACTTCTTATTTTTTTTGGAAAATCTATTAAAACCCATTTCTTGGACCCGTTATTTTACCGCAATCATTTTACACGGATACCTAGTATGCATATTGTTCTGATAAGTTGGCCCGAATGCATCGTTTGGTAATAATATCATAGCATACGTGATTTATTTAATAAATGATTCTCATTATAAATTAATATTCGAACTAGAACGTTCGAATATTAATTGTGATTGATTGTGGTGTATAAATTGAATAGTACAACAAATGCGTACATGTATGTATTGTATATGTATAACTATTGATTTTATAATATATACTAATATATTATAAAATCCATAGTATAAACTTAAACTTAAGGGAAATAATATATGATCAAAATATCTTCCCCTGATCTCTTAATCACTTAACTCGTTAAATTTTAACATAATATAATCAAGAATATGTTACACAATACAGTTAGTAAAATATAAACATTTTATTATATTATACTAGTTGAATTACCCGGCAACTATTTCCCTATTATTCTCATCACAGTCAATAGTGTGCTAGGTAATATTTATCTTTTAAAAATGATATTTCTTTGTTCGTGAAAAATTAAATAAATATAATAACTGTTTTTTCCATATTGCCAAGATAATCCATAAAAAAAAAAGGTTAAAAATAAAAATAAAACACTGTATCAGCAACTCTATAGAATTTAGGGATTGAATTTCCAGATGAAAAGTAGAAATTGAAAGTTTTAAATTAAGTAATTCGTAATTATCGCATTTTACGACGGTCTATCATATATTAATGGTATTATATATAATAAAGGTATTATATATTAAAGATATTTAAAAATGTATATGAAATTTCGATCGTAATAACATACGTAATTTCGAATATACCAAAAAAACCGTAAAGGCCAAAATTGATTAGGAGAATCAATCCAATCCGAATTTAGTCTCATAAACAGTGGTTGCTGAATCCTGAATAAGACATTTTTATTTTACCGCACACGCGCGCACAATAAATGGTCAAAAATTGGAATTTATCGACAAAAAAAAAAAAGTGAATTTATATGTCCTGTTTGCAGTAAAATAAAAAAAACCCCTAAGCAAATTCAATGGCATGCGTTCGAATTATGTTTACCTGTTGCCTTTAGAAATGAACGGGGCGTAACGACGACACGCGTTTTCGTGAATAAAATATTATAATAATATCTAAACTTCCGAAAAAACGGAGGTTACGGTTATTGTTTATTTTACAATAATGTACAGGTATAGTACCGCGTAATATACACGGTTATACGAAATAACCGACTCGCTATTATACATTATTAGGTGCATACAGCTGGTACATAATACAATAATATAGGCGATCAACCTATTCGTCGTGTTTGTATAATAGTCAATAATTATTAGTGCACGGGTATAACACTGTATTATCGCTATTGTGTGTATAAGAATGTACGGTTTGCGAATATTTTAATATTATAGCTACACGAATAATAGCGGCGAACGGGTTTAGTGTTTGTAAGGGACACCGCTTGCTCCTTATAGAAAATAATACAGTTTTCTCCGCGGGCATCTATATACACGTCGGTGTACACGAATCTAGGTCATGCATGCAGATGAGACTAATACTGTCGCGTGACGTGGGTTTTTTCCGTGTAAGTGCATCAAAATTCAATAATATAATTTTCAATACGCACGAAATTCGTAATTCCGCCGTATAATACGTCAACGACAAGGCGACGCCCGCGCGATTTCTCCACGAGCGTACATAGTCCACAAACGTATCGGGCAGGTGGGTACAGCAGTTATTATAGGTAGGTGTTTGTTTTTTCGTCGTCGCGGTCTTTCATTTTGTTTTTTTTTTCTTGTAAAAATTTACATAAGAACAGGTATATTTGAATAATTACGCAGTTTTCAAAATTAAAATAATACGCGAGTCCTTAGAAAAAAAAAAAAACCGAAATTAGGTATATTGAATATACTCAATGAGCGAAACTCGTAAAAAAAAATTACACTTATTATTGGCACTTGTTTTAAAAAGACACCTCAACTAAAAATACCTACAATATATTATTCTAAAACGACCGTGACTAATAAAGATTTCTTTTTCGATATTCCGTGGCATTGCGTGTGACGGTGGGAGCCAGGGAGGAGGAGTTACTCTTAACTAATATTTTTAATAGCAGCGAGGAGAAAATTTTGTAATATTAGATTCTGAGCGGAGCGAGGGACCCCTGGTTTTCCCTATTTGTGCTGCTACCTTTGCGTCAATTTATCTTACGCGGACTGTAAGTATAAAACAGCTTTTACTGTAAGTAAAATAACTTTGTATACATTTTGACTAACCGATAACAATTATAAATGTACCTATAAATAATAATAAAAGCTATAGTTAAATAGGTGTAAATTATAATACGAAAATGTACTTGTCTAAACTTCAGAATCTTCTATATATAATCCAAATAGACTGATACGTAGTACTATGCACTATGTATATGCCAATTGCTAAATGACAACGGAAAGCCAAAAACAGAAAGTAGTGACTCAATAAAAAATAATTAAATATGACGTCTGTGTTCGATAACCGAGTACAATAAACTTGTAGGTACTATTATTAATATTTATATTAACTGATGAAGTCAGTTTCGAGTGAATCACAAAAATAATATTCAAATTTCAAAATAAACACTATTGATAGTGGTTAGTCAATAACGCGGCCACGCGACGTTTCTTGTGAATAAGGTGAACATCTCCACAGCACTGATTTAAACATATTATTTTATTTTTATTAACTTTGAATATTTGTGTGTTTATGTGTATTATATAATAGCAGTATTTTTCATCGACTCATTGTCGTCAATTTAAGTAGCGATCCACTGGAAAAATAGGCCTATCCACCCTTCCAGTACTTGTCCCACGAAAACAATGCTTGGATGTGAAATTGTGTCATATTAAACCTTTTTTAGGGTAGTTTGGTACCACTCACAAAAATTGCTAGTTTTTCCCATTTATTAAAATAACTACTTGGAAAATTAAAAACGAACTCTCTAATGTACCAACTAGTTAAAAATGCTAAAAGAAAGTTCTTATACAATTTTTGACTGAAGTAAGATTTCTGGTATAAAAAAATTGATTTTTAGACACAAAAATTCAAATAAAAACCAATAAATATTTCTCTCTTCATTCAGAATACTAAATATATTTGTTTAGTTTTTGTGTACGATTGACGGGAATGTCAATAAAATGTTTGACACTTAAAAGCGCATTAACTTTACTACATTTTTTTTCAATTCGCCAGTTTCCATTATAAGTGGGCGTTGTGATATTCGATTACAAAAAATGTTTAAGGCATGTTTATCTCGCACGCTCGAGCCATATCTATAGTAGAACTATTACCGAATTTTTACGACATATAAAAAATAATTGTGTCTGCGTTTATTATTTATTATTTCGATAAAAAATCTACCAGAAGAAATCATTCAAAACGCTTGCTCCAATCATAAAACCGATAAGAGTTTCTTTGTCGTAAATTTTGTTTAATTGCTGGACAGTGACGTAGAAGTCTTGTGAGGGAATAAACAATTTTTGAAAATTGTATAGAAAGGGAGGTATAAACTTATAAGCTTATATAAAATGTTTTAAAGATAGAGGGGTTAAGGTTTAGAAAAAAAAGATCATAACAAGTGTATTATAATTGTCTTCAATTTTGATAAGAAAATTAAGAGGTAATTGGTAAATATAATAACTGGATGCAGATATGAATAACAAACACATTATACAATTTATAATAAGAATAACACATATACTCTTTTTGGCTTTAGAGCCATTTCATTCAGTACCTACGTACTTTTGATATATTCAATTGGTATATTATTATAGATTACCAGCATAGCATTACATAGCTTTAAATTAACACAATATTTAGTTGTTACTGTTGTTAGGTATAATTAATGTAATGTTTGTATAATACTATTATAGTTATGTTTGTATTATAATTTTCAATTATAAATATACCTGACATCGTATCTCATAAATATGTTTTGATTTTTCTTTAAGTAGAGAACATGTGTTCATAAGTAGTATAGTCGATACGGGTAATGTCAAAGCCGACCTGTCTAATTTTATTATTTTAAATTTTGTTTTTTAATGTGATTTAGTTTGAATATTCGTATATAATGTTGGCAGAAAATTTATACTGGTTTTTTTCTAGACGTGATGAAATTTTCAAAATATTTCAGCTATTTATAGACATTTTAATTTTATGAGTCTCTTACATAATTTGTATTTGGTACCTAGGTACTCTGTGGATAAAATTTTTATACCAAACAGAAATGCTTGAAAATTTGACAGGAGGTTCTTCGAATGGTTCTTCGTTAGCAATGGTTTATCATTAGTTACAGGTATAAATTAAATAACTTTATTGCAGGGATCCCGTGTATAGGGGAGCTCTGAGACTGCATCCCCCCTCCGTGAGCTTGATAAGACGGAGCTCAGCCCCCTACGGTACTCATATTATAGAAAAAAATAAATATTTATCATATACTTTCTCAAAATATTAATTTTATTTGTAACAAATTAATTGAGAAAGATAAGTTTTTTTTTTTTTTATATTGACAGCATAGAAAAAGTGTAGATTTTGGTAATCAACCAGGTTCTTTGTTAACTGGAGTCTGGTGTCGAGCATTTTTTTATTTTTGTCTTGTGATTTTTCATAATGCTAATGTTATTAAAATGTTATTAAAATTAAATAACTTATGACATACAAAACAACAAATAACTATATTTTAGTAATTGTTTTAAGAATAATTTAAGGAATATAAAAATAGGAAATATATGGTAAGATTTAAGTAAAACTGTGCATGTGTTTATAAAATAGTAAGTCCCCCATGACATTTTCATAACTTGGTGTTTCTGACTTTATATAACGCACGTTCCCAACTATTCACCTACGAAAGTGACCACACCCAAAAATAATCGTAGAGACCTAAATTGTCCACTGGATATTAGTCTTTTCTAGACGTATTAAAATTTTCAAAACTATCGTGTATTGTTAGGTTTGTTTAAGCCATTGAGAAGGGATATAACCCTTTATTCCCCCCCCCTCGTACATTTCACTGTAGGGACTAAATACACTTTTTAGGATATTGGTCTGCTCTAACGTTTGGTTTTACACAATTTGTAGTTTTAAATTAAAATGTGTAGTTTTAAATGAAATGTGCAATTCTTAAAACCATATTAAAAACAAATATTTTTTTCAGTTCTAATTAAAAGAAATAAAGGTTAAAATCATTAAAAGTATTTTGATGGTAGGTACGTGTTTCCTGAAGTCATCTTGGAAAATAAAAATTCATATTGATGGCGGAATCCGTCGGTGGTTCGAAAGAGGTTTTTTTTTTCGCATTTGAAAATAACCGTTTCAGTTTTGCCGATGGCGTCCCCAGCTGCTGTAGCTGTCAATTGCGCCCCGCACGCTGTTGGTCGCGGCGGCGGTGGTGGAGCGGTGTTTATTCGCGATTGGACGGCGGGACTGCGGTGGTCACACTGTCCGTGTCGGCGGTGGGTTCGGTTGGCGGTAATGATACGGCACGCGCATTTTCTCCATTCGAAACCCAACGACCGTAACAATAACATAGAATATAGATAATAGAATAATAGACAAGGAAAGAAATCCTATACTAGTCTTATACACATTGTTGTTGATTTGTTAACGTTATTTGATATGGTACAACTCAATCTCCCGTGTAAAATGTAATAAGGAATAGATGATATCTATTGATTAGAACCTTCGTGGCCCATTCGATATTTAATATTTATAATCTATGAGCAAAGGACCGTACACCACCGCGACACGACGTCATCATCTCCGCCCGTCACTCACCCCCGACAACGTTACCGTTTACCGATCGCGCGAGTTCACCACCCGCGTCGCCGAGGCGCCGACACCCCACTCGCGCGAAACTTTTTATACGCAGACTACCTAGTACCTATGCAATTAAAATTTCCCCTCGGCACCACTATATAATTTACAACCCTATACGGCCGAGTCGGGGATATAGAGGATACCCGCCCATTATATTCTGTACGAAATGAACGTCCGGCGCCGGTCGTTAAAAATAGTGTCGGATACGAAGAAAATGCCGTTGGCGGATCACCGTCGTGAAAAAAAAAAACATTAACGATATTATGTCACCCGGTCGCCCGGCGGTCAGACGACGCACCACCGTTGCCGTCACCGTCACCGCCGCCGCCGCCGCCGCCGCCGCCACAACTATTACAATATCAGTGGATCGCGTCGCGCGCCCCGTTCGCGGCCGACGAATGCAATTCGAACTGTCGCCGCCACAGGCCCGCTGCCCGTAGTAGACAGTAGTCGCCGCCGGTCGTAGTGGTTCGCTCGTCTCGTAGTGTGCCGTCGAAGCGACGTGGTCAAGCGGCACGTACTCGAGTTATCGAACGCGAATGTTTCACGAAACCGTATAGTAACGACGATACGACCGCCACGGCGGCGCGCTCCGACATCGCTCGCTGTTCCACCACACCATCGCCGGTAAGTGCCTCTACGCGATTAATACAATAAATCACGGTGTCCGCCAAAAACGACGATTTCGGACAACCCGACAGTGGTTACGATTTTTTTTCTTTCTATTTTTTTTATGTAATTTGCGTTTTTTTTTTGCCCAATTTCTCCGTGACTGGTCAGTTTTCGTGTTACGACGGTTCCCGCAACGATGTCCCGTCAACGTCGTCCTTATTTGATACGAACAGGCCCAAACCTAGTACCATCTTAGCACGGTCTCGACCGAGTGTCACACAGCCAGTGTCTATAAAAATATAAAACAACACTATTGGAATCACTCAGGGGTTCAATAGTCTTATAGGCCATCGATTTTCAACATAGCCTTAAGTCGTTTATGATATTTAAAATAGGTTAGGCGCCAATTGACTGTTCATTCAATGCGCCAGTTTTCAAACTATAAATCATGTACTAGTGACTCGCTGTTAAAGAAATAAAATTTATTATAGTAGGTAGGTAGGTATAGAATGTTCTAAAATATTTTTATAATTTTATGAATTTTTAATTCAAGCATCATTGACCTCTATAATGAAATGCTTTCATTTTGATGTTCAATTGGTTGTTGTAGTTTTCAAAATTAACCAGCAGCTTTACCCGCTTTAAAATAACATTTATAATATACAATATTTATAAAGAAGTTTTTCGGAATTCCTTTTTGATCTACGTACAATAGGTTTATATTGCTAGTTGAATAGAATAGGCAGTAACAGTAGTTGACATGTTAAGTATAATATAATTTCGAACTGTATTGCGCCTATAGTAAATAAGAATAATCAATATGTCAAAGGCACTTAATTTTGTTAGTATATTATACACATGTCTATGAATAAAATAGGGAACAAATTATAAATTCTTGTATCCTTGGCTTTTGTCCTTCAAACATAATAATTATTGGTATACCCTCTTAGAAACTAAGTCATCAATATTGCAAAAGACTCTAAAGCGCCATAGAGATATTATTAAAACCTTATTATTCTTTGTTATAAGTTATTGTGGTAAAATATTAATAGTAGTACTCCAGTTTATTTTAAAATGTCAGTATATACATTGTAATTTGACAATTATTACTTTATTTTTAGAACTGTGTTTATTGACAGGTACCTATGATGGCAATATTGTTAGCATAATAATAACTACATTAATAAGTAGGTAGATACTAGATACATACTACCGAGCATACTACATAATTTGTGTTTTTAAATTTAATTTTGCGGTCTAAATTTGTATAAGTACTATAATAATAGGTGAGGTGGTTTTTATACATTTAATCTACTCAAAGTAAATTATTTTTAGTCTTTCAAAACCAATATGGTATCATTGGCTACCTCATTTGAACAGATGTTATAAAAACCTTGTGAAAACTGCAAAGGGTTGGATTTCAAGATGTGATTAAAAGGGTCTTTGATTTTACTACAAAATTTCTTTAAAAACAATTAAACAAAATCCACCTATTGTTTGTGAGTTTTTATATTCAACAAGATTTGTAAATATATGTATACATACCTATGCATGTCTTGTCAAAACTAATATTCATTTCTGTGGAAGCACTTCAGTGTGATAAAATTTGTCATTCGTCCCTCTTATTTGACACTCTGGATAGAGCTAATAGACAAATAAGTCTTATAATATTTATATTCAGTAGTTTTCACAATTATTGGCTATAAATATTATTGTATTCTTATTTATTTCTAGGCCATGGCATTATTAATATTCAATTCATATACTTAAGACGTGGAACTCCCTCTACTACTCTCAACTAGAATTTTGGTCATTAATATTTATATCCTATATAATACCTTGGTAGTTATTAGAATTTTATAAATAACTCAATTGACTACTGAGAATTATTTTGTAGTCATCAGGGACATAATAATATTTTAATTTTAACTAAAGTTTAATAATAAAATAATAAAGTAAAAACAAAATTATTAAAATGGTTAATACTCATAAATAAATAAAGTAAATAAATATATTAATGAAAAATGTATATATAAAAATAAAATAAATAAATGAATCAATGTGTCGCCTGGATTATTATGATAAGTGTATTATACGGCCGGTTTTAAATTAAAAATTCATCAGGTATATCACAGTCAAAATGTAAAACATGACTGAATATAAAAAATTAAATGAAGGAATATATAGAAAAGAAAAAATTTACAAATTAGTCATTTTACATTGAATATAGAAATAATTTATTTTAATAGGAGAGATTATTTAAAATAAGTCATAATTAAACATAGATATTAAGTAATATACATTATTTGGTTATTATTTATTATCTAAAATGTATTGATATAAGATATTATTTTTAAAATCTATTGAACGTTTGAAATATTATTACAATTATTTTTCTTTATTTTATTGTGTATGTGCAATTTTTCTAAAACCGAATTAATGTAAATGCTATTTAGATTGTTTAATATTTTTAAGTCTGTATACCTATTTAACAATTTTGCTTAGGTGCTTAAAAATTAAAGCCCATTATTTCATTCATAATATAATAGATATCTATTTATTAATAATGCCAAATTACTTTGTTTTATTTTCACATAAGTTAATTTATTTTTGAAAAACTCCAAATTTATTTGCATATTTAAAACATTCTAATGTTGTTATAGTTTTACAAGAATATAGCAAGTATTTGTACTTAATGACTTATAGTAAATTATATGAAATTAATTCTATATGTAACATTCATATTAGGTGTTATCAGTAGTGTACCTAGGAATTTTCAATAAGAGGTGATGTAGCAAATAAGAACCGTAAAATCTTCTTTGTATCATCTTCTCTAATCAATTTGACTATTGGAATTGGTATATGGAAGCAGGGTCCTAAAAAAAAAGCCAATTTCTAATCAATATATCAAGCTTTTCCTCATTACTTGGCTAAAATATATACACTTCAATATTAAATTACTTATATTTTATTTTTTAAGCCAATGGGTGAGGAATTTATAACCCCTAACCCCCCCTGCATATACTATTGGGTGGTTTAATTTATTTAAGTCTTACTTATCATAATTCTATACACATGCCGATTTGTGTTTTATAATGATTATTATTAATCATATACTTACCTAATCGTATAACAAATTATAGTAAAACATGAATGAAAATTCTTTATATATCTAGGTTAGTAGTAAATTCCAGACTTCTCAATGAAAAGTGTATACTTAGAAATAATTTTAAGTCATAGAAATTGCTGTCGTTAAGGCATAGTAAATGTTGGCTGAAACAAAAATATTATAATATGAGTTAAAGCAGATAATAACTAGTTTATCATTATTTATGTTTAGTTACCTGTGTCATTGATAAAAATTTATTATTAGTTTTAAGTATAATAATTTCATTAATATTAAAATAGACCAGTAGTATGATAATAAGATAGTGGAATAATATTTGAGTTTTAATTTACTAAAATTTATTTAATAAATAATACTTATTTAATCTAGTTTTTTAAAAAAATATTACAATCTAAATTTTCTTTCTGTTGTAATAATTGTTTATCATTAGGTAATTTAAAAATAATTTATAATTTTTATCTATGACAATGTTTAATTTTAGGCTTCCTTTAGAATCAGTTTGAAAAGCAATTATTTATTTAACATTACTTTCAATAAGTAGGTATTTTAGTTAGTTTAGGTATCATAGTTAATAATGTGAGCCTGCCCCGCAAAGGGGAAAACAGGATTTTACAAAACATTACTTAATTAATTATACTTATTAATAAACGGTAGCAGTAGTGGGATAGCAATGTGAAAACTGATATCTCACTACTTATACAGCAGTGAAACAAATAAAATATTTACTAGAGTCGACTAAAGATCAGCATAGCCAGATTTTTTTGGCACTGACCGGCCCGAAACTTAAATTAAAAAATTGTACCTGACCGGACCCAGTCCATACATTTTTATTTGAAGCCAAACCCGACCATGTCTGTTGGTCACATTTTAGTATATAGTATATAGTGTGTATACTATTGAAAAAGACTACAGACAGAGGTCAGAGAGCAAGAAGTGATGAAAAAAAATTATATATACAATTTAGTTTATTTTGTGAGAACATTGATCCATCAATAACCAATCAGAAATATTTTTCTTATGGCCTGGCCCTTCCCAAGCCCGTTATTGGGTCTGACTGATCTTAAATATATACCAGTGGTTTTTAAATTAGGTGCTATGAGCATTCCCTAGGTGTGGCACAGTCTTTATGTATTTTTTTCAAATGTATAATTTAAGTATAATTTTGTGTATATTGGTGTAAAAATTTAATAATAACAAGAAAGGTCTTAAAAATGTTTCATTACTAAGATATGTGCTGTAAAAAATCTGAGCACAATGTGCCGTGTTTAAATAAATTTTTGAAAACCACTGATATATTATATACTGTCAAACCAGTAGGTACATAAAAAAATCTTGGTAACCAGGCAATTACATGTTTTATTAATCTATATTTATTTTGAAATATAAATCAGTGAAATTATCAATTGGTTATTTATAGGTACCTAGATAGGTATACAAAATTGATAATTTAATGAACATATAAACTTCCCACTTGCAATAATAGATAACTATTATCTATGCTTGCAATATATTAAAATGTAATTACTGTTTTATCAGGGTTTTATTCTGGTTTTATCTCATACCCTGTTTCAAAAGAGAACATACCGCTTTCGCGACCAGTTTTCATTTGGCGGCGTGCATCCCCACCAGGTGCATGTTAAGAAACGTGTTCTTAACATTTCTATCATTGTGACCAGTGCTATCTGGTGGGGATGCGCGCTCCGAATGAAAACTGGTCGCGAAAGCAGTATGTTCTCTTTTGAAACAGGGTATAGGTATTTATAATATATACAAATAACGTCCGACCTTCTTCTTTATCAATAATTGCCTTAACAACTCACAATCACTTTTCATAATGTATCTTCATTCGTTATAATATATTATTTGACATTAATATTGGTACCTTTGTTATAATGTTTTTTATATTGCTAACATATTTTATAATATTTATTCCTGTTATAAATAGGTACCTAACTAACTGTGTAGAATTAAGAGTAATTATTGTTTTTAAAGTGTTAATTTATTTTTTGTGTTCAGTATAATATAATTGGTAATGGTTCAATGAACCAGAACATTATATTATTGAAAGAAAAATAAAAGTCAGGTCTCTGTCCTTATAAAAAATATTATTTATTATGAATTAAATTAGGTAGGCTTAAAGCCGTTACTAGTTACTGCTATTAGTGAAAGTAATTTAAAACTAGATATGGAACAGTAGCTACACTGAAAATTATTCAATGACACTAACCATGACATAAATCATACACCATCACAAAAAAGGACAAACGGAATGATGATGTAATCAGTGATACATTGTTTGAATAATTGTTTTGCTATTTTGTTTTTCTTTTATTAGTTTATAGAACAGAACATAACATTTCCCCTGAAATATTTTATTTTGACTATTAAAATTAATGATTAGTTGTTACTTAATCCGATTTAATGTTTCTGTACTTTGAACATACAAGTGGTACTTGAAATCAGTTATTCTGTAGGTATTTATAATAATATATATGAAATCAATCTTATGTGATAATTTTTAATTGTATTACTTTCTGAGTAGAAAATAGTTTATGATTTTATTACTCACTAAAACCTTTACCGACCTATAGGTTTAAAATTATTTATTTCGAAATCAGCTTGATAAATGTTTTACTTCTCTGTGTTAATAAATATTCAGATTTCCATGATTTTCATTTTAATTAAAATTGTAAGCAATTATAAATATGGCATTAAGACAAAAATAATAAACAGTTAAGTCTGCTTACTTTTGTTTTAAATAAAATATAAATGTATTAAATATCCGATTCACACCTGTCCTGCAAATTTCAGTTTTCTATCTCATCAGAAAGTATTTTAATTTTCAAATACGAGATTTGAACTTGAACCAAACAACAAATAAAGTTAAACAATTTATAAAAATGATCTCATTAGTGTACCGTCTACATTGATAACCTATATATCATATAATCTTTCGATGAAGTTGTTTTTTAATTATTTACTGTATAAAAAAAATGTTTAAAGATTTATTTGTCTGTATACATTTCCAATAAAAATGTCTTAGAATAATGGTAATGTTTCTTTATAAATCAGAGATGTATATACTTTTAGAACGTATGAAAGTTACAGTAGAAAAGGCTATGTGTACAGTATAATGTACATGTAGTATAAAATGTCATTTCTATAACGGGATACCTATATTTGTTAATTTTATTTTTTTAAATTAAATTTTCTAAATTTAATTCTATTGTAATTTTTCTAGGTTCTATAAACCATCAATATTACTTTATACAGTGATTTGCTAAAAACTGTCGAAGAACCTAAACTAAATTATGTAAGTATATTGTAATTATACGGGGTGTAGCATGGTATGTTATGTTTAGGGCGCTGATTTTTATGTAGTACAAATTCAATGTATATAAATATTTATATTATTGTTTTTTCCAAAATATCTACTAAAACACATGAAATATTTAACATAAAAACGTGTTTATTCAATTTAATTGTATAAAAAAAAGTACTGTAAATGTAGGTTCATTATATAAATCGGTTTTTATTTTATGTATTCGTCGTCGTTGTTATCTTCTTGGAAACGATGTACATTTGGAGATTTTCAAATTTAATAGATCGACAGTTAGGTCTCAAAATTAATTTATAACAGCTGAAGAAGCGTTGACTGAGAATAATGAGGCATCTTTAATATTTGATACATCCGATTGTGTAAGTTTATTGATGTGTTTTCATTTTTAATTAAAAGAATATTGTGATTTGATTTCGATAAGTCACAAAGTACAGGATTATTACGTATTTTTTCAATTAGTATTATATTAATTCTTCTCGATACGGCAAAAATACGACTTTTGCAAAGTTTTGTGATTCGGTCATGGCATTTAATAAGTTCAAAATGGAAAATAATTGTAAAAGCCGCTGGCGAGTGTCGCTGTACACTGCTTTCGACCGACTGGAACCGCGTGCCGCAGCGACCCATTGCAGGCCGCTCTCCAATTAGCCGTGACGCGATTGATGCGATAAAACTGGAGATTGAACTATAACCTAAACGATTGTTCAGTTTCATTAAGTTCAGCTAGGGTCATCTGCAACTTTCGTAAATAAAAAGGCGATCACATTTGTCAAAAACAATACTAGTACAATAATTATTGTTTTAACGACGCGAATCAACACGGAACTCGTCGTCGCGTCCGACGGTTTCATGTTTTTTTTTTTTTTTTTTCAGTCGCGCCAGTGGGTCGGCTGTCCAACGGTCCTTAATAAATCGGTGCAGCTTATCGGCACTTCTAGGTATTCTCTGATAACTAATTATTTAGATAACGTCTGATAACGTGTACGGTATGGTTCAAATATATTTTATCTATGCACTAAATTTGTTTAGAAACATGAACGGTGTCTGCGCCTGCCCGAAGGCTAATAGTTTTGTTTGGTAAACCGAGATGTTTAGCGCGTACGTAATTTGATTTATTTCGTATTATTTCTCTGGGCACAATTTCCAATTGAATAATTATTATTTTTAATCACTTTGGTTAAATTCAATAGTTACCTACCTATTGTTTATGAATGTACAAAATACGCGTGTAAATGTTGGTAAAATATTTCAAAATTCGGGAAAAACCGGAAAAAATAAAAGTCTTATTTTATTCAACGTGTTATGAAACGGTGTGCTTATTTTTAATCAAAACTAAATAATCCACATTCGATAAAATTGTATACAGTGAAACCTTCTCTAACGGACACCTAATAGCGGACGTTTTTTTTTCGGGAACGGGGACATTTTCACTACTTTTCAACGGGAAAACCTCCGTATAGCGGACACTATTTTAATCTTAAGCGGTTCGCGCGCGACCTGTGTTTTTGTTCAAAAACATGGCTTACAGGAATAACTCTCACGTCTCGTAGAGTGATCAGATTTCGATCATTTTTTTTTGTTTTATTTGTTAGAAAGAGGAAGACTTCTTACAGGGCGCATTGGATTTTAATTTTAAAAATTATATTTACAAGTGCTACAATAATAGTTTGAATTTTACAAATTTGTACAAGCTTATAAATTGTGTAATAATTTTTGTTTTTTAGCAATGTAATCAAAAATCGAAGTCCAGTGCGCCCGTCCTGTAGAAAATCGTCCTCTTTCTAACAAAAACCTTAAAAAAATTATTGAAGTCTGATAAATCTGCGAGGCGTGAGGGTTTTTCCTGTAAACTGCGTTTTTAGCAAAATAATCACGCTTGTAAATTGTCCCGTCTTGCTCTACCATTGACCCGTGTGAGATAGTTTCGTAACCGGCGCCGCGTTACCCACTGTTATCACACATCGAGCCTTTCTAGCGGTCTAAAAACACGCGTTCACTACTAATACTAATATAGTAATAAAATACATAGATTACAACATTCATTTCCAGATTTCCATTTTTCTGTATTATGATAATTACGCGTACTGTGTTTTAGATTAGGAGCGTAGCTAGGGATCTAATTTTTTTTTCTGTCTGAGAACAACTCCTCTACCAGCAAACTCACTCTGAAATATAGACTATAGCACCTTTTCTGTAAGATAATTTTTTCTAATCAGTACACTGGCGTGGTCATTTAGAAAATATAGGTAAAAACGGCAAATATTTACGGAACGCCGTGGTGTTACCGTTTTCGTTGTGCTATACTACAGTTTTCTACCAGAAATATTACTTCAATCGAAAAATGACCAGAAGTCGTTTTTTGATATCCAAAGTAGTTTTTTAAATAATTGGGAAAAACCGAAAAAAAAAATTATTAATATTTACGGCAACGAAGTTTAATTATTTTAATATGTTGAACTAGAAATATTACTTCAATTGAAAAATGAAAAATGATCGATTTTTTTTTATTTCTAATTAATTAGGAGTTGGGATTATGTAAAAAAATTTTTTTGATCTCCAAGTAAAACATAATGAACCTCCCAACAAAATGTTCAAGCATTTTTGTTAGGTCTAACAATTTATTTAAAGAGTACCTACTAAATAAAATTTACCTTAAATTTTAGCAAAATTTAAATATCTATAAATAGCTCCAAAATTGTTTAAATTTTTTAAAAATTTTATCACGTCTAGAAAAAGTAAATATAAGTTCTCTGTCAACATTTTAAGTCTCTACGAATATTTTAAACTGAATTACATTAAAAATACTAAATTTTCGTAAATTTTTCCGCTATATTTTAAGTTTTTTTTTTTTTTTGATTATGCTCAATTATTTATAGAACTATAGATAAAATAAAAAAATAAAAAAAACGAAAAACTTACTAATAAACAAGATTAAAAATGCAATAAAATAGTAGATCTATTGGAGTAATATTTATGGTAGAAAACATAAACCGTATAAATTTTAAATAATAAAATCGTTGTGCCGCCGATAATTGGAGTTTTCCACTTGGCCAATATCTTCAAACAGTAAATTTTGATTTAAAAATTTCATTAAAATTGCAATTGCATTGCTATTGTTCAAAATAATATTCAGAATATTAGAGAAAATTTTATATTACTGTTAGTTAGTTTGCTACGTAAATCTAAATCAGATGATCCAGAATATTTTTTTAAGCATTCATATCTTTAATAGATAATTTTTTAGACCAATTGAACGAAAGATTTATATCGCACAGGATTGTTTTGAATAATTTTGATTGTATTTTACTTAAGATAGAAATGAAAATATCTGACTATATTATTGGTAAATTCAAGTAATTAATAGAAATATATCAAGATATAATTGATGAATCTAACGGTTCAAATTTAAATGATCATATATTAAACGGAGATCTAAATTTTTGGTACACTAAATATTCAAATTTAACATCTTCCGAACTCAAGAACAAAATTGTTATTAAAGTATACTTCCAAACTAGTCCAGATGTTTATCCAGTAATATCTAAACTTCTTCAAATATTCATAACACTTACAGTGCCTACTGCCACGGGAGAACGATTACTTTAAAATAGTTTAGCCCTACTAAAATATATTCATCACAATATCAACGTGGATATCAATGATGTTATAGATGAACTTGCTAAAACATCATAACGAAAAATAAATATACATTTATAATTTTTAAAGAAGATAAATATTTTAACTGTTATATAATTATTGCTGTAAAATAGTTTAATGTATGATTATAATACCCATAAAATTCAAAACAATTTTATTTGTTATATTTTTTCAACCTCCCCCCTCCCCCAAAAAAAAAAAAAAAATTCTGGATACGCCAATGGTTACTGTAATGGACGCAGGTCGTTTAATTTCATCAATAGAGGTAGAAAACCCTCCTATTTTCTCTTCTACTGTAACTTTGACAAATGAAATTACTCGCGAGATTGTCCAGAGACGGAAAAATTATTATTACACATACAAATCTTTAAACCTACATAACTAGTACATGAATTTATACATTTTATGAATTTCAAAAAATTACCCCCTCTGAATAACGAACACCTCCGAATAGCAGACATAAATTCAGCGACCGAGGGTGTCTGTTATTCAGAAGTTTCACTGTATTTACATAAAAATCTGCACCCTAGTTATATTATTACTGAGTGGATTCAAGTTTTTTTTTTTTTTTTGAAATTATTGGTTGGTTGGATGAATACAAATTAAATTTCATTTTTGTTTATTTTTAACATAAGCAAAAACGTTAAACACAATATTAATAATTTAAGACATTGATAAATATTGTTATTATACAAGTATAAGTCTGCAATTATGAATCTGAAATTTATTTGAGAAAGTAGAACAAAATAATAATAATTAAAATACCAATACAAATAATCTAATGTGATAAGTAATATTTAAAAACATAAAGTGATTGCTCTATACCTTTTTTCAATGTCTTGGTTTATCAACTATAGTGTAATTATGTTACACGTGATTCAGTTTTAAATGTATTATATTAAAAATTAAAATAAATACATAAAACATTTTTGAGGTTAATTAGTTTGAAAATTTAAAATTAATATACTTTAAGCGTACTTAATTTTTAATTATTAGTTTTGTGTAAGATGTATTAATATAATATATTCTTTAATAGTGATTTTAACATTTTTTAAAAATAATTTTTTTTTTGCATTTCATTTTGCTACTTAATAATTAAAATACAGTCTTTGCAGCTTGCTACTTGTATAAATTTATGATATATTTTATTGATAATATTTGTTTTTATACAAATATAATCGATGAGATTATTAGGTACTTAATATGTATTTACTTGCTCTTATATATGCTAGACAAACAAACTGTTGACCATCCCGTGTTATTACCTATCAATTTTATTATGTTAAGAAATATAAGTTTATTGTAAATTGTAATATCCATTTCAAAACATTTAGTAGGTAATATTATTTTGTTAAACTAAAGTACTAATCTTATTTCTTTATTTTGTGTTTCAGAACAGTTATCAATCAGGAGACATGCCATGACAGGACGATTATATTCTTTAATCATATCGCTGGGCGGCCTCACGTTAATAACGTTTTCTCTGTGGACAATATGGAGCAAAATTTTCAGTGTCGACGAGGCACATGCCAATCATGCCAAGTACCATATACTCACAATGGAAAATGTTACCTCGAAACCGTTTGAATTACGTTCTCTGTCTGATGGCGATCTTCACTCATTAATCGATCTGCCGTCATTTAATTTCAATATAAACCAAAAAGTCTGCGGTGACAACAATACCCACCTGGTAGTGGCACTAGTGCACACTGCACCTAGTCATTATGCCAAACGCCAGGCTATTAGAGATACTTGGGCGAAAATGATACCAACATTATTTTTTATGGGTCTCACAAATTCCAGCGTCACCCAGAATAATATCAAATTAGAAAATCAATTATACAGTGATATTGTGCAAGGTGACTTTATAGATTGTTACCGTAATTTAACTTATAAACATGTAATGGTACTAAAATGGACTTTGTATTATTGTCCCTGTGCCAGGTATTTGCTCAAAATTGACGACGATACGTTTGTTAATGCACCATACTTGTTGGAATTACTCAATTATAGATTATCACCCTTAGGAGCACGCGATTTACTCATGTGCCAACTTAACTTTTCGACCATGGTAAAACGCACATATCGATCAAAATGGAGAGTTTCATATGCGGAATATCCTGACCGTTGGTACCCAGTTTATTGCTTGGGGTGGGCAATAATTTATTCGCCTGACGTCATTTATAAACTATATACAGGAGCACAAGTAACACCATATTTTTGGATCGATGATGTTCACATTACTGGAACAATAGCTGTTAAACAGAATATCACAAAAACAGACATGAGCGAAATAGCAGTTAGTGAATCCGATTTACAGGATGACAAAAATATTAGTCGCAAGTTTGTATTTTGTTTACTAATGGATCCGGACCAATCAATGAGAAAGTATTGGAATACAATTACTAATCTTGATGATAATATGGCCGTTTCTTCTTCAACATTGGGTTCCTCAAAATAAGTGTTGGTATCAACTGATGGAGAAACATGTGCACATAAATACATGTATAAATAATAAATTAATGATAAATATTTAGAAAATTGAAAACTGAATTGTGATAAAGTAGCCTATAACAAAGTTAATTGTTATTATTATAATTATTTTTTTGTAGGGAGTATAGTATTTAAAATAAGGCTGATATTAAAGATGAGTTTAAAAAAAAATTATATATGATAAAATAATTATATTTTAAATATTAAGATACCTTATATATTAATCTCAAGCGCCACAAATTTTCTTAGAAAGATGTTTGGTATAAAAAGATACTATTGATATATGTATTGCTGACAGAGTTATAATATATTTATTTAATTTAAATAGCCTATTTATTTCTATAAAGTTGTGTTATTTTTAATTTATATCTTCTAAAATCAATCAAATTTTAATAATTTGTATTCCCATATGATTGAAATGAAAATATTATAAATAGCATCATTATAAACATAACAAAAGAGAATACCAAAAATAATATGAAATTTGTGTTGTTAAGATTTGATGTCTATAAATCTATTGTACCTGTATTTTTCTCTACTGACATTAGAAATCCCAAATAATAGTTTATTAAATTACTTGAAATTGTTTAATACTCAACATCTCTATTAAACTAAATTTAAGGTTTTAGTGGTTATTTTGTTTTTAAATTATTAGCAAATGTTAATAAAAAACTTAAATCTTAAAATTTTTGGTATTCCAAATAAAAATATTGTTTTGTACATTCATCATACATTATTTCAGTTATTCAATATAGTGCAAACAATATTAAATAGAACAACAGAAATAATTTAATATTTAAATAATAATATCAATATTAAATGTTTAATTTTGTATGAATCCATTAAATATATATTTTAATAATTTTTTTTTACATTTAATAAAGCGGTAAACTCGAGTATGCTAACGACACCATCTCAGTTAGAATTGTATATGATTAAGAATGTTCTGTTCTATAGTAAATTTATTCTTGTAAGTGAAGCATTCTTAATTTTATAACAAATTCTTCATTGAATTTAGATAATATGATTTATCATATATATTTTTATGTATGCCAATGTAATTTTAATAGTATTAAAAGCAAGGATTGAAAACTAATTAAATTTTAGAATTTTTTTGTTCTAAAACAATTAATATTTTATTTAGTAACATTGACGTAATATTATATGAAAAAAAACTTGTTTTGAGTTTAAAATTTTTTTTTAAATTGAGGCATAATATTGCCTTTAAATAAATAAAAAAAAAAAATGTCAATACAATATATTAGCAGGAAATCGTACTTACACAGGAAATCAAATTGATGTTTTTTTAACTCATATACTAGTAAAACATTTCAAACAACTATTTTAGAACATATCGAATATCTGTTCTCTGATTGAATTGGTGTTAATCCTTGCTTTTTTCGCTACATACTTGTTCCTAATATGAGTATTAATTTATCAATTTATAATAATAATATGTCTTAATGTTTATGGTTGGTGTCAATAGATGATCTCACGGTGTAATTAGATATTTGTCAAACATTTCTATGTAAATTGTAGTTTATTATTATTATATAAATATTTCATTTTATTTTAGACATTACTCAGAAATTTAAAGCATTGACTTTTTCTGTGGTTATTTAAAATCATTACAATACAAATATTAAATGCTAATAATTTTAAAAATATTCCATTCTGTTTAATTGTCATTATTAACTATAAAGAATATCAAACTGGGTGCATATAGTAAGTTATTAAATTGTGAATTAGTGTAAAGCATATCTTAATTAAAATAAGGTTATTGTTCTCCTTTCGAATTGATGTTTAACTATTTTGTTTACTATTATTTTATATTATTTTTAATTACGCCTGTCTATGCAAATGGTTGTATTCAAATGCGTATGTTATAAACTAGATTTCTATTACAAATGGTTATTTATATTGTTGAGATGCCAATTTATTTTTAAAAATGTTTTATAGGAAAATTATTTGTAATAAAACGATAACAGTTTTTTTTTTTTTATCTTGCGTTTGCAACAGTTTTAAATTTGAATCAACCATTATAACATAATGTTAATATTAAGATAATGATTAATTTGTCATTAGCATAATATAAATACCAAAAATTTGTTAATTATAAATTGAAAAATATATAAATTAGATTTTTTTTTTTTTAATTATGGATGAATTGGTGCCAAAATTTAAAATTTAGTATCGAAAAATAAAATGTAAAAAAAAAAAAATGCCAGTTTTAATTTTGTTATTGCTCAATTATCACAGTAATATTTATTATTATTATTTTATGTATCCACTTTACTATTATTTTTAATGTATTTGTTTGATTTTATTATTATTTGTATATCTTGAACTATGTATGGGGACTGATAAGTCTTGTTGACAGTTGAAAAAAATGATTTGTGGCTTATTAAATATAAAAAAATCAACTAATTTAAGAAAGAATTAAATCAAATTAGTTATTTGAAGAAAAAACAGTTTTAATGAAAGTAGAATATAATATAATGTGCTAACCTAATATCTAAATATTATTTACTAGGTACTATTTAAAAGATCGAGTTTTTACAATATCATTCTGATAAAAAACAAATATTATTTATTTTTTTTTTATATATATATATATATATATATATACAGGATAGTTAAAATATTATAAATAAAATTACATTTTAGTATTGTTATGTATAGATGTGTACTTATATTTTACATAAGTTGTATTTTCTTTAAAATAATATTGTTATGAATACCTAGAATATATTTCACACAAGAAAAAGTTTTATTCTTTTTTTTAATCAATGTTTTTATTTTGTTGAAGTTTGTTATTATTAATATATGCATTGTGTATTTTTTTTACAAATTTACATAAGTACCTATTACCTTTAGGTACCTACAGATTGATGTAAACAATTTTCAATCTGTATTTGTTTCGTAGAACACGATTTATTAACATTAATTTTTGTTGTTTTAAATCACTACTGTAGTGACTTATGCCTGATTAATGAAAATAATATTTCAATAGATTTGTGTATAACTATGGTTGGAAGTCACATTTTCAAATTAAACTTATTTTATTATATTGTACTAGTGTGGATAACAGATTGTTGTGAATGTCTATATATATCTTTTTACCTACTTTCATTGTCTTGCTGATGACAATTTTTCGTACAAGAAAGATTATGTATCTTTCATGCAGTTTTAATTAACTTTTCGATATTTTCATTTTAAGAAATTTAAAATAAATACGTTCAAAAATAATGTATTGAATAAATAATAACCCATATAATGACATGGGAAACTCTTTTTCGCTCATTGTAACTGGGGGTGGATAATTGAAAATGGGAAATTAAGTTGCTGCGATACCGAGATTTTCCTGATGCGTTCCAAAAATATGTGCCACCTTTTTTTCTCAATGGTGGGAATAACGGGCCGTATATTGTACGCATTCATTCATCCCCTAGGAATACTTATATTTAAAACAAAAATAAATAAAATGTTCTAATTTATTAATATCTATAATTTTAACATAAAATATAATAATAAAAAATCAGGTATATGCAAAATATGCAAAATAAAATTTAGAAAGAATTATTATAGACCAGCAAAAAAATAAATACATTTTGCATTGAAATTCATACCTTGTTTATTAACAGATCAATGCCTTTGACACTTATATGAAAACCTCAGGAAATACATACAGGTTACCTACCTACGGTTTTTTTAAATTTTCCTTTTAGCGATCGATACACGATAATGTCTCGACACGGCACATGTTACTTCTTCGGATGGATTTAGAGGAGGCAATGTTCTCTCCCTTGAAACAATTTTCTACTATACGGTTTTAGTATAAAAATTTGTATCAGCCCATGTATGTTAAGATTTGTATATTTTATTTAAAAGAGATAGGTACATAAAAAAAAAGACTGACATACTTCGTGCATGAGCGGGTCACTGTTTTAGGTAAAAAGTTTGGAAGGTAGAGGGGAAATTTAATGTATATCTGTATGCAATTATTAACTATTAGCTAACGAAAAACGATTCTGAGCGGAGTTCGGTTGAGTAATATTGTAGCTTTTTCAACAAAATACAGAGTGGTTCATTCAGTGTGCTCACCCCATTTTTTTGGTTTAATTTTGCATAAATTCAAATTTTGATTTTTGGAATTTATAAGTGTAGTTAAAGCCAATATTTTTAAATACTTAAATTTTTCAAAATATTAAAGGAGTATTGATACCAACTTTGGTTTTTCAAATGAAAACCTATATAAAAAAATTCCATAAATAGACGAAAATATAATAATAAATTTAAATAAATTAAGGTATTATAATTTTTGATTTCCGTCAACCCGTTGACAAGATATTCCACTTTTAAGTTTAGGTAGAAAATTTAAAATAATACATTACTCCAATTTTTTGTTTTATACTACTAAGTATGACTTATAATGAACCTCATGTAATTTCAGTATTTCTGTTTAGTCTAACAATTTTATCCACAGAGTACCTACCGATTAAAAATTACTTAAAAAACTTGAAACATTTAAATGTCTATAAATAGCTCAAAAATGTCTTAAATGTTTTTAAAATTTTAAACCGAGTTACAATCGAAAAAAAAACACATGTCTAAAAAAATCAAATATGAGTGTTCTGTCAAAATTTCAAGTCTGTGCTGTCGTATATCCCTTTAACAGGAATATACGACAGTGACGCCAAACAGTGGAGTCTTCTGTGGTGATCGTGTGACGCGATAACTATTGGACAGTCTTAAAGTTTCACCTTTTTTTCATTGTGTTTAATATTTGTGTTGTGTTACATTGGATTTATCAGCGTATACGAAAGTACGAATATTTTTAACTGAATTACATAAAAAAAAAATTTTTAATTTTAAAAGAATTATTTTCATAAATTTCCTCGTTCTTTCTACGTATTTTCATGGTTTTGCTCAATTATTAAAAAAACTAAAAATGAAATCAAAAAAACGACCTTGATCATCAATTAGATTAAAAATGCAACAAAAAAGGTCTCTTGTTGTTTTTATACTGGAACAATATTTTTATTAAAAAATTATAAGCTGTACAAATTTAAAATAATAAAATCGTTGTGCCATAATTTGAAAAAAAAAATCGTAATTTTTATCTCTTTTGGTTTTACTAAATTATTATGAAAACTCCTTTACATATGAAAAAATCTATGTCAATGGCTGTATATTGAAGGGAACAAAATTGATCTCTTGTCATTTTTCAATTGGAGCAATATTTCTGGTCGAAAATATCGTCAAAAAAAATGTAAAACAATAAAAACGATAACGAAGCGGCGTGCCGTAAATATTTACCTCTGTGTTTTACTTCGAGTTTTCTTGCGGGTTTTTCCTAATTATTTTGAAAACCCCTTTAAAAATCTAAAAAAATGATCTCTTATGCACCAACTAGATAAAATTTCCTTTCAGAAAAGGTACTATTCTATGGATGTTGAATCGAGGTTTCTTTTCGAAAAGTTATTGACAGACAGAAAAAATAAAAGCACAAATCAAAAAGAAAAACTAATAGATCCTTCGCTACGCTCCGAATTTAAAAAAGAGCTGATACTGGGGACATGTGTAGGTCCACGGTTTTTAGGTGGACAGTTGGAAAAGTGGGTTATTAAGTTTTAGCACTGTAAGTTCGTTTCTTATATTTGTTGCATTCATATATGTATTACAGTAGTTCGTGGACCAATATAAATTGGTCACATGTATACACGTAGTTCACATAAAATCGCGAACCGCATGTAGATATTTTTAGAAACTGATTTCATAATAAAAATGTATAGTAAAACCTGTACAATTTGTTTTCAGAAGCCAGTGAATAAGTGAAAAAATCTTCGATGACCAAAAAATAAAAACCGCGGGTCACTGTTCGTTAATGAACACTAAATTATACAATAACATTTTGTGCTACAGACTTATACTGCACACTACAGTAGTGCCGAACACTGGTTTTAAACGGGGTAAATACTCCAGTTGTTTTATGGGTGGGCCGTGAGTGGGTGATTAGGTGTACTCTGTGTGCAATTGTTTGGATCTTGGATGACCAGCCAAAGGTCAGACATTGAGTAATAATAACAATAATAATAATGTAAAGCAGACTACCGACCACCTACTTGCTGCTACCCGTACGCGTTTTCTCATACACGCATATTTATACACGGGCGGGCGATGCCATATTTAAGTGCGGTTTAGTACGTATACAATAATTTATATTACTGTGCGTCGTCGTATAAAATATATACGCGAGACAAATATTAAAATCATTATTATCGATCGCGATCGGATATAAAACGGTCGATCCGAAACATTTAGGTACGCGCTGCCGTGCACACGACGAGCGGACGAACTGCGCCGCCGCTAGCGCCGACGCTCGGTCGACGGCCCTCCGTCTGCAGTCGACGCTAATCCGAAGTCGGGGCCACACACTTTAGTGCTTTTGCCCGTCGTATACTCTGTACCGATACGCGGTTCGTACCCCCTGATTGTCAAGAGATTTTTGTTCTATGCGTTTTTTACCGTAAATATATTTGTAAGCCTACGGTAAAATAATGATACGAAACGCCGACTCGACCGAAGTCATCGATTTGGCCAACCACGTAGACACGTCCCGGACCAGAATGATGGACCAGAGACACCGAATAATCGGAGGTATGCTATCACTTTATACAGGTGGTAGTTAATTTTATTGTTTATTAGATGGAAAAACCGTAACAATGTAATTTATACTTACTAGACTTAGTGGCGTGTGCACGGGAAAGAGTATGAGTTAGCCCCCTACCTTATCGTCTTGAAAAAGTCAATTATACGAGTATCATTTGGTATTTATTTAGTATTTTTTGCGTTGAAATTATATCACTGCCGAATTACAATAGGAAAAAAAAAAAAATCTCGAGTTATTAAATGAAAACGTCGTTTTTTCGGCGGATCCGCGGTTTTTAAATTCCCGTGGACGTATGTGTGTACGGTGTATACGGTGCATATCATCAGATGAAATTTTACGATTTATTCGTGAGTCACGATTGTTATTATGCATTGCATATACTCCCATTGACTGAGTCGAATTTTCCAATTTCCCTTGCGATTTGCTATGCCTTTTACGGTGTGTATTATATATTTATATATGTTTTAGGTAATATCTGGTAGTATAATTATAGATACCCATAGACTCGCGGTTGTCTTTGATTATCAGCTGCAAAACTGCACGGTAATAAATTAAGCGCTTACTTTTTAAGGTGTTAGTTTATATACTGGGTATGTATACTAAGAGTATTTAACACAACCCCCAGCCCCCTCCTCAAATATTTAATTTGTTTACTTATGAACCACCCTCCAAGAAATTATTTTCTGTGTACGCGCCTGTTAGGTATATTATTGTACTCATCAATTTTAACTGTTACTAACTGATGTACTGATGAGTATATAGGTAATGGTAAAATATAAGTTAACAATAAGTAAGTATCATTTTTTTTTTATTACTCACCTAATTAAGTTAAGTTACTCGGTATAATAGTTACTTACACTTATGATGGAATTACCTATTAGAGGTATTTTTTTCGGATTATATTATTTAACTAAAAGTTTCTCGATGTCGTGTTAGAAAAGAAAGATGAGAGTAGACTGGACAGAATATAGAACAAATGACAGTAAGCGAAATAAGTTAATCCAGAAGGATACTCAAAACTATATTAAAGACAGAAAATGGAATATGATTGGAAATATTCTTAAATATGATGTACGAAGGAAAATGCCTGCACAGTGACGTAATTTGATCATGTTTGTGGGAGAAGGGGGTAAAATTAATTTACAAAAGAAAATTGTATTTATCATAAGAACCTCTGAGTGTAATAAATGTATGTAAGCATGTGAAAATGTGTGTAATATTGTTATAGTCATTATTGTTGTAGACAAAATAATCCGATAAGCTTTGTCGATAATGAAATTTATGGTTTTATTGAAAATTCTCCGTAATAATGAAATAAATGAGATTCGATAATTGTCTTTCGTTTATTTTTAATTAATCTGATTGATTTAACTATTATCCCACTATATTTATACTGATAATAAATGACTTTCACACTTGATAAACTCACTGTCAACTGAATAAACAACAAATTTTGACTTGTCGGTGATAACGTAGCCTGATATGTTTAGATATGACCTGTTTATTATCTGGAAATATTATTATGCACTTGGAAGCAGTATCAATTTCGATGAGTGTGCGGCACGGAATGACGTCTAGTGGGTGCCCGAAGGTTAATACTTAACATTAATTAAAAATATTCCGAAAATTGGATTAGTACAAAATATAAACATTAAATTTATTTCATCTATTGGGAGACCCATAAAAATACTTCGTTTACACTCTACACATGTTAATCGAAAACGATTTAGCACACGAATTAGCACACAGAATATATTTACTCACTTCAGTGAAATTTTACCGAGCAGTAAGATTTTTACACGTATTACACATAGGATATATTAATCCCCATCAAAAAATATTTATCGAGAATCAAATATAACTTACGTCATTTTTAACTCTCCAAAATTTAACTGGAGGTAAATTTATCGTAGAACATACGAGGTTTGGCTATTAAATAACGAGACTGCGCGCGCAGAGAACGTCCCAAAAAAGTTAGGGAAAAACCGAATACAGCGCTGGTTAGCTGGAAGTATCTATTATACCAGTACAAAATTGGGTTTTTGTCGGTGAATCAGTATTTTTTCTGTAGCGTTTAGAAACGAACATGTTTTTTCTCTTGCCGAAAACGATGTGTGACGAAAAACATGAGCAACGGATAAACGTAAAATTTTCTCGTTAAACTAAAAAAAACTCCAACTGAGTGCTATACGTTTTTAACAGAGGCCTATAGTGAGGATTTCCTATCTCGGGCGCGTGTTTTTGTGTGGCATAAATTATTTTCTGAAGGTCGAGAGTGCACTGGAATCCAATTCAGTCGTAATCCAAATTCAAAACCATGCCGATCGTTTTCTTCGATATCAACGGCATCGTGATGACTGAATGGGTTCCAGAGGGTCAAACTGTGAACCAACATTACTATTTGACAGTTTTGGCAACATTGCGCGAATGAGTTCGTAAGAAACGGTCGATATTGTGGAAAAACAAGTCGTGGATCTTGCACCAGGATAACGCGCCTGCCCATAACGCGCTGTCTGTGAAGCGTTATTTGGCCGCTTAAGGCACTCCAGTACTCGAACACGCGTCTTACTCACCCGACTTGGCACCCTGCGACTTTTACTTGTTTCCGAAGATAAAGTCTGCCTTAAAAGGAATCCGGTTTGAGTCGACGGAAGAGGTGAAACAAAAATCGGCGGAACTCCTGAATGGTCTTACGAAAACAGACTTCCAGCGCTGCCTCGAGCAATGGAAGAAACAAATGAAACGGTGTGTGAAGAGGGGAGGAGAGTATATCGAAGGGGAACATTTGGTTGTGGAATAATTTTTAAAATAAAACCATTTTTCATAAGCAGTCTCGTTATTTAATAGCCAGACCTCGTATTTGCTGGCGGGTAAATATATTCGGGTGGTAAGAATAGCCTTTTACACCGGCGTAATAGCAGGAAACCATTGTTGTTAACCGTATACGATTTGACTATGTGAAAATAAAAACAAAATTTAGACAAATAACAGTAAATCCATTTACTATAAATTTATTTATATATAAATCTATATAAATCTGGCAACGCCGCGCAAAAAAAGATAGGTAAAAACGTTCGCAATCGTATATCGGCCGTTAATTTACTATTTATAAAAAAAAAAAAAAATGGTCTTAGGTGTTGGGGTGTGTTATAAACATTATAATAATTATAATTATAATCTTTTCTCTCTGTTTATTAGTGTTTCGACCACCGTGTAGAGTATATTATTATGTTCTGAGGCGCAAAACGACTTGTGTAAACACACAGAATAACGCGTTTCGTTTTATTCTCGTAACGTTTTATTAACGAGGAGTTCAACGTCGCGTCATTATGCGTATCAGCCGCAAGTGCGTTAAAAATTTTTCGTACCAATAATAAATATACCGCGAGAATGTGCTTGTATAAATATTGTACAACGAAAATAGTTTCTCACAGCCGAACGACGGCCAACTGTGCGCACTTCGTTTTGCATTAGAGCGGGAGTTAACGGAAACTGTTGGACGCGGTCGTTTGGTATTTAAAATGATAAAAAAAAAAAAAAATTGTGAAAACCGGAGGGCGGGCAATAAATAAAAAGCCGCCGTTAATTTAGCATTTTGGAATTTCGTTAAATATTCCATTTACATAAGTAAGTACCGGCACAGGACGGAAAATCCACACGGTTTTTTCCGCGGACCAAATCGAACCTAACCCTAGTGACCGAAAAAAGTGTTTTGCGAGAAAAATAAAAAAAAAACTCGACCTTATACGGCAATATAGTAATAATAGTTGTATCAATAATACAACGGCTTCTTCGCTGTACACTCAAGTTTCGTATTTTGTACCAGACTGTCGTACTATAACCACGAAAACAATAATTAAATACGGTCGATGGAGGAGGAGGAGGAGGGGGGGGGAGGGCGAGAGGGGGTGTCGGTAGTATGAGACCCCACCCCCGCGAGTCTGCGCGGATGCGCCGCGGCAGAATAGCCCGTAAAAACTTGATTTTCACCGAGACGCGTAAACATTTTACGGAAAAACGATTTATTAATATTGTGCGACGGCCGACACACCCGCGGTCGGGTGGAATGGAACGGAAAACCGTCCGTCGGTACGCGGGGGGAAACGTCAAAATCAATTCGTTCGCATTGCGAATTTGCCAAAGACCGCGCGCATAGTAAGGCCGACTTATACGGCGAGTCCCATTGTAGCGGGTCGTCGACGTTCATACGGTTAACGATAAAGAACAGCTCCTCCTCGCGTTTCTAGTTTCGACCGATTTTGACGCGTTGACTCCGATTAGTTCTCTATCGAATTCGCACAACATAGTACAGGTGCTCTTCAACAAGGCGTTTCGCTGCCGCAATCACACTGTTCGCCGAAGCTTATTACTTCGTATTAGTTTAGACGTATTGTTCACTCGACAGCGCGCTGTCGTCGGTGTACGATTATATCGTCTGAAATGTATTGCGTTTTATTGTACAGCTATTTGTTTTTCTGCGTGTGAAAATAATGATATGTCCGCGGTATCCTTTTTTTTAACCGCGTGACGTGACACGCGATCATACTCGGCTGCAAAACGCCTACCGCTATTAATCCAGGCGAAGTCGCGCGATTTTTTCCGCTGCAGCGGCACGGCCAGAATTCATTTTCGAGTCGGAGGAGGACGGGCTTGATGCGAATTCCGAACAAATTTCCGGACAGGATTTCGAAACAATGAGTTACTGCCATACGTGTTCAAAACTACAAGGAAATATGTCAATAATTACAACAGAAAAATGCGCAACTGTATACTATTTCGGGTACGCGTATATTATTCGCGAATAAATCTCGAAACGGGTTCCCGTGTTGTTTTCACCCTGTTTTATCGTATTCCGATTAGCCGCGGGTCACAAACGGTCGGTTGATTTTTTTCGGTGTTTTCACTTCGTCGCTGGAATATCGCCTTTGACGGCTTGACACGCTTTGCACTAATAATGGTATAGGAAATGTTCGAAATATGTTCATGTCATACATACACAAAGCTCGGCGCACGCAGCCGTTTTGTATCACGTACTCGGAACATGACGTTTGCCATTCACGAAAATAACATTTGAAGTGCCGCGGTGAAGTGTCGGCTGGCGTGTTTATAACGGATTATTTCTGTTTTGATCGGATATTCGTTCGGCGCGTTTCAAATGTATTACGCCCGTACGTAATAATTGGCGACCCGGGGGACCTTGTAAGAGAGCGCGGGACGAAGATATTGTGTAGACAAAAAAAAAAAAATACTAATAACAATAATGATGATAATAAAAAAAAACAACACTGTATCGCACAGCGCGAGACGATAATACTATAATAATAATAATAATATGAACGCGTCGAGTTTATAACATTGTATCAATACGAAGGAAAACCGTTGACAGTTTTCATTTTTGACGGGCGACAAAACGGCGATACGAGTCGTTCGTATATTTACAGCACGCATTTATAATGTACGGCTAATGGGCGGCACCGGTCGAGTTTAAGTATGGAAATGTTCGGTTTTCGGATCGCGAGCAGGGAGCATATATTATACATGTATAGGTATAAAAAATAATATTGATTTTTTTCACGTATGCTTCAATACGCGAAATATATAATATTATTATTATTTTAATGATGGCGACACTACACTCGAATCGGCACAAGAGTCTTATTTTTTTTTTTTTTTTTTTTTTTTAATGGTGAAGGATGCGGAAGACTAATTAAATTTGTCGAAAACTCTTCCACGCACAAAACCCGATGCGCGGCCTATATAATGCACGCATCGATCCAATATGCAAGTACATACGTATGCATATAATTATAAGCTCTTTTCTCCCGCTCCAATTCTTTTGTTTCAATAATATACTTTACACTAATAAAATAACTACGATTTTAATTTTAGATTCTGGGCGTAGCGAACAAGCCACATATGATATGCCGGTAGTAATGTGATGTGTTTTTTTTTTTCTCGGAAAACACTTTTCGGCTAGTAAAACAGTTTCGATTATTTCGTACCGTACCTTGAAATGTAGCGACATTTTCGGCTGGCGGTGCTTTGTTTGAAACACGTTTCGAATTTCTTACTTTAACGAAAAATCGCTTTATACGGTTTGTATTTTATTTTTATAAGAAAACCCGCAATAAAACCGAATGAGGTTTAAATTGTTTAATACATGCAAACTGTCAAGAAAAGGTTTATAGCGAACGACGGAGATGGCAAAAAAAGTGAACGCCCACATACTAATAGTTATTTCAGGGGGTTTGATGTAATGCAATCAAATGAACGATTTCGTTATCTTTAAAAAATCTTTACTATCGCTTATAAATAAATGTAAATGGTCAAACTATTTTTATTTCATTTCCGTAAAACTACAATAACGATTCTATTAAATTTTCATAACCACCCAGTCTGGTGCCTTTTCCATGTTATTATACTTAGAAATTAATTATTGAATCTTCAAGGTTAAATACATTTTAACATTATATTCATCGACTCACCCCGAAATTATTATAGTATGATATTTTTTTCTTGAAGGTCCGTAGCAAATTATTTCATATTAAAGTGGTTTACAATATAAATATTATATGAATTGTTAAATTATTTATTTAGTTTATCATATTTATTTTTTTACTTTAACCGAATCAGGATATACCTATTAATAATCTCTGTCAAAAATAACGATAAATTTAAAAAACAATATAGATCAACTGAATAAATTTACTATTAATTAATAAATTTGATAAAATATTTCTAAGTATTTGTTACAAACAAAACAAATCATATTACTTAAAGAAAAATATATATTTACCACTTATCTAGTGCAAACTTGTGTATTGATGAATTAATTAATATATATTTTTAGTTTCTGAGCGAAACGAGGTGTGCATTGGTTACTATGATATGTGTGTGTTTTTTGTATACATATTTTTTTTTGTGTGTCTGTTAATAATATTTCTACTAGAAAACTTAGTCCAATCGAAAAATAACAAAGGAATTTTTTTTGTTGCATTTTGGTTCATGTCGATGCATTTAAGAGGTCATTTTTTAATTTTCCAAGCAGTATTCATAATAACTGGGAAAAACCCGAAAAAATATTTGGCAAAACTGAAGTATTTACAGCGGTTCTTTGAAAAAAAAAAAAAAAGAAATCGTTAAATAGAAATAGAAATTTTACTAAAAATCTCGTTTTAACTGTACGAAACGAATGCAAATAGGCAGTAATATGTAATGCGCATATAGTAACAAGATCTATTGATAATGTATTTAATAACAATAATAATGTACATCAATAAAATACACAACCACTGCGTTTCGATAGAACACGCACCACAAACTCATATAAACGACCGGTGACGAAATTCGGGGACCAAATTATAAAAATGTTAGTATCGTCTACCAGCTGGTAAAAATAATTATAGAACGGTAATATAGATTAAGGAGTTATTTGATGCAGTTACACGGTACGTGTACTTTCATATTATGTCGATTTAACTCTGTACATTAAAATTAATTCGTTAAAAAGAAACGTTTTTTTTTAACGAAAATGTCATGGTTTCATAAACAAATTCGTCGTGTAGAAAGTTTCGTTTAATAGAAATTCTTTAAATAAAGACGTGTGCCGATCGGATATAGTTTCTTAAATACCACATCATATCGTTTGATTCGTGAAACGTCGAAGTAATTTTTCTAACATCCCTCAGAAGCAAAGCTCGTGTCTGGAGGTGGGGTGAGGGTTTGTGGATTCAAAATTCGTCCTCTCCTCCCCGAAATTTGTTCAAAATTATTGTTTATTATTTTCACGATAAATGCCAATTAAGTTTATAACAAAATTAATAGATGATTTAATTTAAAAAAAATCGATAAACCGCGCTTAATTATATGATTGATTTCAGTTGCTTTTGTTGTTTGTTTGTTGAACCGAACTATAAAAATATTATTATTATTTCCCCGAAAGGTGTATGTGTTTTTTGAAAATTTTGTCTCCATTCGAAATTCACTTAAGTTCAGCGATCCGAAAGTTACGCGCAGGTATACTTGTGAAAATAACAACAATTTTTAACGTGAGAACTTTTGAAACATATAATTGATGACATTTGTAAAATTCGCATTTTCGATTTCGTTGATATTTTCGCCTATATTCGATTCGATTTTTTTTTTTTCGAAATTTATCCGCACATACTTTCTACATTTAGGTTCTCACTACACCGCAGCACCTATAAATATCCACCGACTTTATGAAATTAAAAATGTTAGGCACTTTAAAAACATTCGTATATTAATAATACTTTCGTTTATTTTAACGAGTTTTACCTACGTATTATACATAAAATATTGTTGACTCAATGTATATTTACATAACATATTAAAGTCAACACTCGGCAATATTATTATAATAATTGATTAAACGTAAAAACAAACAAACAAACAAAACGCAGGCGTTGAAAGTGCTGGATGTAAGAGGGAGAGGAGAGGTGAGTTTTTTAGCCCCAGGCGCCGTCTGAATAAATAGGGCACATTTAAATTTATTTATAATTTGTGTATTATTTTTGTAATATTATGGGAAAGTGTAGTAAGAAGACAGAATGAATGGATAGGTCATATAGTATGGCGTGAGCGATTATTAAAGCTAGTTATAGAAGGAATCGCGTTGTAGAAGAATCACAGAGAAAGACCGAGACTAAAATACATCCAACGAATAGTAAAAGACTAAGGATTCGATTCGTATGTACAGATTAAAAGGAAAGCGAATAATGGAAAAGATTGGAAGATGACTGCGAACCAATCTACGGATTAAATAAATCATACACATAGAGAGAGATATTACTTTTAAAACAAACAGGACGCTTTTTTCAACTAGTTCCCGTCAGTTTTTTAAAGGGGTTTTCTGTATCAAAGTGGACGTGCAGTAATGTAGTCCATTGGATACCAGGCAGAGTAAGATTTTGCTTACTGTGCGTTCTCTAGAAAATAAACGTGCTAAATGATTGAGCTAGTTGATTTTGTAACAATAAATATTAGATTTTCTGTAAGAAAATGTGAGGTAGGGGCTTAAAAGCGAGGGAGGGGCAATTGAGGTAATTCTAAAAGTTAAGTGGAAGGTTTGATATCAATCTGTTCGTAGAGCTTTTTAATAGAGGAAAATGGACGGCCAGTGGATGTGCACTAAAAAAAAAAAAATACTTTGCAAATGCAATGGGCGTCAAAATATGTCCCGAATCCGAGTATTATAAATTATACAAAGAAGACATCAAATATAATAATATGATGTCATTTTCGATCCGTATTATAGATATTATTTTTTGAATTGACTATGAAAAAAAACGTGATTTTACGTGCGATATTTGAAAATATTTTCATCGTACATCCTTAATATAATAATGTACATAAAATGCGTATTAAGTATACAATACAGGGTGATTATTTTATCATTGAACACTAATTTTTTCAAACTGTATTAACTTTAAAATTACATTTTTTTCTACTAAATTGTTAAAACTAAGCAGCTCTATAATATCACAGCACCATTATTGTTTGCCACCCTTATTTTTAAAGGTGAAACGATTACTTACTATTAATTTTTAAATGACAATCTATAATAATATTACATGTAAATGTATTACAAATTTCATAAATAGACGGATTATTTAAAGTAGCATATCTCGTCTGTGTGTTGACGGAAATCAAGCATTTCAACACCAAAATGTATTCATAACAATAACAATGCTTGTTTCTTAAATTTTGGAAAAAAAAAATTTTGAAAAATCAACACTACTTTTTGAACTATAATGAGTGGTTCAACGATGAAAAAAATCACCCTGTATAGCCAATATCGACTGGAACAAAAAAAGCACGTGAAAAGTAAGCAGAATAAATTAATAATGGGAAATGTCGTAACAGGTTGCGGAAAACCGCACGCAACATTTCGTGACGATGACTTCTCGGCGAGCTTCGGTTTCAGGTCGAACGACATCATATAAAATATATTTCTAATTTCAATAGTATTGATTTTCGTGAATAAATACGAAGCACACTACGCGATGAGTCTCAGACGATTATTAACAATTATTAATTATTACTGACAAGTCGTACCTGGGGAGGGGGGGAGGGTAACCGATAAGCCCCTAGGAAATTTTTTTGTGTTATTATATTAGGTATAAATTACCGATATCCAATATTCTAATAAAACTAGAATACCCACTCATTTATATGTCTATGAAGGCATGGAATCCGAATAGGTATTTTGTCAGTTTTAAAATCGACCATAATTAGAGGTAAGATGGAGTGTTAGAAAAAAAAAAATGCAATTGATTTTTCTCATATTAACGATAAAATTTATAGAATTAAATGATAAAATTCAATTTTCTCAAAACTATGATTACGCGATCTCTTGTCTCTTTCGGCCATCGTCGGCTTTTTTCAAAAAATATTAAACTATTTATTGTTTTATAACATGATTTTATCTTCATTTGAACGAACTATACATTTGACCTCCCTCCTCCCCTCCGGGTATCAAGTGAAGGAGTGTCTTTCAAAGTGGAGAATTCGATTCTTGGTATTTGGACGAAAATCAATAGAATCCGACGGTAAAAATAGTAGCGTTCCGTTTTTTATTTTATTTTTTCAAACGAAAATAAATATTTTATTTTGTACGGCGGCGGGGGTGAAAATGTCGAAAATAAGATTAATAACTAATAAGCCCCGCTCTCGAATTAACACGGTGTTTTGGCGTTTCTAAAAAAAAATCGTCCGTCTGAAATATTTAGTATAGTCGCGGTATAATATTGGCTATTATACCTCTTAACGTGAACGCATATAATATAGGTAGGTGCCTGGTTGTTTGGGCGTTGTTCGATTTTCTTTTCTTTTTTTTTTTTTTTTGCGACTTTTTTCTTCGGGTTCGCTTTATCATACAATACATTTAATATAGATACATCAGGGTGAAAAAAACAAAAAAAGAACAAAAATTATTTTTGATTTCACGAGCGTACCTATTTTTATATGCTATTCATACGGGTTCAACATAACTAACAATATCACCGAATATTATATTGAACAGTGAAAAAAAAAAACCAATCATTTCCGGTTCGCGAACTACGATTTTATAGGCGAATAACGCGAAATATTTGTGTCTGTAGATTCTGAGCGGAGCGAGAAATGTATTGGTTTTACAATGACATATTTTTTTTTTAAATATATATATATATATACTGTATATAAAAATTTAAGGCCATTTTTTGATTTTCCAAGCAGTTTTCATAATAATTGGGAAAAAAACGTAGGAAAAACGGGAAAATGTACGAAAATAATGTTTTTATTATTGTGAATTTAGTTTTTTGTTGTAATTCTGTTCGCAATGTTTATAAAGACTTGAAATTTGGACAAAAAACTAATATTTGCCTTTTATAGACGTGGATAAAATTGTTAGACAGAAATACTTGGAAATTTAACAGGTGGTTCATACTTAAGTCGTACTAAGTGGTCAATAAGAAAAAATTGAATTTAACGTTGTATTTTTTTAATTTTATTTAAGAATTTTAATATCAAATTTTGACGAAAGTCGTACTTGATTATGAAAGCCTTTTGAAACATGTATAATCAAACTCTTCTCAGAATCGTTTTTCGTAAACAATGAATATTCGTTGATTATATTATATCACAGATTGTATATTTTATATTACTCTATTTTACTCCATATTACTTATATTTATATCCTGCCTTCTCAACTTCTCACCTATAACCGTGATCCACCCATCGTGCGAAGTAGGTTGTTTTTTTTTTTTATGGTTTAAATTATCGCCGGACAAAAAATTTCACGACGGTAAAAACCATCAGAATGAAATGTGGACCAAATAATAAGGTCAAAGGCCCTATATAGTCGACAAGAAGAAAATGCAATACGGATAAAGTATTATATTAAATTCGATATGTCTCACGATGATCTGCAACTTGAAATAACTTTTGTTCTATTAAATATTTTTTTTTTTCAAATAATTAATGTGCCTCCCTCTAAAAAAAAAAAATATTCATATACAAACTGTAGCGCAGAGGCACACTAATTATTTAAATATATATATATATATACACACATCAAAAATATTGAATAGAACAAAAGTTATTTCAAATGGTATATTTCGGTTGTTTATGTTTTTATCGACATTCCGTAAATATTGTACCGCGCGGCGAAAATACTCTTGAATATTTTCGCGCGATATTCCGCACCGAGAGACAATTTGCCCACGCCATCTGCCGTTCACTTTACGTTTACGGACGCGGGACGCGCGCATATCGTCTTCGGCTCGCCCGCATTGATTTTGCGTCCCGATGATGCCGACGACAATCCCCCTCCCACAGCCTGCGTGACGGTGTCTCCGATTCGTTCGACGGCGTGCACAACAAAACAAACACGATAACGCACGGCAGATTCGCCGTCTGGCCCACGCCCTCTCCTCCAACCCCCCCCCCCGCGTATTATTTTTCCGGGGCCGTTTGAAATCGATACGCCGGTAACGTCATGCACCACGAAGCGTTTCTTCTCGTGTGTCAACAGCTGCCCGCCGTGTACGGCGAGAATAATATCGTTTAGCCCGATATCGCGACGCAGCCGACGTTCGTTTGGAACATCGGTGAAACGCGATCGCGAAATCGGCCGGATTCGGTAAACTGAGAGTCCCGATTTATTATTTTTCGGTAAATTGAGTCCCTCGTAAAAAAAAAAAAAACGGGAGCGGTAAATCGAGTCCCGTTTGAAATATTTAATGTATAGTAATATAATACGTATACGTGTATTACCTATAATAATTAATTGCTGTCAAAATATGAAATAAAATATATATATTATGTGACTCGCGTTGCTAACAATAATAATTGACACTGTTAAAACGCGAAAAATAAATCCAAATCGGCCCGGATCGGTTAGGGGCGGCGGTGAAAGCACCTACTATGTTTTATTGTATTCGTTGTAATTATTATTATTCATATTACTTTCTGAATTGTATAAAAATTATCCTTGTACTGTGCACGCGTATTCATAGTTCACTTTATACCGACTGCTATTATATTTTTACTTGAGATTTTGAGAAACGGAATTTTTTTTTGTGTTTTTACTCCGTAATAAATAAATAAGCACCGCCACTGCCTGCACAGCATTAGTTAATGGATTTTGTTTTACACAAGTTGGGTATTTTGTTACAAAAAATATTTATTTTTTTTTTATTTTCAAGACACTTTAAACAATTTTACACGGATACACTGATATAATATCGCGTGGCTCCAGAGGCCAGACGCTATAAGAGGGGTGGAAAGGGGAACAACCCGTTGTGAGTTAGACAGGACGGCAATCGGGCAATCCTTGAACCGCTGAAAATTCGGGCTGCGTCAATTATTTCGGGCCGATGAATTATAATTGTATTAAAAATTATATGAAATATGATAATAAATTTCATTTAAGAAATAACCGTTTTTGTTACACGGTTTCGTGACCGATTTGTGTAATCAGTGTGACCGCGGAGAGGCCTAACGATTTTTATTATTATTATTATTATTTTTTTTTTATCACCGCTTTAAATTTTAAAGGGAAATAAGAAGTCGCCGCGGTGAATACCATTATTCCGTGTGTCGCGTTATTAAATAATTAATTTCGTGTATCAGACCTTGCTTTGATAGTACATATAGTGTATATATTTATACATATATTTATGGGGACCGTATTATATGTTACCCGCATATTATATTATTTTGTTCGTTCCTTTACGACGACAACGTCGTGAAAACATATTTTCTTTACGTGAAGGGTTAAAAATCGGACATCCTTTTAATATACAGTGACCCGACGAATGCGGGAATAGGGGTATGGGGGGGGGAGGAGGAGGGAACTGTGTCGCATTAATATTCAACGTTGGCGGACCGCGGGTTTCAAAACATTATTACCCCGGTTAGCGTTCGTTTATGACAATGTCGTGACATCGTATCGGGTGGCATGAATTAGACCTTTTGTCTAATTATTATTATTTCCGACCGGGCATTGTATGTTCTGAGTCCGCCTTAGGCTGTATTTATCTTTGTATACCGCCGCGTATATACCTGTACCCGCACATATTATTATGACGTCCGGACGCGGAATTTTTTTTTTTTTTCAACGGTTCCGAGCATTCGGTTTTCGATAATCAAAACGTAATAATATAGATAATATAGCCCGCATAACGAATTAATAAGATTTTCCGAATTTTCTTCAATCTCGTCCAATTTGACCGCCTTAACGATAAGACTTTTCCACAGGTTTATTATTGCCCGATACCCATTTAAGGGGAGGGCTACGGACGAATATGACGCGCGAACAATTTCAAAATCAGGACCCGCGTCATACGGTTCAACATTCCACGGCGGTAGAAATAAAAATATACTCAAATATTAGAATACAATTTTTTTTATCCAAATCAAAACTTTATTAGAATTATACGGCGCATCTCAGTGTCATTTTTAACAGGTGCCAACATTTGTTTCAATTGAAAAACATATATAATACATGTACATACCTTTTATAGTAATTTTTTCTGATAATGGATTTATATGATCTATTAAAATTGTTTTTCTTTCAGCCGAAGACAGTGAACCCACCGATCCTGGAATATGCGGCAAGATTTTGACGGGGTGCGCTTGGATTTTGGTTGGGATCACATTCCCGTTTTCCCTGTTCGTCTGTTTCAAAGTAAGTACATATTATGAATTATACATTTTTAAACTATAAACTAATACTAAATAAATTACCAAACAGGTTAACTCATACTATAATATAAATCGTGTTATAAATGAAAGAAATCATATCCAGACTCATTATCCTGTCTCAATATCTTCTGGACGACGTTTTTATATTCATAATTAGTACGGTGGGTTTTAGTATGGAAATGAGCCGCTTATTATAGATTATTAAGATGTCAGCGTTTTTATGGCGAGTAAAAAATATATTAAAATTAAGGATATTTTGAATATCACTTAAACTCAAGCAGTTCTCATTATTTAATTTTTTTTTTCTTATAATCTATACCGTTTTAATTTTTTCAATGTGTAAAATATAAAATTGGCACCATACTATATAGATCCGTATTCCAACAATGAACGAGCTAAAACACAGTACATAATATTATTTAGGCAATACATATCTGTGTGATGTAGCTATATTTAATTACGAATCTCAGAGTTCTTATGGCTATTTTAAACAGATTTGAGTAATATGGGTGGAAAATAAGAGATCAGTTTAGAGAGTAATACCCAAATAGTAATAGTTGGTGTGTAGAATAGTTGTTTTTTGATTTTTCGTATCGTTTTCTTGATAATTCGAAAATACAGGGAATTTTCGATTTTGTTGTAATATGGTTAATAAATTATTCTGATATTTTTTATGGAATAGCCTTTTATAGACGTCTTACAATTTTTAAATTATTATGTTTATTCATGAGTTGTTTAAAGGAAATAGACATTTGACATTTTCGAGTATTTTTAATTTTTATTTGATAGTATTATGTAAATAAAATTAACTATAAACACTTTAAATAATTATTATTCTAAAAACATCATACTGTATTTACGTCGTATAGGTTATCATGTGAGCTCACAGAAAAATTAACATAGATAATAAAGTTAAAACTTAACAAGGACCAAAAAAAATATTATTTATAAGCAATATATTTTTAGTTAGCTAACGTGACTGGCTATTTGAAAAAATCGTCTAAAAATAATCTATTTTTGAATATTTTCTACAAAGAAAAAAAAAAGAAAAAATTATGGATTCTTTTTTCTCTAAAAATTATATTCGAAAATAACAAAAGCTAAAAATAAATTGTTTAGCTGTATCTATAGATTAATAAGGGCCTATAAAAAAACTTTTTGTCAAATTTTTTTCCGCCATTAACTTCATAAATTATTATTTTTATTCGATATTATAATTGGGAATCAATAATTGAAATCTCGAAGGCATGATCGGTATTCACATTAAATCAAATATTTAGGTCCATTTCTGCGGCCACCTCTAAATTGGATTTTTAACATTAATTCTCAGGTGATCAATTATGCAAGGAACTTTAGTCCCTTAATAATATTAATAATTTTTTAGAAAAAAGTTTACGGTTTCGAATTCGGTTCCGGTTCTTAGTAAAACGAACATTTTGATTCCAGTTCATAAGAAACGAACATTTTAGTTTCAGTTCAAGAAATTTTAAATCACTGGAGCGTTTCAGTTTGTTTCATTTTGACAGGATTTTAATTCAGTAGATCTAACTCAATTTAACTTTAGTAGTCTGTATAATACAATAGAGCCGTTTAGGGATATAAGGGATTCGCTTCTCTAGACATATTGGTATCCATAGTATATGTATTGTAAATACACTCAAATTGTTAACTATTGAATAGTTAAGTAATATTAATATTTGTAGTTTATATTATGTTGAACATTAGTTAGATCTTTGGTAGATAATTAATCATCTTCATCAAAAAAAAAAAAATGGGCGAAAATCGAATTCACGATTAATAAATCATTTGTATTGACCCAAATAACATTTTATTATTTGTTTAGGTGGTCCAAGAATACGAAAGAGCGGTGATATTTCGCCTGGGACGTCTGGTGTCTGGCGGCGCCAAAGGACCTGGTCAGTATAATATAAACTTAAAGATATTATTTGATATATAAATATAATGTACGACTGTATTCATTCAATGAAATCGTTTATTTATACCCATCTGTAAAGTGATTATGATCAATTCAGTGGCGTGGTGAGCAATATTTGATTTGTGGGGAGATTAAATTATCTAGTATCCACCCCCTAAAACAAATTAATTCACTTGTCCACGGAGAACTCGCCTTATTTTATTACATTTTGAACAAACACCATATGCTATTTGTATGCTATTTGTTAACTAACTGTATTTACAATAATTTACCGCGTGTAATTTCCTATTTCAATCTTTGTTCGATACGCTACTACGAATGCTCGCCGGAGCGTATTTTAGGGAGGCGATAAGGGCGATCGCTCCCCTCTTCTAAATCCTCTGAATCGATTTTATATAGGTGTGATGTTATGAAATTGTACCTTTATATTTTTCTACGGTAAAACAGAAATAAAATGTATTTACTAGTTATTAAAATAGGTACTAGAATAGACTATGATAGAAAAAAATTTAGTTTATTTCAATTATATACAATACGAACGTAACAATAAACAGATAAGAACATAATCTGGGCACAACATAATATTTTATCAATATCAAACATCACGGTCATTTTTAGTCATCAAATATCGAAAACAGGCCCATTATTCATAAGAGATAGAGGGAATTCAAAAATGTAATAAACAATTTTTTAATTTATTATAGTATTATATTCACATTAATTCTGTATGTATATAAAAACGTAATGATAACATTATAATGGTGGTATTCCATTTTAATTTAACGCAATATTGTATATGTACAAATGTGATTATAAAACATAATTGATCGAAAGTCAAGAACACAAATTATAACTTTTCGTTCACTTTTATACATCAGTAGCCCTTCAAAAGTAAATTTACTTTTAATTTGATAAAATTAATAACTGTAAAGATGCAAACAAGCAAAAAAACAATGAAGGTTTGAATCTCAAATCGTTCCCTCCTTTTATGCACGGGCGTACCGAAAAATCATCAATTGTAATTATTTTTATGCAAGTGGCAGAGAAATAAAACTGAGTGGCCATTTACTCTCCCCCAATAAAAGGATGACTAAATACGCCTTTTAAGTGTGATGAGGTTTTTATTCCACCACATAATTTCTAAACGCCCGAATAAATTTACACACTTCAAGATCTGAATGAACTTTTTTTTTTCTTTTACTAACAATAACATAAACATTATAATATTTATTATTTTAGGTATATTTTTCATATTGCCGTGCATCGACAACTACGCTCGTGTCGACTTAAGAACTCGCACTTACGACGTGCCGCCACAAGAGGTACGTATACAGAATACAAATGTAGCGCGCGGCCTTTTCCCAAGGACTTTAGAAACTTAACTTTTCTTTCCTTCCAACGCGCCCCGAGTAAACCGATATATATTGGATACAATGAGTTGTACGAAAAAAAAACCTTTTGATAGATATGATCGCAGACGCGCAGACGACTTTGAAGTATAGGCGCACGCTCGACTATGTCCTTAGTTAAATAACGTCCGTCAATCTAATAATATTTTTCGATTACTCGTAGTAGTGGCACCAAAGTCCTAAAATTAAATTCGAGCGAAATTCATTTCAATTCATATCTAATACGGCCCGTTTTATTTTATAATTAACTGTTATATATTCGATGACTAAAAAAAAAAAAAAATAAACAAGAAATTGAAAATTTTTCCTTATTCCTTATAAATGATGAAAATTATTAGGCAGCGACAAATATTATTGTGAATCATGAGTTTACTACTTCATATTCACTAGTATAAATTTGACTATTTTTTTATTTTATACAGGATAAATAAAATAATAAAATGTAGAAGAGGATCAGAATACACTCATGGTACCTCTACCGTTAGGCCGACAGGCAGAGTAAAATTCTGTCAAATAGTATGAGGAGTTCTAAATAAGATTTTGGGAGATTGTCCCATCTCGAATGCGGACGGGGAAAACAAGTGAAAGGAAGTACCATAGTATGATATTTGCCGATGTTATAGCTTTGATAGGAAAAAATCTGAAAGAACTTAATAATAGGTTCGAGGAATGGAGTAGCACTTGAAGGGAAGGGACAAAGGATAAGTAGAATTAAAACAGAGTATGAGTTTGAAGAAACAGGACAAGACCGCTAACGAAAATGAGCAGTTATAGGCGAGATTGAGAGTTTCAAATACATCGGATCATTTGTAAAAGCATGATCATCAAAAAAGCACGGGAGCTTTCATGAGGATGTAAACATAGGATTAAATGCGGTTGGATGGAATGTAAAAAGCGTAAAGTGTTTTATACAACAAGATAATTCTAATGAGACTTAAAGTTTAGTTCTACAAAAGTGTGGTGAGACTGACTATTTTATATGGTTCGGAGTGTTGGGCGGTAAACAGAAAAATAGAATAGAGAATGAGTCTCGCAGAGATGAGAATGTAAATGAGTGAAACGTCGAGAGAAGATAGGATAAGAGATAAGTGCATAAGAGGTAATTTAGGAGTGATTTTGATAACAGAAAAAATGAGAGAAAATAGGCTGAGATGATTTGGATATGTCAAAGAGAGAGATGCATCTGAAGCAGTAAGAATTGTAATGAAAATAAACGTAGGAGGATAGAGGTAGAGAGGAAGACTGAAAAAGAAGTTGCAATTTAAAATTATATGAAGATAGTCGCTGTATGCTAGTTGAGAGATCAGGTCAAGTAGAAGTCTAGAATGAAGGTGGTTAAGATTTATTTTCAAATATATTACATAGCATTATACATTAATAAGGAAGCAATTTTCTTAAAACAGATGTCTCACCCATAAAAATATCTATATCCTAGAAATATAATTAAGAATAAGAATATTTATAGGTGAACTGTTTTATATTAATTATATTTAAATCTAATAAATACCTTATCGGTGTCAATATGTATAATATCATAACTTCATCTTGATGTTTTCTAACCGATTTTGCTCCATTTTAGAGCACAACCAAAATTGTATTACTTCAGTTTTGAAGGTTTGTATTCAATTGTACAACTGAACGTTACCAGCGTTAAACTTAGTTTAATTATGCTGTATACTTTTCAAATTATGATTTTATATTAGCCGAATGCCAGTATTTATAATATTTTTCACGCCACAGTTCAAATTTTTATCTCTTGCTTCAAGATTATTATGACTATTGTCATCTTCATCTTTAGGATCAGCATGTAGCTATTTTGAAATTTGTTCACATTAGAACCACCGAAATGTTCTTCACAAAATATTTTTGATTATAGACATATTGCAATGACGCTTAAAAAAAAATGATGTAACCCTAAAGCAAAATGACAGATAACACATTATTAAACCATTGCATTCAGTGGCAGCTTTAAATAAACAATAATACTAAAACTGCCTCTTTAAGTGACCGAATAATTAGCACAGAGGAGATAACCAGTGTCCCGACCTTATCTTGTAAGACTATGGGCCCTTTGAATCCCGGCCATCTTATCAACCTACTCATGTATTTAAACGTTTTAATTTCTTCCGGTGTTGATGTTTAACAGGTACTGACCAAAGACAGCGTGACAGTTTCCGTGGATGCGGTCGTTTACTATCGGGTGTGCAATGCTACCATATCAGTGGCCAACGTGGCCAACGCCCATCAGTCTACGAAGTTGCTGGCCCAGACGACGTTGAGAAACGTGTTGGGTACCCGACCGCTTCACGAGATTCTCAGCGACCGGGACGCCATATCTAGGACTATGCAGGTGTTATTGGATGAGGCTACTGAGTCATGGGGAATTAAAGTGGAACGTGTTGAAATGTAAGCACAATAACCTACACGTTTTTACCCTGTGTAGTCTATGAAAAAAAAAACAATATGCACACAGCACACTTTTTGAGTAGCAGACGTAAGCGATGGGTACTGCTGCAGTTCTGGAATTTATTTGTACCATCGGACTGGTCTTAGCATATATATTAATCGTCATCTCCTATCCCACATTCAATCATTGCACCCGCAAGTTAAATCGTACAAAACCCTTGGTGTCGGTGAAAAACCAATTTTGCTAACCCATTTCTTTTTCCTTTTACTTTTTTCCTCTCTTATCACTCTATTCTTTCCTTTTACCGCCACCCTTATCCCTAATGTCTGAAAACTAATCGAAATATGAAATTTGTTTAAATACGATAAAAAAAAATTAAAAAAACACGGAACAAAATAATCTACTGTCGTCCTCGTAGGCGTAATATCGATTGGTTTAGGACTATTAGATGAAGATTATAAATGGTATAATGTATTTTAAATTCAATTCCTGGAAGTTTCCTGGGAGTCGATAACTGCTTAATAAGTGGCTGCAAATCTGAGTAGGGAATGTACGTCTTACATTACGTTAGCGACCACTTGTTGCAGCCAACCGCCCTGTTGTCTGTTGTCGCGGTAACGTGAGGCATTAGTGATGAATAGTGACGGTTCAATATAATATTGTGTACCTGTATACACAAAAATACGTCCTAGGATAATGGGACCAGGTTCAGCCATTGTTATAGATAATTTAATGTATACCTGTAAGCAACAATAAACCATTGCTTCCGGAAAAACGATTCTGAGAGGAGTTCAGTTGATAGTGATGCTTTGTCAAAAATATATATGTCATATTATAGTAAAATAATTAAATAGGCTTTATATATTTTCTTTAATAATATTTGTTTAATATTGTACCGATTTTCCAAGTTTTCCTACGTTTTTCTCATGTTTTATCCCAGTTTTTCACATTTGCTGGGAAAACACCAAGTAAAATAAAAAAATTACCTCTTTAAATTACCTCTCTAGTGAAATTTCCTTTTAGAAACATTACTGTTATTAAAAGTTGGAGCGAAATTGCTGGTAGAAGAGTTATGCACAGAAAAAAAGGAGGTCATAATATATTTTGACTAATACTTATATTTCTTATATTTTCCTGTTATTCCTCCGTTTTTTTTGGTTTTTTAAATTAGATGAGAAAACTCCCGAGAAAAAAAAACGAAAAATTACCTCCTTTAAGTACCTCCCCACATACCGATTTCCTTTCAGAAAAGGTGCTACACTAAAAAATCCGAGCAAGTCATCTGGTAGTAAGGTTGAACACAAATAAAAATAAAAAAAATAAAATAATAAACATCTTTGTAAAACCATACGTTTCTTCGCACCACATAGAATCTAAAATTAGTCGGGGGCCTCGACAATCTTTAAACCCCGAATAAATCACAACTGCGTGATTAAAATTTCATTTTTAGCTCGACGTCATTTTATTTTTTTTTTTAGAAATTTCAGTCTATATCTACTATATAAATATTAATGTTCCAAGATTTTAATACGATAAATGAAATAACAATGATTTTTATTGATTGATATGTTCGGCAAATAATTGCTAACATGTATTTCGTGCAGGTCGATTTATCTAAACTCAGTAAGATTAAACGAATTTGAGTCAGTAAACAATTTAATTCAGTAAATTGAAGTTATTGAACTGAATAATGTTCCCAAATCGTCACTATATAGATCCCTAATACACAAAAGTTGTTATTCGACGGAAAACCTAATTTAACCTTTATATCATGAATAATCTATGACTGCGTGTACATATATTATACATATTTTTTTATTTTTTTTTTTTTTTTGGGAACTTTAGCTTATCTATTATGTATTTATGTATACATACTATAAGTTTCGCGTAAACCGGAAGTAGAGGTAATAAAGTTTTTGTTGTATATTTTACGCAGAAAGGATGTGAGACTGCCAGTTCAGCTGCAGAGGGCAATGGCTGCGGAGGCTGAGGCTGCGCGGGAAGCCCGAGCCAAGGTTATAGCTGCCGAGGGTGAACAGAAGGCGTCCCGGGCGCTCCGGGAAGCGTCTGAAGTAATTAGCGATTCTCCGGCTGCTCTCCAACTCCGATACCTACAGGTGAGTTGTCTAAGAGATTAAAAGAGGAAAAACGACATCGAATCTCATGGACGTATGGCTTGAATACGTGTATCAATGAAATACTCATGTTTCCCAAAAATTCGATAAATACAACCGTGGTGTATATAAAAAACGATTCGATTCGAACAGGAGAAATTTTTCGGGGAAACCTGTATAAAAACCTGACAACTGTTTTATTTTTTAAGTCATATCTACCACCATGGGCGTCCCCAGACATTTTTCTAGGGGGGGGGGGCAAAATTAATTTAAAAAATAAATGAAAATTGTTTATACATTTTATTTATAGTAGGTATATTATTATATTTTGTCATTATTACAATTAAAACATTACAATTAGATATTATTATAATACATTAGTCTTTTTCATTAAATATAAATTTCAATCTCCGTGGAAATTCTCTACCAAATTGTGTCAGTGCATTTTCAATAAATTTTTCTTTATCTGAATTTACTTTTTCTCTATGAACACTCAACATGCATATTCCACTCAGTCTATCATCACCCATCGTTGATCGTAACCATGTCTTAACACGCCTTAATGTACTAAAAGAACATTCTGCTGTACAGCTTGTAGCCGGAAGAGACAAAAATATTTCCAAAGTAACAGCTATACTTGGAAAAAACGTACAGTTACAATTCAACAAATCGATGAAATTAATTTCTTGGCAGTCCTTATTTTGCCAAAAACTGTACCAACTATCTGCTTCAGCTTGTAGATTATCAATTTTATAGAAATCAAAATTTTTTTCAATGCTCTCAAAATACATTTTTTTCTCCAATTTTTTAAAAATGTTGGGATGAAGATATTGTAATAAAAATGCATTATCATTTTTTTTTTCAAAACGTTCTTTTATAGATTGTAAAATTGAATGACACTCGTTTCGATCGAAAGTTGCGTTGGAACTGATGGGAGTATCCGCGCGGGTAATAATAATGATGTATAATAATAATGATAGCAGATAGGTATATTGTGAAGTAAGCAATAAGATAATATACACGATATAACAGCAAACAGCTAATAAATTATTGCCCTGTTAGCATCAAAAAATACGTCAAGATAAAATAATCCGATTATTAATGATAGTTTTTATGGATAGCCGTGCGCTGACATTTAGCAACATAGACCTATTTTTAGAAGCTAATTTCTCATTGGGAATTTTACCAATTGCTATATATATATATATATAATAACATTCCAGGGGGGGGGGGCAAGTGCCCCGTCTTGCCCCCCCCTGGGGACGCCCATGTTTACTACGTTTAAACTTACATATTTAAATGCGTTATAAAAAATATATTCAATTCGTCATATAGAGTTAACTCCAGGGTACAGGGTGATTTTTTTTATCATGAACCATCAATTTTCTCAGAGGATTTTAAATGAGTTTGATTTCTACTTTTTTTAATCATTGTGAAATCAGTTAACCTAAGACAATATTTTTTTTAGGAATGTTGGTATACATAACACTAGTATCAGATTTATCGTTCACGAGTTATAACCATTTAGAGTTTAGACCGAAAGAGTAGGAAAATGTTATCAATTTATCATTCAAAATAAATAGATGTGCAATTTGTTACCCTTATTCCCTACTCTTCCAGTCTAAACTTTAAACTGTTAAAAATCATAAACGGTAAATCTGATATAAGTGTTATGCATTTCAAAGTTTTTGAAAAAATATTCTCTATTCGAATCTATGTTCTAAAAAAGGGATTCCTATATGAAAAACAAAAGTATGTACTTATATAAGGTACATGTAGTAAGAGTAAAAAATTAAAAATGGTTTTAAAAATAAAGCTTAAAGGATTCAACAATGATTAGAAAAAAAAAAAAAATCAAATTTACTTAAAATCTTCCAAAATAATAACTAGTTTATGATAAACAAAAAAAAAAAACAAATGGTCATACTTCGCTTAATTAAAAGTTGGTAAGATAGAGGCTGAATTTAGTAGAGACGATTAACCATCGCTAACTAAAAACGATTCTGAGTAGAGTTCGGTTAATAATGTTACTTTGTCAACAATATATATGTCACATTAGAGTAAAATAATTACGTATACATTAAATATTTTCTTTAATAATATTTGTTTAATATTGTATCTATTTTCCCGGTTTTCTCATATTTTTTTCCTGTTTTCCGGATAAAAAATTGGCATCGACATGACACACCGATTTCGTTTACCGAATTTGTTGTATATTATTATTACTATGTTGCTCTCTCTTCTTGTAGACTCTGAACACAATATCTGCCGAGAAGAATTCCACCATCGTATTTCCACTACCCATCGACATCATATCGTTTTTCATGAAATCACAGGAGACACGGGAGCGTTCTACGGAACGTAATCAGCATCATCATCGCTACGAGAACAACAGCTGAATTTTCAAATATCATCGCATACCATTATCGAGAACCGCTTACCGACCAAATGAAGAATCCACATGCATTTAGTCACCATTAATGTACTAATGATAATTTATTTCCCCGTGAAACTTTTATATTTAAATTTACTCAACCAATATTAATTTTTATAATACCCTCTCCCCATTATTATATAGATTTCAGACTTTTATTATTGTTAGGTGAATACCTAACAATAATATAGTTTAACTATAGTAAGTATAGTAAGTTAGAACTTGTATATTAATTTTCGTCGGGCCTTACACGAATTATTGTTATTATTTTTTTTTAATCACGTTCAAACTACAATAATAATAAACTTAATGTCTCTGACTTGCGTTCTCTCTCTTTTGAATATAACTAGGTTACTTAGTGGCTGTAGTAGTGGAAGTAGTAGACAATTATATACATATATTATACATGAATAATTCATATTAATTGCACCAGGGATAATTATCGATTTTTAGTATTAAAAGTTCCTATATATTATATAAATACTTCATGCGAATTTTACAATTTCCATGTAAGTAAAAATGTCGAATATTATTATAACATTATGTAGACACGTTGAAACCCCGTATATAATTAAACTATAAAAACGGTTATGAACGGTAAATTTAAAAAAAAAAAAAAAAAAATGTCTAACCGGATTTCTTTTATGCGATGTTATTAAATTAGTGCACTTTATAATATTACATAATGGTTTGGTTAAATTATAATAAAAAAAATACGGTTTGCGTATATATAATGTATGGTGTCGTTACAGTTTACTTGTACAGACAATCTAGATAAATATCAAATCTGACTATTAGAAGTGACGTAATATCTCAAGTATATCGGCCGGTGGTCGGTACACAAATACAATAATACATGTTTGGTAGTCTCCTGTTCTTAGTATAAAACCATTATGTAAAATTTTACAATTTGTTTATAATAAGAAAAGTTATAATCGCCTGCAATATATTAGGTACTCATTAATTGATTGTTATTTACACTGATTAAAAACTATTTAGAATGGTTACGCTGGGAATAATGTTACCGACTTATTTTGCATGGTGATTTATTAAGTGGCTACAGTCCATTTGCGCCCCGAAGGATGTGGACAGTTGCGCCCGTAAGATAAGGTACTGTCTGTTAACGTATAACCCACATGCGTCGATTTTGCACACAACGTTGCCGTCATGCACTACCGTTTTTTTTAACGCGACGCGAACTTACACTTCCCGAAACAAAATTTCTACCGAAGTGGAATTTAAAATTACGAAAAATTAAACATTAACGGCTTTTAGTAGTATTTGTTATTTTAAAATTTATTTTTATACACGTGAAACTTGTGTTTGTAATTTGCGTAACGTTGCACAACGCATTCACGGAGAGAACTGTCATGAAGTGTCATACAATTGACCAATATCGATAAGGGTGTAACGTAAAATCTAAAAACAGTATGATAAAAGGTGAGTCCGCAGCAGTTTTGCATCGTATTCCGGCATACAGGTCGGCAACGTTGCACGGTTTTAACGCAAAATATTTCGATTGCAAATGGGTTATGATTTCAGGTGCGAATGAGCTATGAAAAAGATGTGATAGACGCAAATGAGCTGCTCCACATTAAGCATGCTCACCCCATTTGTATGATTTAATTGTACAGACTTTATGTTTTTGGCTCAACAGAAGAAGAATTTAATTTAAAAATATGATTAAATATTTTCCAAATAATTATTGTTGAGAAATTTTGCGTGGGAAATAATATAAGTGTATGTTCTTCTAACACATGATATCCTGAAAATTAAAATACCTACCACTCACTATGATGTAGGACGTAGGTACTCTTCTTTGATAATATACAAGAAAATGTTCAGGATCATGATGATTTTTTTTTTTCTATAAAGACATACAATCATTAGACTACTATCACAAACGTTTTAAATTGTTCAAGCTCAGAACCCAGTGCGTCAACATGCACTTTAGAGTTTAGATCCCTGAAAGACTTGGGCGGGTGGGTATCTAGTACCGACAATGGTTTTTAATAATTTCGATACACATGGTAAATTAATGATAGCCGTTCTGTAGGAAGTATGCCAAAGTTCTCGGTTTTCCTTTATTATATATTCGGTACTTCTTTGTTTGTCTAACAAAGATAACAAACTTTGTTATCTATATATTACTCCTGTTTGTGTTCATTGAATCTCAAGGATATTGCACTAATTACAGTTGTAGTAATATTATCGTTAAGTTACTATTATAGTCGGTTAAGCGTAATGTAACTCGTCAAGTTAGTGATTTTTATTATAACTATATAATCCGTTACATCCCAGCTAGTGTAAAAACGAACTTACACACTCATAGGTGCGTAATGCGGTTATAATGTAAAACGTCGTAATAATTTTATTTAAATAAAAAGTTTATTCGAAGGGGTAAAAATATACAAATAAATTAACAGCGAATTGAGAATAGGGGGTACATACGAAAATGCACGCGTCACAACACAATATATTATATTATAAGGTGGTTATTGTCCGTAGTTTTCGTAGATATCTTGCGCGATCGTTTGATCGAAATTACTATCATTATCGAACAAGTTTTCCGTTGCATTCGAATGTCGCGTCGAAATTTGTAATAATTTGACACAAATATAATTGATACGTGTAAAATAAAAAAATAAAATGTAATTTTGAGATATAGTACAATATTATCATAACAATTTTATACCGCAACACGATTGTCGACGCGCAAACACCGATCCGATCGATTTTGTTTCATCGTCCGAATAACCTAACCGGTCATTCCCGGTGTACGGACGTCGTCAGCGGTCCCAGAACCGCGTGGCAGTCGACCCGCGTACGCCTCCCGGTATATAAAGTATAGTAAACTTTGATGACCGCCTCGGCATCCGCGTTCACTCACATAATGTCGTATGGGCTAAGTAACACGGTATGTTATCATTGTTGTTTACCACTTTTAATGAGTGATACGCAACTCGGATGTATCACGAGATAATAAATGTTACGACGTCAGCCTGTCATCAAATTATTATTACATAATAAACCTATATGTTGAGAATAATTTGAAAACCGACGGGATTATTATTAGACGGCATGACGTAAGCGATGTGCGCAGTCCGTGATACCGCGTCACTTGGCCATAGTGTGGGCGGGCACTACGTCGTCTGGAGCGGCGACGTGTACTTGCGAGCAGCGTTTCCGGCGTGCCCGGAGACCGCGGGCACGTTGCTGTATTCCGGCATGTCGACGAACAACTGTTGCACCTTGTCTTCGACCGAGACAACGGTAGAGGCCGCGGCAACGTCGTCTTGGAAATGCGACGACGGCGGCGGCGGCGATGTCGGCGATGTGGCTAGCGAGCACGCGATTCCGGTCGCGCACCGGATGGCCGAAGCGGCGAGCGCCGTCGGCGAATCCCGGCACGGCGCTTCAGTCTCTTCTGCGATGGTCTCGGCCGTCGTGGAGCCTAGCGGCGAGTACGCGACGTTACCGTAGTCGTGACCGGCGTAATCGGCCGACGCCTTGCCCTGAAGGAACGTGGAAAACGAGTGCGGCTGATCAAAGTACGACGAAAACGACGGTTTCAGCGGCTGTATAAAAATTATATAATGTGAAACGTCCATTAACGTAAACCTCTAGATGAACGTACACCGTCCAAATAGCGGAATAACCTGACACCATACCTAGTCCCTTACGAATTGGTTATAATGATAATCGGTTATAATTAGAGATGTGACAAATAATCGAACCGAACCAAATACTCAATAGTTCGGTTCGAAAATCATTCGATGCCGATTCTGCGTGGACATCAATGCGATGTTCTGTGGTGGGATAGCAGAATGGCCTTGTTACGAAAAAAAAAATCTTTTTTTTCTTCTCATTAGTGGGTCTTATAATGGTAAATTGTTAAAGGTCGTAAAGGTTAACCTAACCTAACCTAAACTTTTTACTTTTTTAATGTTCGAGTTCGATAAAATATTTTAAAAGTTCAGTTCGGTTCGTTAATTTTAAGTAAAGTTCGATTCGGTTTGGTTTGGTTCAACTTTAACAATCGGGGTTTCTCTAGTTATTATGATTGTTTTTAATTAGTCTCTTGAATGTCATTATAAATGGTTTCTACTGTATATACATAGAAATATGTATAGGAATTCGGTGCGACAAAATCGCTAAAAACAATAAGACTCCCCCGCAGACTTTGTGAATTCAAAAATAGTATTATATTTAATCACCTTTCCGTCGTCCAAATATTCTGAATGGACCGCGTTGTTATCGTTCGTGCTGTTCACGCTCACAGTACTGGATCGGCCGCAAGAAGTAGAACCTGCACAATAATCACGACGATAGTTAATCTCGGATAAAATGTAAATACCTATCTAAAAAGATAACAAAATAATATACTTACTGCTAGAACTCTGTAAACTCAGGCCGCTTGACGGTCGCTTGGACTGATGTTCCGAGCCGATTCTTTTCGTAATGTTGTCTTGCGGGGAAACGTCCGGATCTGTATATAAAAAAAAAAAAAAAACCGTCGTTCAGATAAATAGGTAAAATAAAAATTGCAAAAAAAAAAAAACAAATAAACAATTAATTCAAAAATGGTTATGTTTCTCACGTTTAGATTTGTGTTTGCCGAAGAATTTTTTAATGCGTTCGAACGGAGTCGGCCGTTTCAAATGATCTTTCATTCGCTGTTGGATCCGATCGTATTCGACTCTCATACGGTGCAGTTGTTCCTGTTAATCAATCGAAGTCTCAATGAAATTATGGCCACCGCTGGGTCTATCGGAGGAGACGCGAAGGCGTGTGGAGTAAATGAAGATGGACAAAGAGAGTTTATGCGGAGATTAAAAGAAGACGAAGTAAAAAATGACGATTTTGCACAAGTAGACATGTAGGTACCTGTTTCTCTTTGAAGGACTGTTGCACGTCGTGTCGGTTTTTCCACGTTTCTACTAGGTTCTCCACCTCGTTGATGGTCAAAACGTTGTTTTTGAAATCGTGGATGATCTCTAACAGCTCGTCTTGGGGCGCGGATAACATTTGATTGCTACCTGCTGCGGGACGGAAAATTCCGACACTATTATTATTAGGTACACGTGCAAATATTTGATACAATTGTGAATATATTGTATATATTATGTAACGGGTAAGGTATAAGAACGGGTATATTAGTGTACTAATGTGCACATTATCCACCTTTAATATGTACAACGTTTACATTACCCAATCAACTTATACATTAGCCGGTGTGTTGCGAATAAAGTATTCGTATTTCTCATTTGAAACAGTCCGTGCAAGCGCAGCGAGCGTGTGACTCTGCCGGGTCTCTAGGTGCGCCGATAATGCATTTGTATTTACTACTTCAGGTCAAAGGGTGAAGATGTAAAATTATCAAAGTATATTCTTTACACACTCAGCCGCAGATAATGTACAAACTACCCGGGTAATTTACGAAATAAACGTTTTATAGATAATATTTTTTTTTTTTTTTTTTTTTTTTGTCAACAGTTATGGGTAGTGGTCACCTTGCTCAGATAATGTATACATTATCCGTCTTTTCGTACTTTACCCGTAACATAATATGTGCATGTAAAGAAGAAATACAAACCGCGAGAACTGTGTGAGCTGTGAGTTGAAAAATCACCGGACCTGTTGCAATCGGGCATTTTTGCGCTGACCGAATCGTCGAGTGACATGAATCCGCGCAGATAGTTGGCGGAACCCAAACCTACGGGGCAAAAATAAAAACGAATTAATTTCCGATGGAAGTTTTTTCTGTCGCGCACTATTTCATATCGAAATCGTGTCAGCGTAGATTAGCTAAGGTCAAGGACAATAAATTATTTTTACGGGCGCACACGAAACTCACTAGAGCTCATCTCCAGGTAGCCGCAATGCGGGACAGTGTCGACGGGAGAAGGCGGCGGTAGTGGTGAAGGGCCTCGCGTGCTCGCGTGTGGCGGGCTGTACGGTCGACCGTTGGTGGGCACCTGGTAGTTGGTGGCGAATATCGACTGCGGCGGCGGCGGTATCTGATAGTTAAACATTGTCGCGTTGGTGGTTAAGGGTGACCCCACGTTGGTGTAGAAGTGCATGTCGACGACCGGCGACGAGGGCGGCTCCTGCATCACCGGCCTGGGAGCCGGCGGTACCAGGTAGCTGTCGTTCAAGGGCCGGGGTAGCAAGTAATTGTCGTCCGGCCCCAGATCTTTCGCATGATGATGATAATGGTGAAGATGATGATGTGGACTGTGGTGCCCGTCCGATATCCCTTTCAGTATACTGTACATGCTGGTGAGCTCGGTCATCTGCATGTAGCCCCGCAGAGCCTGTGCGAGCTTTTGATGGTTGGACGCCTCAGCCACGTCCGCGGGCGTCATCTGCGACACGTTCCGCAGCTGGCACGCCTGTTCACCGCCCGGGCTTTCTAGCAGATGCCACAGCAATTTCTCCAGACCGAACTTGGCGGCGAAGTGAAGCATCGTCGGGTACTCTTCGTGACCTGTCCGACACAGTTATTTAATTACGGTTTACTGCAGGCATTCGCAGAAATCACACACAGGGTTCTTAATTTCTTATAATGTGTAAGTCTTATTATTTTGGTTTTAAGCTAATTTGTTTATTCATTTTACTATAGTTATATGCCTATCATGGTTTGTTCACTCCAGCAGTCGAACGCCAAATGGGTATTAAAGTCAGAATATCAGATACTTGTCACATATTAATTATTGATAAGCTATCTTTTTTTAAGTTACATTGATAAGAGATAACTAATAAGCTACACATTTAAAAAAAATCACTTAAATAAGATAAATTATAAGAGATACTGATAAAGGATAACTGATAATATTAATGAGATCCAATAAGTAATGCTAAATATGAGATAAGAGATATACGATAAGAGAAAATGTGTTACAGACGGATTTGAGCTTTTATATAATAAAATATAGGTAGAATTTTAAAATTATAATGTATTTTGACGTTGTTTTTTTTTAGCTCTTTTTTAACAAATTTATAATAAATACGATTAAATAAAAATACTTACAATATTGGTACCGTGATCCGGCAGGTTGGAGAAGATGGAAATTAGGCGGTACGTTTTTTACGTAAGCCGTGACCAGAAACAAATCCAGCTGCTCTCTGTCAGCTGGATTCAAACCAAAGGTCTATAATAAAAACAACAATAAATTCCGGTTGAGATCCAAAAAAATCAAAGATTATTTGAAAACCAACGCACCCACGATGGAGAATATCCCGTCGCAATAATGCAATATATATTTATATATCCGTGATCAAAGGTCATTAAAACAAAACAGCTCGATTAAGTTAAAAGTATTGAAATACGAAAAAAATGTTTAAAATTTCTAATATTTACAAGTGTCTTAAAAATAAAGTAAACCAAACTATAGAAATACCGATGTAATTATTTTAATGCATATTCGAATCAGGATTAAAAAATAAACACTAACTTTAACTTAATAAAACTTAAGTTGGTTAAAACAATTGGCTAACCATAACTTGTCCAACTTTTCATCTAAATGGATACTTAAGATTTTATCTTACCTGACACAAAAAATTTAGCGGATTGTCTAACGAACGTATCAGTTGATCTAATTCCCTCATGCGACTCTCGCACTTGACCGAGCGCTGACCCAACGGCTGGCCGTTTTTCTCGACAACCACGTTTACCAGAACTGACACTTGCAAACAGCTCACTGTGGCCAGAAAATCAAGTAAGGTCATTCAATTTTTAGATTTATTATTATTATTTAATATATACTAACATGGCATTTTGAATTGTAACGTATACGGATTCCTACGGGTCACGCTCGTCACTTCAATCTTGTGCCCATTCTTGTCCACGGTGATCACTACGTTATCGTCCGAAGTCAACGGCTCTGTCAACAGAACGATGAGTTTGTTTTGGCCCTGGAATGATATTCGCCCGTCGAATAAGTGTAATATAATAATATATTTTCATAAAAAAGGTTTTTTTTTTTTTGAAAATCGACGACTTACAATTTTTATTTTTTTCGGAGTGATAGAAAATTTCGTATCTTCTTCGGGCACCTTTACCGCTTGTTGGATATGTATGGATTTGCTGAGGATATCCATAGACACACCGTAAAAATCACCTACGGATTCGCGGTCTTGGTCCTTAACGGCCATTTTTCTCCATTTGTCATAATCTACCAGTACTGTATCCAACAAAAGACATAATTGTTAACAATCTGCGGTAGGACGTATTTTGAAATTAATTTATTAGAAGGACGTCCTATAAAAATAAGTATCGGTCGCTATGTTTATTTATTTCGAGACGATAACTCACCGGTCTTGTGTTGGTCGGTTATGTCGGCTTCGGTGACGCCGACTAACAGAGCCAGCATACGATTGGTTTGTAGCAACGCACTCAGGTTGTCGGATCGACCGGAATGCGCGAGAATCCGCTCTAAGAAAATCGGACAAACCAGTACGATCTGCAAACGGGCTTGACTGCATCGTTCCTGGCGCGGAGCCGACATGCCGCCTGACAGGACGTCTTCTAATCTCACTCTCTGAATTCTAAAATGTAAAATAAAAATATTATGATTCCAAGAGACTTTATAATCTGGAATGTAACTTAAAAATTAGTAAGTAGGTACCAATATTGATACGCTGTATACTTGATTCGTCGATTTCAGTATTTAGATACAAGACACTATAAATTGGAACTTGTGTAACAACGTAAGATACTCGATATATGCATATTGTAGGCGGAAGACCGAAAAAGAGGCTGTTGGATGCGATTGATAATGATATGTTGATGACCGGTGTGATCGACGATTATGTGGGAAATCAAGTTAAAGTGGAAGTTTAAAACAAGGAGGGCCGACTGGAAGTGGCAGATTTATGAGAAAAGGCCTGATCGGAATATTAGTTTTTTTTAGAAGGGGGCCATAAATACTATAAACATTTATTATACGTGTAAAGTTAATACATAATCATGATTTGGAATTAATGTATTAATTTTTAAATTAATGCATTCATGATTAAATATGTTCAATTTTTACGTTATGAATATTATGAATGAGTGTAAATGCATTAGTTTTCCATACAAACATGAATTTAAATCGAGTGTATATTAATATTATTATCAGACTTCAAGCGTTAGTTATCCTTATCAGTTAATCGTTATATCGTCTGTCAACCATTGCAACTATTTATACACAGTCGGTGTACCACCTATAATCATAATCATAGAGTAAATAATAGCATCATTAACATGTTCTGTAGGCATAATTGATAAAATAGTGAAAATATACATATATTTTTTTTATTTATATATATGTTCGAATGTTAAATCTGCCACTGCCAACCACGAGTAGTTGGGATGAGTCAAAGAAGAATAAGAAGATTTAGTTAAATTGATGTGCATCAAAACCTTATGACACATCGTCAGAACGGCTATTATATTATTATTTTGACCGTTGGAAAAATTCCAAAAAATGACCACATTATAATAATATACATATGTACGAGTTTTAAAAATATTATAAAAGCTCACTCAATCCCGAGAATTAAACATTTTAAAATAGGTGTAACCTACCGCTTGTTAACATAACATCTCATAAAATATATTAGTCACACAAAAACGTTTTTTAAAAATAATGATTTTTATGTTTTCTTCGTACCTGTTATTATAAGTAGAAATAAATATAATTTATATAGGCATAGTGTACTATAATAGTCTATATTCATAGCGAAATGACTAAAAATCCATTTAAGACTTGAATAAAAACTGTATGTAGAATAGTAGAATTGTCCACAATATTATACGATTATATCAATGCGAAATCGACAATGATGCTACTTTCAATATAATAATAAACATAATACATGTATACCTGTACTGCGATTTGTTTTCCTTTTGATTGAAATGTTGAAAACACTGAATGAGAAAATTGATCCACATCATGGCGGCTTCGCTATCGCCACTCGAAACGATGACGATGTCCAAACAGTCGGACTTCATACCTGCGATATAGAATGATAAGAACGGTTATTATGTATTTTTTTTTCTTTATCAGTAATGAAAATAAAAGATCGTGTCTCCTCATACCCACCGGACTCACGATGGATGTTCACTAAAAAAAAAAAAATGACCCAATGCACACAGAAACTTCCTATTATTAATATAGATCGAATATTGATAAATTGAAGAGAAAGAAAAATTATTACTATTTTTTATGATATTATCTTGTGTATACTCGTATTGTTGTTCAATTGTCGGGCGTGATGTATATACACATAGCCCGTCCCCGAAATCTCCGTTATCGGTCGAGTGTACCTTCGAAATTGATGTATATATAATATATACTACCCGAATGTGTATACTATAAAGGGAGAAAAACCAATAACGCTCTTGAAACTGCACGTTTATAATGACAGTGTTCGACCACAACAACAGACTACACTTTTAATATCCGGTATAGTTTTATAAACTACGTCACCGCGTACACGTGGTTCTTTATTTTATTTTAAAAACCCTTCGCGACTATTCTACGGAAAACAAAATAACTAGGCTAAATTAAAGTTAATTTTAAAATATAAATGAGGAGCTATACACTTTCTGAAGAACAATAATTTAAGCTGTAATTAAAAGTTACTTTTTTAAAAAATTATTCTTCATTACACTCTTAAAGTTAAAAGTTATCAATAAAATAATGTAACTTATAATGTTCTAACTAAATAGTTACTGTCTAGCTTTGTATCCTCCTACTCTGCTTCGATGACTTGAATTTATCGTCGACGTATTAAACTCTAAAAGTTTCTTTTCCTATACTCTACTATATGTTACCCCACAAGTTCAAGGTACCGTCACTCCCTCCATCCAATTTTAGATGTAGACATTTTGATTTTGATAAACAAATTTGATTGTCATGGTGTCCGAAATTATTATACACACGTAGGTTTAAAATATTTTCAAGTTCTTCTTATTGTAGAAATTTTAGTCTATTGATTGACAAATATATTATATAATGTGTATCTTGTTGCGCAAATGATTCATCGTTTGTTATTACAAAGTAGTTGTTTCAATAAAATGTATTCGTTTCTTGCTTTTTTAATGTTCACTGCCCATACAAGCAGATTGGTAGTAGCACTACGAAACTCATCCACAAATCTCGGTTTTTCTAGCTACGTCTTCGATTGTCGCTGTGTTTCATCTACCCAATTCAAATTTCTCTTTACTCGATTTAACCACCGTTGTCGCGGTCTTTCTTTAATGTGTGTTTTGTTGAATTAGTGACTATCCGTATCACGTCAAACGCATAACCGGCCGATACCAGTATTTTTGAGACAAGACATGTTTGGATATTCGGTCCACAACACATTATTCTCCTAAGGACAGTCCTTGCAAAGTTCCAGCAACTTTGTGTCGTCTTCATTAGCCGTCGACCGTGTTTTATAGCAATTCATTACTATATCATATACGAACGGTATATAGACTACGCATAGGAGATATTGCATTTAATAGTTTCCTTGCAGGAGAGAAGCTAAGAAAGTCCGTGCATATATGACGGTTTTGGATTTATTTTTCATCCATCGATGAATATATTATACGCGTGACTATCCGACAGTTATTTTATTTTCCTGTTGCCCAGCAGGAGTTTCCTTCCTGTTTCGAAACAATATAACCGCGCGCGTTATATTATGCACGACGTGCAACGCGCCACCGTCATCGTTGTCATCCCGACGACCGACGCTGCGGCCGCTATTATTATTATACCTAACGTATACGACGTGTGTCCGTATAATATTAATACGTACATGTATATATATATATATATATATTTATATTATTATTATATTTAAGCGTATATAATAATATAAATATACTAAAATATACCCGTATAAAAGACTTTAATGTTATATTGTGTACGCGCTATGATCCGCGCGATTTGAATTCCGCGCCACTCGCGCGCGGACCAACGGCGACGGGGTATACGCGCCGAGGGCACGTGTGGATCCGATCGCGAAAAAGAAACGGCGCCATCGCATCGGTCGCGCGGACACCCCGGCATCGATAATGTCCCGTATATTACTATTATTATTATTATCATCATCATCATCAATAATAATTAAGTGTTATTGTTTATGATGTGCGTGCATGCAGCTATATACCAATCGGGGGCCGAAGACTGTGTACAATAATAAATAGGTAGCCAATGCGTTTTAACAATTAGGCGCGTGGTCAGCGTTTCCGATGGATAATAACGATGATTTTTTAATTGTACGGTGCAAAAACCGGTCTGGTATATTATACGACGACGATGCCCCCAAAGAAAAATGAAGTAACTCGCTTTTTATCGTTCGTTATTTTTTTTGTTCGTCAACCTAACTGGAGCGGTTTACACTTTAAAATCTATCATCTATCAATATTTACGCGTTTAAATTGTTTCGATAATATTTTTTTTTTTATGAACGGGAAACTGCGATTATCATTCTTTCTTAAAATTTGTATCTTTCGGGAAATAGGAAACTGATTTATAATCGATTTTTCTCAGCTATACCTAAATGATATGTTAATAAAAATAATCGATTATTTAGATAATTTTATCCGGTTATTTGTTGAGGAAATGGCGTGTTTGTTTCAATCGTGTCTGGTTTCAATCGAAATTGTATAACAGTATTCGACAAGAAATAAAATGTTGAAAAGTTTGAATTTTTTTTCAATTAAATTTATTTTATTTGCTAAATAGATTATTAAGTTCTTAAAAATCGTCATACTATATCATATGAATTTATTTATTTCCGTATTCGGATCAGAGGTAGAAAATATAAAAGTTTAAACCTATTTGTTGGTTTTAATTATAATTTTATTATTTTAAATATCACTTATACAAAAATTTTTATTTTCTTGAAACTCATATTATCATTGAGGGCCACGATTTATCTAGCTAGTCACTAAGTTTTTACTACCCATCTATGAGTGACACCGGTCTAATTAAAGTCTATAACCGGTATAGATATTTTATAATTATAAAATGTTGATACGCATTTTATCAACATTATTTGTTTGACTATTTTGTTTTATTAGTGTCATATTTTTATAGGATAATAATAGTTGTCTATAAATAAAATAAATTTTTCAAATAAATATTTCAAAAACGGTCGATTCACACGAGCGCGTTCTCACAAAGCGTATTTAGTTAAATAAATATGAGATAGCAAAACCGACGTTTTTGAAAGTTTATTAGGCGTCGCACACAAAACCCGTAGAGAGAAATCGCCTCGTTCGTTTATTCCTTTAAACAAAAAAATAAAAACTACAGTAAAAATTAACCGAATGTACGGCCGAGAAAACGTATCTTCAATAACGTACAAACAAAAAGTTCAGTTATGTTACGGTTTTTTTTTTTTAAACGAAATACCCATTTGTAAATAATATAATTAGTAAGTACCTATTATATACATTTAACGAATGTTCAATCGACGTACTAGGTTAAAATAAGTTCACCGCAGTCGTGCTGTTTTATAAATAAAATCGAAACTAACTCTCTGCGATTGCACGATCGATTTAGACCGAAATAATAATAAAATTACAATTTAATGAAAGCTAAATATTATTATTATTACATAAAAGAGAGGTTCTGCAACCAGTGCAATAAGTATCGTATAACAATGCGTGATAATTGAGGACACGTTTTTTGGAGAAAAATCCCAATAATAAAAATCAAGATTACACAGAGTGTAATCTTGATCATTTAGTCGTGATCTTAAAATGCAAAATCATATTTTTTTGGATAAATTCAGTTGTTCAAATACAACGTTATAGTTATTACTATTTATAATAACTATGACTGTATAAAACGTTTTTAAGTAATATTTAAGAAGATTTTTAGATTAATTTTCGATGGTTTTTAGGACATTTAAATCCCTAGTTATTATCTATAGTTAAAATTCTCAAACTATACAGTAACACAATGTAATATCTATAAATAGTTAAAAAAAAAACATACAACATGTAAAAACTGAGGCACCTATATGCCAATAGCACAAAAGCACGAGTAAATAATATTTACTTAATATTTTGTGGAATCTATAGGATAAGTTAGGTAATTCGTTGTGCTCGAAAATCCGTTTCAAGTACTCGTAGACTTGAAGACAGTATTTTACTTCTTCAATTCGCTCATTGCTTTGACTTCTCACAGCTATTATCTTCTACGTAGTCTCATTGGACTGGACAGTTCGTAAAATCAGTTATACACCGTTGTATATTACATTTTTGTTTCACTGACGATAATTAAAATCATAATATTACTACCTATATATAGATATCAGGCCCGCAGCAAGCCCATAGCAAGAATTTTTTTTTTTTTGGGAGGGGGGAGTCAAACATAAAATTCATCACCAACTACCAATAATCTGATTTTTTGGTGAAAAGCATAAATTCCGGAGGAGGGGTAGTCCAGACCCTATGGCCCCCTTGAGTACGTGCCTAACATGGAGTGCTCCAGATACAGTTTTTCGGATCGAAAAACGTGTGAAAACCCATTAGTTTTGAATACATACGAATAAATGCCCAAACCGATATCATCAACCCCTCTCCCCTTTCCCTTAAGCAGTATTTCCCAATAGGACACCGTAGAAAAAAAATACCAAAATCTACTGATGGTGAAATAATAGTAATTTAAAGAGAAATTGTTTATTAAAGATTGTCGATATCAAAACGGACGATATAAGAAATGACACGTAAATATGCCATAATCATATTGTAATGTATAGGTACTATAACATAATACAGATATTATACTACAATATATTAGAGACGCTTACTTGCAAATTTCCTTTGGACGACGCGGTGTTTATTATTTTTTTTTTTTTTGTTATCATTCGCCAGCGACAACGGTATTATATTATTATTATTATTACTATTATGTTTTTCGGACGGAAAAAATAAGTATTTTATAAAACCGCGAAACCGTATTCGTATAGGCACTTGACCAGTGTTTATCTCCTATGTATTATTATTACGTTATTACGTTGACGCGATTGCCATAAAATCACCACGAAGACGAGTCGCACATAATCGACAACCTGACGAAAACGCATTCGGATAGATCACAGAGGGCCGACAGGCGAAAACAGACGGTGCCAAGCAACAGGACCGAAGTCAACAGACACATAACGGGCCGCGGCCGGGCCGACACTGACTACCGCCGCCGGTCGCCGATCTTCGGTCCGACCTTACCGTACCGGACTCAGACCTCACCCCCACCGCCCGCCGTCAATACTCTACACCTACTTCGTACGCACATCGATAAAAAAAAAAAAATAAATAAATAAATTAGCCACGTATATTATTGTCTTTTTAGTTTCCGAGTCTAGCGAAGAAGTCGTTCAGTCTTACAGAGACGTGTTTTTCTCGAATGTCCCCCGTAAATATAAAGACTATTGCACTGTATTGTATGCCTGTTTGTGGGGGAAAAAAAGCCGAAAAAAGAAATGTCTGGGCGAAAAACTATCCGGAAGAAAAAATTTCCGAGTCGTTTGACTGCAGACATGGTCACATAATATTTTGCGCACTTATATATTGTGCATTTTTTCGATAGTGAATTTGAATATTTTTGAATGAATAAATTTAGATCTTTTAAAAAAAATTCGCGTTCTAACAAATTACGATCAAATAACGTATATTTAATTATTTGACTTCGGACATTTATTCTTCGGGCATTATTTCCTAGATCCGTTACATACATATCCCGAATACTTTTGAAAATTTCTAAAGGTTCCTTCTGGACCGAATGAGCCCTATCTTGGCAATTAGAATTACTTTATAGAGACGGATTGAAGTGATAAAAATTGGAATGTTTTTTTTAGCTCACCACTAATATAGACTTGAATGAAGCCAGGGGGAATGCAATTTTATATATGCATGACGTTAGTGTTAAGGTTTACCTTTTTGGGGAATTTAAACTTGCAACTCCTACTACTATAATTTTTCTAACCAAATTTTACAATATTGTATAGAACATTAAATATATTATATAGTATAATACTATTATGGGAATGAAGAAATTCGTTTCTATAGTAACGGCGTTTTGCTACTCATTGGTGTTTCTTCTCGAAAACACTGTTTCGATTAATATAAAAATATTTCAATTTCTCTGCGACCATACCTCAAAATTTATTTGATATTTTATCAATGTTTTCTAAAGAGTGTAGTCCTAATAGGTTCTTTTATTTTTTGATTTTTATTTATTCTATATTAATATTACTAATATTTATTGTTGCCTTTTATCATAGAATACGATTATGTTGAAGTTAACAGAATTCGATAATTATTTAATTTTTATAATTAAAATTTTCATCGAAACTATCACTAAGTACCTATTTGTTTCAGAGTTATAGAGTAACCTTGGAAAAAAGACCAAGGAGCGATTGGACACCCAGATCTCCCCCCTCATAATTACGCCACCAATCGTCTTTATAATAATGGATGATCATATTTTCTAATGGTAACGAAAACATTTGACAATGACCGCATTTCATGATGAAATACTCATTTATACATGGAGAAATTTTGGCTTTAAAATACAGTAAAATTTCCGTTAAAAATCACCTCTAAAAGACGACCACCTCTGTGTAACAGTCATTTTATTTGGTTCCATCCAGTGTTATGCCTTTATAGGAAACCTATAAAGGACAGTCACCTTTAAATAGCGGTAATTATTTCCGGTCCTTTCGATGACCATTGTGTATGGAAGTTTTACTGTATACCGAACTCGATTAGGAAAAAATTGGTGCAAAATCGGTTCATAGTATACAAATACATTTTCATTTACTTTTATCCGAAAACCTTTTTTTCCGATTGGTTTGAAAATATAGCCCCACGGACGGAAAGCTATATTTTTATAAACAGTAGAAAATGACGGATGTGATGGAGAATATGTGACTCTTCGAACGTCTTCTGCTTTTATCGGAACAACGATAAAATAATTCTCATCCACCTACAATTTTGTGTACATAATAATACAATAATATTATTATATCTAATTTTAATACCTTGCGATGGTATAATGTAATAGTATCACGATAATTCGTTTTTTGAATAATTCCTTACACCCCCAGATGAAACTTGCAAAAAATCATTAAACATTTTAAAAAAGAATGCCGAAAATAAATTCAAGCACCAGACCATAAAATAAGTTTTTTTTATTATTTATGTATTTTAAAAATACTGCGTTTGCAATACTCTACAGAAATATGTGTATTATAATTATTATTACTGTAGTATTTGACGAGAAAACGTATGAGCACATGTCACGATATTATAATTTTTACAATGGTAGGGTATAAAAATATGATTCACAGCTCTTTTTTTTTGTTTTCTGTACACGCCCTTTGCACTTAATTTTAATTTGATTATAACATTTTAGAGTATTAAAATATGATAAATTCATGAGGACATCCCGAGTGGGTCCCATTTTTAATGTTTACCTTTTTCATAGCAAAAGTACGTCATATCGACAAATTATTTCGAATTGCCTGAGTTCGTTCGCAGTCGTATAAATGAGGTTATAGGTAGGTGTCTATATAATATTTTATAATTTAATAATTTGTTAACTGATCAGTGGAGAACCAACAGTTTATTTCAACTTCGATAGTAAAACTAAGCAATACTGTGAAGTACAGCTAGTAGTAGTGCAGTAACTAAGCTAGTGAACGAGTGTAGTGCCATAGTTTACAAAAAAAATGTAAAAATTGTAATGTTTTCATGTACAAACAAATTTTAATACTCTAAAGACTATGAATTCGGTATCTATTTTATAACACTCAATCAACCATCATAATGGGTGTAATCAATAATAGATAATAAATTAAACCAATATTTTTGTGTTATAAGCCAGTTCACATCCTCATAGTGCACCATAGATAACATTAAGTTAATTGCAGCGCATTTGGATTAATACGTTGAAAATATGATATTTTTTCTTGAAATGTACTAGGAACATTGAAAAAGTGTAATTTCGGGACACACTCGGGTAACCCTTAACCCTTAGCGGATAGCCATATTCGTATTTGTCCACTTGTAACCAAAGCATTACGCTAAAAATTAACAAAAATAAAACCAATATATGGAAAAATGTTTTCTGTTTTTTTTTTTAATTGTATAAAAAAAACTATTGGGAATCTTTACATTTTTTTAATCTTTTTAAAGTATGTACGCCATACAAATCGGAGTTTTTTTACTAATCCAAAAAAAAAAAAAAAAACACACACACATACATCTTATAGTAAAGTATAATACAGCTCGTTCTCTACACTCAAAATTTAAAATCAACATAGTGCATTTAGGGCAGGATTCAAGTCCAATTAAAGTTTACATAAACCGCGTATTTATAAAAGGAAAAAGATAAATATTAAATGTCGCATATAAAAAGTAGGTACATAATATACCATTTGGAAAAAATACATTTGCCGGTATATTTAACACGTATATAATATTATAATAATATTATTATGTATTATTTATAAAAAAAAAACATAACCGTATACGAAGAAAACAAATTATTATCACATTGTTATTTATTTAGTTGCGACTTACGGGAATATTATAATGCTCTAGATTATAGTTCCGTTATCGTGTATTTTTCTTTGATCTCTACAACAATATTCCGATATAATATACAGAGTGTATCTGCAAGATTTGGCAATTTCCACAGTGCAATTACATATGGAAAATTCTTAAATCCTGCAGATAGACTTTTTCAGGAGGGAGAGCAAACATGATTTAAAAAATAAATGGCAATTTTGTTTTATAAAATAAATTCTTAACTTTAATACATCATAACTACTATAGGTATTTTTACTTAAATTTATTATTTTTCGTTTAATACAAATTGTAATCTACGTGGAAATTTTCTACTAAATTTTGTTAGTGCTTTTTCAATTAATTAGTATTTCTCTGAATTTACTTGTTTGATGAATACTTAACATGCATAGCCCACTCAGTCTATTAGGTTCTAAAATGGCACTGTATTTTGCCATAGTAATCATAGAAATCAAAAGAGATAAACTTGAGGCTGCAGAATATAAGAATTGAAAACCGAAGGGGAGAACAAATACACCTTCTTACCCCCCCCCCCGGAGACGCTCATGGGTATGACCTAATACGAGTTCGACGCATATATTATTTTTATTATTATGTATTATGATAAAAATTATATTTTTATTCCGTTCTTTTGTTCAAAAAACATAACTCTAATGAACGAACAGCACGAACGCGTTGGCGGTTCTTGATTATTTTCAAACAGCTATCGACTGGATTGCAAAAATCCAATACATATATGTACGACGACGGATTAGTGTATATGGCGATGGTTTTTTTTTTTCTATACACATTCATAAATTAATAGTTTCAACATGATGATCTTCGAAAAATATTTAAAAAACGTGCACAGAAGAAAAGCTAAATATAAAACTATCTGTACAAAATTATGTCTATAAAAAGATTTCTGTTTAAGGTCGTCGACCACCGACTGACATTATTATTTATTAATTAGACGTTTTTTATTTTTATTTTTTATTTTACGTTTAAATATAATAAAATGTTAATTATGAACATTAATTGTGAATTACGGAATTGCACTACTCGCTATTAATTATGTCATTTTCTCAATTTTATCACATTTTTTTAAAAATATAATACTATTATCTATATAAAGTCAGCAGCTGTTTTATGGTTTTATATTTTATTTATTGTTATTGAAATCCAGAGGCGGCTGGCCGCAAATCCAATGGCCGAGTATTGCTCGAGTTTTCCATTAAATATATATATATCAATCGGTATGAAGGAGAACGGGTAGATTCACAGAAATACATAATTTTTTGATAATAGCCGCCACTTTTAATAAAACCGTAGGTTTAAAATTTTCGCTCCTAGATTGATCGCCTGTCGAAGATTTTCCTAGGCTGTGGTCGTAAAGTGTAAGCAAAAAAAAATTACACGTAAACAATTGATCATCAATTGACCAACATTTATACAAGATACCTAAATTTATACAATATATTTTTGTATAATATGTTATTATATATATTTTACTATGATGTATATATTTTTTTCTATCTCAACAACTTCTTTACTAGAAATAACACTCCGATTTCCAAATACTTTTTTTTTAAACAAAATGTTGTCTTATAGATGAATTTAGTGGTCATTTTTTGATTTTTCTTAATAATTGGTGAAAACCAAGGAAAAACAGGAACACAAAAATACGGCTCCCGTTATTTTCGATTTTTTTTTTTTTTGTAATTTGGTCAAAAATAATCATAGAAATCTCAAATTATCGTATTTTCTAAACGTGGTAAAATTTCCAATCTATTCTGGCGATTTTTAAGCTATTTATTAGCATTTGATATTTTTCGAATTTATATAGTTTCTATTCGGTCGCATGTGAATAAAATGTTTTGGTTAAGTAGAAATACTAAACAATTTTACACGAAGTTCACCATAAATTATACTTAGTAGTAAAAAGTTCAGCGTAATAGTTTATTTTTTTAACGATTTCAGTTTATTTCATGAAGTTATCTTTTTGACAATTTAAAATTATTTGCAAAATAAAAAAAAATCTATCAAACACATGAAATCGTTGTTGTGAGTACCTTAGTGTATAATAGTGCAAATAGTAGGTATCTATTATTAATTGTATGAAATTAAAAAAAATAAATGTATTCCAAGAAATTAATAATATAATTACAGTATCAAATTTACAACAGGAAGTGAAATGCCTATATCGATAAGTATATTATAATATAACGGTGCACTAATCAATACTTTGGTAACGACATTGAATTAAATTAACTAATTATTACAATATGTATTATTAATATGTATACCTGTGCAGTGCACGTGCACCATGCGAGACTTACATTAAAATATTATTAATTTTGATTTCGTATGTTATATTCTAATACAATCTTATACAAATCTTTTTCACTAATGATTGGATGGATTTTAAGAGAAAGGGCTTGAGTAAAAAATATCTACTTTACAGAAGAGACGAGAAACTATACTCAGGACCTTTAGAATTTTTTCTCTCACAGCCTTTTTCATCATCACTCGATATATGAATATTTGTTCACATAAGTCGATACTGGCTCAAAGGTAGACTGTAGGCCACCATTATTTTAGATAAATAGTTGAGAGGGTATAGCATATATAGAATATAGTTTAATTTCTTAATTATATGCAAATCATTACTAATGAAAATACAATTCTGAGCGCAGTAGTATATAAGTCGTGTTTTTCCCTTGTTGACAACGGTATCCAGAAATAAAAAAATAATTATTATAAATAAAACAAGGGTAAAACTGCTGAAAGTTTCGATAAATATTTCTAATAAAGTAGAACCGAGCACAAATTCCGCCTCTTTAAGATATGAAGTGAAAATATCGAAGCATAAACGCTTACTAACGAAAGAGTATTTATCGAAAACAAAAAAAACCTTAGCATAAATTAGTTTGTTTTTCAAGTTTTGGTTGTTTATTGTATTATATACAATTTAGTACAAAAATAAGGGCGAAACGAACGCGGCCTTTGAGCAGTGGTTGCTTTTCGATTTTTTTTTTTAATATTTAGAAGTGAGTGGGTATTCAATTTAAAAATGACTGAATATTAATACTTGTTTACTATACTAATCGAATAAAAATAGATGAAAACAATTGGGACATATTAGCAGGTGGGTACTAATAATATCAATATTATCCGAATTACGAGTAAACCGGATATCCATATCCGTTTATCCGAAATCCGAGTAATTTTGTTTTCGTTTAAATACGTTATTAAATAATAAAACAACATACACATTAACATATCACACTTAATAATAATAAGTAATAATATATATGTACATGTATTATTATATAATAATATATGTGATAGTTAGATACACGCAAATGTATTATATACGAAATAAATTAAAGAAGTCAAATGGTTAAAGACATTCGAATTATTCAGTTTATCCGAATAAAATGTATTTCAGTATTAGGATTACATTGGAATCCGAATATGTCTAACATCACTATAGTGGGTACTGATCAGATTATACAGGTTGCTTGAACACGGTTATTTTAGGTTCGTTTTGCCACTGTACAAGAAAACGATATTATATTTTAAAAAGATGTGTGGATTCGTACAGGCCTCCTAAAAAAAAAAACCAACAGAATTGACCATAGAGATGGTAAATAATCTATGTTCTGTTTGTGTCGGAAGGATTTATTCTATAAACTGCGGACAAAAAATATCAATAATAATAATAATAAATATAGGTATATTATTATTTCCAACGCGTTCGTCACCAGCAAAACTGACTGTATCGCCTAGTGTATACCAATAGCGTTGTATATAGGCATACGCGCATATTATATATTATTATATTATGTACCGACGGTTATTTTTATTATATTATTATTTTTTTTTTAAAACCAGTAGGCAGTCGAATTTGCGATGCGAGTCGCGGCCCACGTGTCGACAACAGAATTACAATATAATAAAATAATATTATGCCGACGGAAAGTTTCTATCGTGTCTACCTATAGGTAAAGAGACGATGTCGCACATGGACAACGCGTTATTAATAAGCCGGTATAGTACATCGTCGCGTCTTTAGAACGGATGACGTATATCACAAAACAAAAACTGTGCCGCGAAAAAACAATAATATTCATATTCGAGCCGACCCAAACGCGTATATAATAGGTATACATCATATTTTATACGGGGGCAGCCAAAAGTCCGCAGTTGTCCGATTTACTGCGCACGGTTCGATAAAAACCATAGATATTAAAAATTATATGACTATAAGTATGGTATTTTTGCGGTCGTGAATTTTGGCCTACACTCTAAAATGATGAAAATGATAAAAAAAAATCCTAGATACATCACCCTGTCCTATGCTAGCTGTGTTATACAGTATCATAATTCGTCATTCAGCGACATACAATGTATTAAACTTAATGTAAGAATGGTCTATCCATATCATTAATATTTATGGAAAAACAAAAGTCCTAAGTTAATTTTTGCACTTTTAATTTACGAAATCAACAAATGATAAGATATTTAATAAAAAAAAATATACTGACACTATGAACATATGCTCTGATCTAACAAAGGCATAGAAAAGCAACAAAATAAAAACAAGCAGGTTTTTCCTAGTAACATTTGTGACAATTTAAAATTTAAACCAGAGAAGCAAGAAAGGGTTATCATCTAAAAATAAATATACACTTATTAAACAGTATAACCGATTTTTTTATAGTGTACCAATTTTATATTTTATACATATAAAAATTGTAATTAGAAAAATATTCTTTAATCGAATTTGTATTGAAAAAAGGGAATGAAATTGCTGATGGAAAATCAAAATTTAATCCTTAAAGATAAAAATTATGGGCATACATAAAATGAAAATATACTCGTATAAGTAGTATTGAAATAAAGCTTAAACGATTTCATGTATCTAATAATTAAAAAAAAAAAAATACAGATTTCAAATTAAAAAACTTGTCTGAGAATATTGCTGGACTACGATGAAAGAATCACCCTATATAATATTTTAACTGATAGAAATCGTGATGTATACCTAATCGACTTGGGTCACTGAAAATTGACAGGTTTAAACCACGCGATTAGTCGAATACGTGACGCGAAGTTTATACGATATATTACCGGCTATTTATGTCTACAAGCATACGTAATACGTTTATGAGGCGTCATTTTCAATATTTGGTAGACTAGAGGGGCATATTGATTACAATCATTTACAGAAAAAAATATATTTTCTTCAAATGCCAGAGATCACAAATAAAACGGTACAAGTTAAACTGGGTAAAATATCGACCTCCCTAATGATACTACTATCGTATATACACGTATACGATATCACCACACACGTATAATCTGCAGAAATACTCTTTAGATTTTTAAACCTTTTTCGTCAATGAGTGAACGAGATATAGAAATAGAACGATTTAAACGACGTTTTTCCAGCGGATCTTAGTACGAATGAATAAAAACGATATGTTTATTATTTTAAGTAATACCTATTGTATCTACTATACAAATATAACACACGGTTTTACTATAAGTGGGCGAATCATAACGAAAATAATAACTATTACTTGAGTACCTATAGTCATCATGTTAAAAGTTGACAGAAAATAAATAATTTCACTTTCAAGTTAAAATATAAAGTCTACACAATTATTTGTAAAGTACCTGACTTAAAATAATTATTTAGATTGTATAGTTATTTACTGTATATATGTGCACATTGTATATACATCCCTCTTAGCAACCCTCTTAAGAGGGAGAGGATAAATTTTATGCAAATACAGTAATTAGGTATATTATTTTAATTAATATCTTATTTTTTATTTATATTAGGCTATTAGCATATTTATATGTTAACCCATCTATTTTTTGATATAGTACTTCTCATTAATACGTTTTCATACAGTTCAGTGTAGAAAATATTCTTTTAAAAGTAAAAAAAATAACTGATAAAGCAAATTAATACACGAATCGTAAAATAGTATACATACATAAAAACAGCCCATGGAATGGGCTATATACTCTTAACCTCCCTTCCCTTGATGTATTAGTAATAATAAATCAGACGTTTGAATTCAATATTTATTACCTACTTAGCGTTCTAGCCTGAACATAAATTTGAATTGTTCTAAAACGTATCATTATGACGTATAATTAAAAAATAATAATTTTAAAAACGTCTATGTATAACATGACGCATTTGACGATAACTTTATAACGCTTATATTATTATTAATTGTCAATCTATATGTATTTTTAAATAATAATAAAAAATATACTAATATTTTAATAGGCGTTTTTCTTAATCGAGGTAATTTAATAAAGAATATGGTTGCCATGCTTAGCATGGCACCTATTATAATACAAGTATTAGGTATAATGTGGACTGTAGTGCGAGTGATGTAAACAGAAACACATAAATATGATTTCCACGTTATCTGCAGAACATTAAAAATATTGAATTATAATTATATATATAACTAATAACAGATAGTTAACAACAATAATTATTGTCAAGCAAATATATATGAGATACCTACCTTTTTAAAGTTATTATTTGTCAATTATTATTAGGTAAAATATTATCCTTGTACAAAGTACAATGACAATTAAATATTATATAGATTGTTTTAGATTACCTACTTATTTCTGTTTGTAGTACCTATAATATTCTGCTGTTTATACAATAATAACAAAAATGTTGATAATTTAAATGCTTATAGGTATACACTTGTATAGGTAATATGTATCGTTTAATAATCTATATGTGAATACATATATATAATTAATAGATATTTATTTTTTCTTGATGTATTATTACTACATCATTCATTCGATCACCATAAAACTCTGAGAAATTGTTTCACGTTGTCCGGAAAAGCTATTAAAATCAATCTCCTATACTCGATAGAATACCATTCCCTAAAATTCGGTTTTTAGATACGTATTTTTTTAAATAAAAATCTAATTATTTTTGTTGATTTATGTGTTCTCTTGGTAATACAGATGAAAAATAAAACATTGTTATTCACTTTTATAGTGAAATCCCTGTGCTGTATGGGTATTTATGGTAATAATATATAATGATAATTTATCTATTAACTTTGTTTAGAAATAAGCTCTAATCGCATTCGTTAATTGATTACTATTATTATTATAACTAATTGACTATACACTTTTTTTTTCTCTGAACTTTAAAAAATGATTAAAAACCACGAATTTAATGAAAATAAAAGTTGTTATGTCAAAATTTTCAGAATAATAAAATCTATAAAATGGCTATCTTCAATTTTTTTAAAAATAATAAAATAAGAAGTTATTTTTTTAAGTTTTTTTACCAAAACATAAAAAATTAACTGAAATATTAATGTTTGTAGTCCTTATAATAATATTAATATACGAAAAACAACAGAATTTGATTTCGAAAACTCGTTGATAGTTGAAATAGGTGATTATTTCCCCCGAAATTTAGAAGCGTTTACAAAATATTGAAATTCGTTTCATTTCACAAGTCACGCTGGTTACAAATCGGACTTAAAATTATATGATCATCTCGGTTAGATGCGGGTGACGAGCGTTAACTTTTCCGTGTTTCGTCATTCTCTCTAAAATTATTTCTTCTCCTTATTAAACCCATTTGGCAACCACCATGTTATCTCTTTTCATTTATTTTTCACGATATTATTAAACGATCAATTTGATTTAATTGTGGAAATTTAGTTTTAAATGTTTAATTTTAATAAATTAAATTTTTGTTTTGTATACAACACATGTACAAAATATATTCAAACCTTTTTTGATATTTTAGTTCAATGAGGGGGAGGGGGTTAGTCATAGACTATGGGACAAGTTTCAAACGAATACCTATTTTCGCTGTCACCGGTTATTATTAGTTTGTAACCGTACTAAAATGATTATCAATTTGTAACCGGTGACTCGTAATGTGTATATTATACAAGATTACAAAATGTTAACAGGATATAGAATTTAATCAGAAATGAAGACAATCCAAAGGATATTAAAGTAATTGATCTACAAACACAAAATTATTATAATACATATCAATAACCTTATGACAAATTATCAAGATTCGTTTTTTTATTACCTACTAATTTTACAATTTTATCTTATAATATAACACTAGTTGGTGTAGTACACTCATTGTATACATATTACGTTAGTTATATTACTTTTAATAGTATATAATATACGAGTGTATATATTTATTATAGTGTATATTATAGCGAGTATTATATTTTTAAAATCAAATTTGGAAGTTGTTTACAACATAAATGATAAATCCATAAGTGAACATTCAGGTTAAAATAATTAAAGTTTGACCACAAATAACAAAATTTAAAGAGAAGAATGTTTATGAAGGCTGTACGTAGTTTTATCTAGACAATTGTCATACAAAAAAGTTATAGCCATATTAGTTTTGTTTTTGTTTTTTTAAAACAACTATAACTCTTTTATATGACAATTATTATATGTTTAGAAAAAAATTACATACAGACCTCAAAAATATTCTTCTCTTTAGATTTTGTTATTTGTGTTTAGACTCTAATTTCAATCTAAATGTACAATTACATGTTCTAAGTAACGTAATTTTACCAGATAGCTAGACTGACAGTAGATACAGACGTGGCGCCCTCTACAAGTCATTTGTTTTGTCTACCTGTCTCGCGCGTAGGCATTCCGCATTTCAACGATTGGAACTATCTCTAGTCAAGTCTAGGACAAAAAGGTCTTTTCTCAAACAATATTTTAATCTACGATATTGTCCCATTGGATTTTAATTGAGTAGTTATACATTTATTCAACAAATAATAATACGAATCGTGCACCATACAGGATAAATACTATTAATATTTAAATACGTAACTATATTAGTATTATATATTACAATTAAAATATCGGCTGGCCAGAAATCAGCACCATTAGGTGAAAAATTCATATCTTTTATGGTATGACATTTAAAAAACTGAGCATATTTACTAACCGAAAATGTGTTCCAAGAAAAAAAAACAGTAAAACTAATGGCTTCTTTACTGCACTAAAATACTAAAAGTAGAGACAATTTAATTTAATGTTTTTTTCTGTAAGTTTATCAATATTGGTGTATTATATACAATTATTATACTCAACTAAGGTAATAATAAGATAATATTTATCTAGTTAATTGTGGTACTAATAAAACAATTTTGACGCCAATTATTTAATATTATATTTTATTTGTTGTACATTAATAATTATATTTTTCGATGCCTTCGTAAACAGTAAACTTTTGAGTGTGACATAGTATTTTATTGTAATTACATATCCATTTGTTTTCTGAAGGTTGTTATTTTAAATATGTTTCGTGGAATTCTAAGTAGTTTAGTACTAATTATTTTTACCTATTTTGTAAATATTTGGAAAATTGTTGTTTTTTTCCATTGTATATTGGTTTCAGCTAATAACTTTTCGTTTATTAAACATTTTTTTATCATAAATCGTACCCCTATCATTAACATCTAGAATAATTTTTAGTAGCAAATTTTGAGGACTATTGCAAAGAATATAATATTTTGAATTTTTTTTTTTTTTAGTTTTCTTAATAAAGGGAAAAAACCGTTGGAAAACAGGAATATTTAGCAAGCAATATTTAACAGCAATAACGGTTTCTATAACTACGATTTAGTTTGTTGTACATTATTTTATGAATTTACTTCATTATAAATGAGTCGTTTTCATGGAATAGTATATTTTTATTTGAACCAGACCTTTCTTAAGAATATGACCTAATAATAACGATAGGAAATAGTATTATTTACAATTATTATTGGAATAGAAAATGAGAGGAAAAATTAAAAATCATTACATTAACGTTATGTCATCGGGCGTAAGAGAATATTATATTTAAACTGACACCGTAAAAAAAAAAAAAAAACAGAATACCACATGTGTTATATGTGTTGCCTGCATGCCAGGGGCCGCGTTTATAACGAAAAAAAAAATAAACGAATGTAAGCAGCACCACGATATATAATATTTTAGGTACAAATATACGCGGTGTATATTTTTTTATGGTGTATTTCTTTTTTTTTTACAATACAACACGCATCGTCAACCCTTTTCCTTAACGTTATATATACGATCGTTTAGCATACATTTTAGTCGTTCCATCTGCAGGTACGGAAATAAACATCCTCAACGCGGAACACGTGCTATAATATTATATAGCGGTGGCGGACCGTTGCTATTTTTAAGCAGAGCACGTCCCTTCCACCGTATACTGCTTGTACATAGACGCCCACGCACGCTCAGTCACCCGGTAGACGGCTGTTTTGGTTAGCCGACAGTCGATTTCTATATATTTTTTTTTTCATGAAATTGTTTTGTATACACACCGACGAGACTGTTGATTTTACAAACACGTTTTAGCAAACTCGTGAAACATATAATTATAATTATGTATACATAAGCGAGAAATCATTATCAGTAATTAGTATAATCAAATAAAAATTACCAAAATATACCACATAGCAAATTTGTATATAATATACTATATCACTTGTTACGGAGAAGAACCGATTTTGTAGACATTTCAATATAAGTAAATTATATTTTGAAAATTGCTAGATGACATAGCTTAATTTAAATTTGGCATTCTAAATGGCTTGTCATACAAATACTGAATATGATGTACCTATGTATTTTTTACAAATAAAAAGAACAACATAGAGAATTAAAATATTTTAATTATTCAGTATATGATGTGTGTTAGAATATGCACATATTTGGCCAAAGTATAAATAGAAAAATATTCCAGAAGACAAAATTACAAAAAAAATTACAAAAATTGACTTGTACTCTAGATTTTGGAACCAAAAATATAATATACTAAATTTTATACATGACAGATTTAACAATAGTTATCTCTTGGCGATGTAGTTTTCAGTAAACAATTTGTTGCATTGGTCACTAAAACGTAGTTACAATATCGCCAAAATGTTTTTTTCATTGTATAATACAGTATTTTACTTTTTACCAATTGATAATCTGCAGAAAACGAAGATTTATAACAGATTCCGGCAACCTGATAGTCGATTAAAGTGCATTGATTTATCATTAATTATGAAGTAACCGGATTGTTCAAAACTGCATTTAGCTGAAAATCGAAGGGTTTTTGTGAAAACAAAAGTAAGCTCCAATTTATGACGAAATTTGTGTTCTGGTTTATTTCTGATCCTGACGGAAAAAATTCTTATATGTTACGAGACAAATCCAATTATCCGTATACGGAATTTATAATAATGTTATTAAATAAAATTCTAGATAATTCCAATCAAAAACAACTTCATTGTGTTTTTTTAACAAAATTCCGTTTAAAAACCAGAATAACTCCAATATTTTATAATTTATAATTATAAACCTAGAGCTATTTATTATAATTTATAATAAATATCTTTAAATTTGAAAAAAAAAAAAACGTTAAAAATGAAATAAAGTAAAACTGAATCGCCTTTTATTTATCCTGGTCTAATATTATGTAGCTAAATTAATATTGAAATACATTTAATTATGAACACAATATCATCGAAATATTTTTATTTTTTTTTCCTAAAAGAGTTTGAAAAATGTATAGTAGTTTGGTTATTACACAATGTCCTTCAAATGCACCTATCGGTGCGATTTTTACTAAACCTATGCAAAAGCGTTACACGACATTGTTAGTAATTATCTCGAAAATTATTTTTAAAAAATTTTTCAAAATAAATCCAGTATCTCATCTTATAAAATTGTGAGGAATTTTAAATCGATTTTAGTAAAAAAAAAAAAACATTTAGTTAACGTATACAGCTTGTAGTCCATGCAACTGCAGATTTATTTCTATATATTATAATATAATATAATAATGTAAATATAATAAGCCCAATAGGTAAATATTTACGCCAAACAAAAAAAATATATTTATTCAATATATTGGGTACCTGTGATTAACTAACACGGAAAATATTTATTTAAACCGAACCCGAATAAAATTAATAGTACAAATATTTAAAAACATATTTTTTTTTTTCGGCGATAGTAGGAAAAATACGAAATCTCGATGTAAATATTAAAACACGAACTTTTAGACTTCTACGTACGCTATAAATAAAATGCTAAAATCCGCGGTGCGTTTCGCTACACTGCAATAATTATTATTTTGACCTCGTTAAACAGTGCAGATATTGTAAGTACTGCAGAAAATATTTGTCTACGTTTTTTTAAGCGTAATAAAAATGTAAAATATCGCATAATTTGACAATTATAATAACTGGTAAAAATATTTTGTTCCACTACAGTTATCGACCTAGAAATAATACATCACTATATTATGTAATATACAATTTTAAAACGAATAATATTTATTTAATAATTTATAGTATAGGTAATAAATTTTTAAATCCGAGTGAAAAGAATCATTCTTCCTGAGTTTTCGAGTTTACAAATTATATCTCTGGGGAGGGGAGGGCCTAAGATTCTGAACACCCCCTTCTCTAAAATTAAACAAACGACAACATACAACTGAAGTAGACACATTTATACTTTATTTTAAATATGTGTTCGGTGTTCACTATAATATTGAATGAAAAATGGTGATAAGAATAGACTGTAATATTTTCCAACAGCGAACTGCACTCGGCCTCCGTACAGTATTTATATTATTTTAAATTGGTTCTCTAAACATATTATATTAACATTTAACAGTATATTATATACTATAAGCTTCTGCGCAGTTTATTAGTCGCCATATTATACAGGGTGTGTCATGAGCATTTTCAAATCTATTTCAATGTATATATAATTCTCGAGATCCCAAAGAGGTTTTAAGCGTATAATAGACATTTCAGTTGTACGGTTTATACCTACATAGTATACTGCTCTATATAAATAATAACTATTATGATTGTTCATGTGATATACGCCGTATCAGACCATATTGAATTTTATTTCTTAAATTATATTAGCCGTTGATTACGGTAAAATAATTAACGTCCGTCTAATATACACACATACACAAAGACGATAAGAAAGAAAATAAAAAACGCGTAAAGACACATAATATTCGATTTGTTGATCGTAATTTGTTTTTGTTATGCTATTGTATCCAAAAGGAATTTAAGATTGTATAGTACATACTTGTATAATGTCATAGGTTTTGTTTGTCATGAAATACAGATCATACTTATTATACAATAATATACAGACAAGATTAAGGGAGGGGAGAGGAGATGGTTTTAATAAAACAAATTAAATTTCCTTGAAACCCCTAAAAAATTAATTTTTAAAATATCACTATAAATTGTGCACCGCAAATATAACCTTCCAAGTTAAAAATTAAAATTTTGTCTATGAAATAGCATTAAAATATTCTTATTGGTAAACAGGTCCATCGTCCTGGCATCTGCAATATGGAATTTGACTACCAGACCAACGCCTTTTTTCTGTAATGAATTCGAAATTTTTTTTCATCTTTGTTTCCAAATATTTAACCCTCTCTAAGGTCCAGAAAATCCATTTATGGTTTCCAAGAGACCGAACGACGTCGTCCTGATACACCCCTCATTTTAAATTCGTCATAAAATCCAATAATAATATTATAACGTACCTACCTATATTATGTATACATTTATTCGAAAAACCAAAAAATAATTCTCTTCATATTATGCAGGTATAGACTACATAATATTATGGCGCCAAGGTTGTCCCATTTCCGTATAATAATTACGGAAGTACCACATTAATTTTTAATGAATTTTATTAAATTTCTATCTGAGAAAGATTTTCTTAGTATACGGCAATACACAGCCATTAAAAAATAAATACCTATGTCCTATGGCCTATATATTTAGTTTTGGTTTAATATTATTTAACACATTTGCAAACAGATATTTTAAACTATAAAAATCGATAAACTTTTTTTTCTATGGTCCGCGCTAAACAAATTTAACCACCCTACCGGCATAATATTAGAATAATTTGTATAATTTGGTCGTACCTTTGGGGTCAGTGCCGGTAGACAGCTTGGCTCGAGGAGACTTTGCCATGCAGTCGCTCAGAGTACGTCTACTGGAATAGTTTCCAAACGAGCTAATCGAATGTCTTCGGCCGCCGCGAACCGGAGCGGTTTTCAAGTTGCTGTATCGCACGTCGCCACTGCTACTGAAGAACACGTCGCCGTCGGGCTGCAGGTCACAGTGCACTAAATCGTGTTGTAGCGAGTCCTGCAATACATAAAATAATATTGGGTACATCAGTTTATCACGTAGCCGCGGTAAAACAGGTAAAAAAAAGGAAGTAGATAGGAGATGGGTATTTATACAGATTGAAAATAGATATAGGTATAGGGAACTGAATTCTGGATTTGTACAGTATAAAAAAAAACGATTTTGAGAAAAAGACATTTTTTACTAAAAAAATACAACTACGTTAAAATAAATAAGGAAACATTCCGATAAAACAATAATAATTGGTACGTTAAAAAAAAATACTGCATATAAATAATACTAGCTCTAATTTTGTATACAAACATATACAGTATACACGTTCAGTTAAAATATCATTTATATATCTTAACCTTAGCCTTGAAACACATATGCGAGTGCCAAAATAATCCGTCTACCTGTCAATTTTCAAACTAGTGATAAAAAAAAAAACCCTATGCCGGAGATTTATTTTTTTTTTGTTTACTAGCCAGAATAATGTTTTATGTAGGATCTATATATCACGTTAAAGATAAGAACAAATAATAAGGGGTACTTTCAAGTTTTAACCCTATATAAAATTTTTACACTGTTGTTATTTTTGGATCATATATATATATATATATAGTTTATTATTGTTTATACAGTCGTGTGAGGAAAACATATATTATATTGTCTGTCGGACTTTTACGACTTTTGAAATAAATACAAGTGTAGGTACCTATTTTAAATAATGTATATTTTATCACCACGATGTATTTTATTCTTCATTCATTGTAAATGATAAACTTAAGCCACTAAATATATACCAACGGTGATAGATTTGCAAATGTTTTTATATTTATCACAATTTATCAATGACAATGATATGAATATTAAATTATTAAACCAATAAAAGAAATTATAACTTCTCATCTAATAAATTTATAAACGAGCCTTAATACACGGTTTGAAGATTTTCCAGAAAAAAATCTAGGGTGGATAAGAAATCTATTTTCTTTGAATATTGATGAAATGCATTTTGGAAATTTAAAAATAAGTAAAAAACTTAATGACTTATCATCAAATTAAAACCTACGCATAAGATTTCAAGAAAATGTATGAGATAAATTTTGGATTTAAATCAAAACTGAATATCTAGAATTATCAAAATAAGTAGTATCGATTTTACTTCCTTTTGCTCAAACTTATTTATATGAAACAGCATTTTCATCTTCAGTGATAATAAAAAACAAATATCAGTCCAGATTGAATGTCGAAGCAGATTTATGAGTAGCCATCTCAAATATAAAACTCAACTTACAATCAATTATGTCTCAAATTCAAGCTCATCTTCAAACTTTTTCACGTGATACCTCAAAAATACGGAATTTATCTACACATCGGGACTTTATTTGAAACATTTATCGATATTTTCAGGAGTTCACACCAATGTTTTTTTCTTTTACTTTTATTCGTTTCAGAGTTACCATGACAACAAGAGGAAAAACACAACTAATGCTGACCCGCTCAGAATCGTTTTTTCATTTGATTGATTCAATAATTTATCGTTGCATACAATATATACTTATGTAAATTTAATTATCTCGTATATTCTAGCGTCCCATCAAGCCACCTATAACAGTAACTGTAAGCAGTGTCAATTTTGTTTTTGTTTTATTATTATGTATTATCATAAGGCTTTAGCAACAGTTTCATTAGTCTGTTATTTTAATTGTTATTAAATTATAATTGTTTATTATAATATTGTTTTAAATTCAATCACTGAGATTCCATATTTGAAAAAGAGAGATGATTTACTTATTTTGTGTAGCATGAAAAACATTTTAAGACCGACGTTTTTTATTATTATTATTATTTTTTTTTTTTTCGGATAAAAGGGCCAAATATTTCCGCAAACTCGTGAATTTATTTATGAAAACAGCACTGCTCGTGCAATATGTCTATGGAGTGGCAATGCTGCGATATACTATAATAGATATATTATACTTATGTCTGTAATAATATGGTAGCATAGTAGGTACCTATACAGAGTGTTTAAAAAAAAAACCTATTTATTGTTATTCAACGTTAACATTATTGGGTTCATGATAAAATTATCCAAATTGTTAACCCATACCATATATACCGTATATGAAAATATAATACAATATATTGGAATTATTTGTAATTAATTATTGAACTCCATACGTTTATTATGCTGTTTTTACTTTTTATGTATAGAGTATTTATGTTTATAAATGGTTGTGACTCAATGAAGTGAAATAATATTATTTATAACGGCTGCGTTGTGTCATTACACTGAGCTTAAATCTCATCTAGACATACATGCCATTTGTACAACTACCTACCTACTCATATAAATACGTCACCACACCCTATTTTTTTAAAATTTTTTTTATTCAACAATCGTATTGGTCCTTGTATATTATAATATAGTGTATCAAATATACGAGTATAGGTAAAAATAAATAATACTAATATTATCATGTTATCCATTGATAAACTATCGTTATAACTTGTAAGTATATTATGAATTAATATTTAATAACTATACATATATGTATGAAATTAAATTTAAATAGAAAGCTAGACATAAGTAATACGTTTAGAATGAACAGGTAAGGTATAAGGTAATTTAGTTTATGCATATTATACTTAAATTAACTGTAAATCATTGCGATAAATAAACGATTTTGAGCGGGGCTCGGTAAACTGTACAAGTTATGTTATTGGTATGTCGTATTTTTCCGCCTTTGAAGCCAAGGAAACATGCTGAAATTAACAAAAATAAACCCAATATAACGGCGTCTATAAAAAATTAGTAAAAACTTCTTTGCTGTACGTTTAAGATCTAAAAATATATAATTACGAAGAAAATAGCCCGGTGTATTAAACAGTAATTAGTTGTGTTCATATTTTTACGGTCGGTTTCTATTAAAAAGAAAAAAACCATTATCAGGTAATATAAAACAACTTAACCATATTTGTTTTTTTTATTATTTGTAATTTTTAATGTATTTTCACATAGATGATAGTCCAAAATATATTGAGTACCTATATAAAGCTGTTAAAATCAGATTAATCGATATACGAATAATATCATAATAGACAATATGGTTATACTTAATAGTGATATGAATACTATAATATTATAATATATTAAAAACACAACTGTAGAGTTGTCGACAGGTTAAGAATTTAAAAATATATAATAAAAATATCCCCCTCCTCCCATAAAACTATACCATCACGTATCGCGCAACGATATAATATTATAATGACTTGTCAGGACATATTATTCGACTGATTGAATAATAGCTATCTGCTATAGCAGTAGTGTTGTGTAGGAGGTTTTTTTGTTTTTTTTATTGTTAAAGATGTCGCTTATTATAATAATATAATAATATGTATGTGTGTGTTATACTTACGTATTATATACAAATATAATGGATATAACACAGATGGACAATGATGAAGTAAGTGATGGCAAAGACGCGAGAGTAAAATATACTTTATGAACGTATGGTATGCGTTTCAAATGTAAATACTTAGAACGAACAAAATATGACGCGTATAGTATCACGACAGTGAACAAAATTGTTATTTTGGCATATTACCTATATAGCTGATTTTATTTTTTTCGAACAATAAAATATAGCTAAACCAGAAATAACATAAGTATTTACCTATGTAATTTTGAAAACTTAGTTCGCATAACCATTGAGTTTTATACAAAGTTTGGGTATGAAACTCAATAAGAACTTTAGAGTGAAAAAATGTATAATATGGGTGACTTGTGTTTAATATATATATATATATATATTTATTTTTTTGTGACTGAAAAAATTCACGAGCATTTGTAATTTTATTTAGATCTGTACATAGATTAGCCCATAATTGAAGGAAGAAATCTGCATCATTGCTAATAAATAATTCAAGTCAATAACGTAAACTGAAAACTCAATAATTAATCTCTGGTCTAGTCTGGTCGAATGGTCTGATTGTTTCTAAAGTAAACATAAATACATCAAAAACTTTTATCGGAGGAATTATAAATAAAATTATCCGAAATAGTGGCGTATTTGGGTTAGGTCTTGGGAGGGACATTTTTCAAAATTATATAGAATGGGCTACGAAATTAGCTAACAAATATTTTTCAGAGGATTTTATTAAAACAAAAAAAAAAGTCATCACAAATATTATCCTAATTTTTAATTTAAGTTATTCAAACAAGAGAATTAATAAATATTTAGTAAATAAAATTATAGATATTCATAACTAACAAGTTATACAATTTATAACAGATTTATTCTTCTTGACTTAAGAAACATTTCACTCAGTCTTTTAGCTGACTCTATCGGGATAAATTTCTATGCATATATCCAATCTATTTAATCGATTCTAATGAACAAAATATTTAGTTATTGAGTAGGTACGTAATATGTATCCTGATTTTCAATTATAAATATGCCTGACAGTCTGACATCGTATTTAGAAAGGAATTTTTAAAAGTGTTATCTTAGCTGACAACTATCATTTTAGTTCAAATTTAATCAATTTCAATTAATTGTATTTATATTTAAAACCCCGAATTAAGTTACAAAATGATTTCATTCTTAACTAAAAAGAATAAAGGCCAAGAGGGGGAGACTTTACACACAGATCCCTTCCATGATTGCGCCATTGATCCGAAACGTAATAATATACATATAGACGACTAAGCCATTTTACTTATTTCCGATTCACTTTTACATTCAACACCCAATCCACATTGATATTTTACTATTTGTCAATAACAAGTAAAAACTGGCGGAAATTTCACATTAGACCTTTACATTATATTATGTTTATCTGATCGGTATTTTAGCGGAGTTTACAGCCATTAGTTCTTATTACGTAATTTCTGGTTGTTATTTTATATTTAATTTAATTATTTATAATATTTTTGTTTTAAATTTAAACCCTCATATAGAATAAAAAAAAATAGATAAATACATAAATATTTAGAGAATAATTATTAATGTTATCGTTATGATAATAAACGTATACAGATCAAAGTCTACCGTCAACGTGCATTACGTAGCTCTTTCCCAGCTACTACAAAACTGTACACTATTAAAAATTAAAACGCTTTATCAAATAAAATAAAAAATATTACATATCTATATTATACAATATTATATCCTATCACCTAACTTAATATGAATGGAATTAGCGAAGAAAAAACCGAGTGACCGATATATAAATATTTTAATTGAACTAATGTTTGATTATAATAAAATCTATATTACTATACATATAAATAAAATTGAAGTCTGTCTGTCTGTCCGGGCTAATCACTGAAACGGCTGAACTGATTTTGATAGGATATTCACTCCTAGAATATTTTTCGGATCGTATAATAAGCTATTTTTTATACCAAACTGCAATCCCTAAAGAGTAACATTCATTTGATTTTTTTATTTTATAATTTGAAATGCTATTTATTTATTGGGTACCTTGGTGATACGAATGTAAAACATTTTTAATTATTATTTAATACCGTATTAAATACTGGTTAGCTGTACCATACTCATAGCTTAATACCTGGTTAAATCCAATACTTTTTAACACAAATAAAAAAAAACCTGTTACTATTAGTTAATTTGTTTCTCACGGGCAAAGAAATACCGAACAGCTAGTATAAAAAAAGTAGCTGTAATATTATATTTGAACGATTACAAACTTTTGACTTAAACTTTACCCTATAGTGGTCAATTATGTTCAAAACTACGTTTTTTTTTTAATATTTCAAAAGTTATTTAATTAAAATATTATATATTAATGAACCGACTCGTTGCGATTAAAATAATTAATCGAAGAGTACTCTAATTATAACTTAGTTATTGTATCATGTTCCATACTGATATGAAATATGATATATAAAAAAAAAAAAATTCAAATCCGTTAAAATACCGCTAAAACATAATTAAAATAAAAAAATCGTATTATAACAGGTACATCCGAGATATTATAAGTCGTATTACTACAAATATGTATAATATCCTAATTAAAACAAATCTCAAAGTTAAATTAAATTTTAAATTATTATTTCACTTCGTTATAATATATCAAACTAGTTAATTTTGTCGGGATAAATATTATATACGCAAAATTTAATTATAATCAGGGGCGTACCTATATACGCAGAGGGGATTTGGAGATGAGATCCACCCCTTAAGATTTTTTTTTTTATGGAATGTACACAATTTTGAATGCAGATTTTAAAAAAAACTAATCACAAGAAAATGTGTGCGCCACTTACTATCCCCTCCCGGGTTAGGAAATATCTTCGGTTACGAGTATATAAAATAAGTAGGTATCTTGTATCATGTATTACGACACAATTTTGGAAAGTATCGGTTATCTTGTACTCTGATACTGAATTCAATGTATTTTAAGTTACATGAAAAGTACCTTACTCATAGGCGCCCGAAGTAGGCATAGGCTAGGTTATTCCCCTTATGGATTTTTAAAAATATTTCATAAAAATGGTCACCGTATCTTTTAAGATACTGCGTGTATGACAAATGTCATTAACATCTTAATTTTAATGTATCAAATATTCGTTAATTCGGTATTTAAATAAATAAGATGTAAGTATCGAGTAGGTATCTTGTATCTAAATAAATACTCATTCTGAAGTACCTTGCCCATCCCCTCCCGCATACAAAAGTTATATATACGCCAATGATTATATACTGTTCTGTTAATTTTTCGCCTAATAAGTAATATTACGATGTATGTTGTTTCACGAGGTGAAATTAATAAATTCAATATAGGTATGCAGTGCAATATAAAAATCGGAAAAGTTATAAAATATTTTACCTGATGGTCGGTGCTGGTGTGTCTCCTATGCTTGACGGACGGCGCTACGTCTGCGGGTCTAGGCTGTCCCATCACCAGTAATCTGGCCTCTTCGATGTTGGCACTAAAAGATCTCGTTAGGCACTTGTTGCCGCTCCTATCCGTCTTTCTAGTCCTGCCCATCGACCCCGTCTCCACCGCCGTTTTGTTCCTCGGGATCCTCTGCCGGTCGACCTGCAGCGGCACGATCCTCCGGAGCCCTTGACTCACCGCGAAATAAGAAGGGTTGTCTGTACACAAACATAAACGGTTACTTGTATTATATTATAATAAAACATTAATTCGGATCCAACAACAACACACTACAATACGCGTTGATTATTTATTTCGTACACGCCTCTTTTTTTTTTTTAGGGATTTATTTTTTTTTCTCATCTACGCTATCGTACGCGTTCGTAATACTAATTTTCTATATCTTATATACAATTATAATAATAATATGCGTTATTTCCCCCGTTTTTCCTCCGTAAACAATATAATATTAAAAGTGTAAAACGACCGTTTCGACGGCAACGTTGTCCAGATCGAATCTTTTCGTCCAGGGTTTAGGTATATAACATTGTATAAAAATGTTCGATAGCCTGATGACGGTATATATATTGTATAAAAACCATCGCGTCGTCGTCCGCGTGCACGATGTTCATAAACGATTTACACATGGCACCGAGTGTTGCAGCACTCGCGTACACCGACGCTATAATATTATACTATATACGCTCGCATTCGTATCCCCACACGACCCACCCCACCCATCGGGCCGTAGTTTGGGTCATAAAAGACCCGACCTTCTGGGCTCACCATTGTACTGCGCAAACACAACACACGGTCGTGTCTTTTGACTCGCCGCCGCCGTTACCGACAGGAAACCGGACCCCGCGCGCGTCGTATACCGCCCCAGACATCTTGACGTAATTTTTAGGTGAAATACGAATACCTATAATAATAAAGGAAATAATAATACGAAAAATATACGAGTATCCAGAAATAATAATACTAATATACGTATAATATTTGAACGATAGTCAATAGCTATTGAAGGAATATTTCACGTGTTATTTCGTCGTTTAGTAAGCAACGCCACGTATCTAATTTTTCTTAACTTTCCAAGAAAGCAAAAAACACGTAGAGGCAACGCGACATGTTTAATCTAAGACAGAATTAAAATATACACACATTACATATGTTATCAAATATTCGATTATGAAGTTTTCTGTTGAGTTAATCATAAATTTAAATATTCCAAACGGTATATTATGAAATCCTACATAAAACTGTGTTGCTAACTCAACTTTACCAAAAACTGAGATACAATGAGGTCATGTTGGTTCATAAGCGATGATATTTTTGTCGGTAATATATTTAATAGACTGTACGAATTGAAATCTATAGATGAAAAATAATCGGGGAAGTGAATAAAATCAATAGAAGTCACCTCAAAATAAGAAACAATAAATGGATAACGACGATAACGGAAGGAAAACTCTCTGTCTGAGTAAAGCTAGAGGATGTAGATCAAGAACCTCATATTTTATAAAATAGAACACATAGATAACATAGAAAAAACAACTTACAAACAACTGAAAGTTGCTGTGTTGGATATAGGAACGAAAGTCCGTCAAAATTATTGAACCAATCTAAAAATTTGAAAAACATAAAAATAAAAATAAAATTGCGACTCGTATAAATTACAGTTATAATCCATGCTCCGAGGTATCTATAATACAAATAGATAGAGCTCGGATTTATACAGTGCATTTGCATATTTTTTCTATTTTATCGTACCAATTATAATAAGCCGAGTAAGAACAAAAAACCGTATCAAAACACAGTGAATATATGTAAAGACAAAAATTGTAAACTCGTATTTTCACATATTACTTCGATAATATTTGTCAAAAGTATAGTACGATTGTGTCAATGTTCATTAGATATTGACTTTAAAAGACATTTCGTTATTATGAAATATTACACATATTATATTTAAGTAAATATTTTTACGACAAATGTCGAGTAAATCACCGTATTTTAAATATATTATATAGATATATTTGTATAAAATTGATACAAATTTAATACAATTTTTTTTTTATACATTTTATTTTTTTTTTTAAATAAAATAATGTTGCAATTTTTATGAAAGAAAATTTTAATTCCATAAGTATTTAGCGATTTTTGACTCTTTAGTGCAATTTATAAATGCATATTTTCAATAGTATATAGGTATTGTGAGATTGTGGGACAGTACCAAGAAACAAAAGTATCGTTTGAATATCCGTGTTTAGTGACTGCTTACCATCTGCAATCTACACCGAATCTACCGTAGCCAATGGATTACAATTTATTATATTATATTATAATATGCAACAACTATTATACATGGAATGATTTATAGGTACTTTATATTATTTACGAATATATACCGTACAATGATTTTGAAAATATCTAATACAATCTTATATAAGGTTATATAATTTAGTAAGTATTATATATTATATAATTAAAAATTATAATAATACACTTATACGGGAAAAAATACGAAAAAGAGACGTAAAATTTAAAACAAATCCAAACTATTGGATAATATATAATGTTTGTCTATATAAGCATTAATTTCCTATTCACTTATTGATGAAACATAAAATTAAACCGCAAACACCATCAAATATAATAGCATTTTCTACCTGACTGCATTCGTGTAGAATCTCTTATCGGCTTTTACCTACATCACTTGCGGTTATTATCAGTACAGTACATAACGCAAATTTCATATGACGGTGTACAAAATGTACAAAACCGAATTATCTTCAGGAATGTAAAACACGAGATCCTGTCAATGTTGACGTTGTTAACAGTGATTGATTTACAGGGGTAGGGGGGTCCAGGGGGTCTGGACTCACCCAGACACTGATATAATTTCAATAAGTTTCATCCATAAAAGAGGCATATATTAACAGAGATACTTTTTAAATACATATTATTTTTTATGACTTCCCCCCAGAAAAATTTTTAAAATCCGCTACTGGTTATCAATTATATATGAATAAGTAATTTGTACATGATAGCTGTTATCAAATTAATATAAGACGATAATACAGCAATTATATCTTACATTTATATTACCATACCATTATCCCAATCAGCGTATTTACTATTTACAGACCCTATCAAATTTCGGACTAAACGATACGTATATGAGCAATCCATGGTGGTTTTTTATCAATTAGGTAGTAGGTTTTAGATTTTGGTGAACACTTAAAACCAATAACTTCTTTGCATCAGTACCTATCACTAATATTAGGTTTGGCTCAACAAATAAGTTATGTTTTGTAAAACTCCTAAAATCTTCTAAAACCCCTAAAAATAACTCAATCTCATTTCTTAGACAAAATTCGGTCAAGGTCTATAAATACGCGACCAGGTATTACACTCGTGGAAACTTACTGACTGCGGGTGTTGTGTGAATGAGTGTAGTCAGATGGAAAACGCTGTAACAAAAAAAATAGTAATAATCTTGGCTTCAGTAGCTTCACTAGCCTCTCAGGCTACGCCACCGAGAGGCTGATATTATAGCTAAACGAGATCGATTTGGCCACACAGATACTTAAAATATAAAATAAAAAACGTTTTATAAATATAAAAAATGATATTATAATAATATCATTATTATTATAAAATTTAATATTCTTATGTACCTACATAGGTGGGTACTGATTATAAGTATTTCTAGTCACGGGGGTGTTTTATATGCAGGAAGGGCGATTTAATGGGCATTGTATGAGTACGAGTTTGTGCGTGCGTGCGTGTGTGGTCATCGTGTAATATTATATATTTATATTTATATAGTGTGGTCCTCTTGTTTATTATGCATACGAGTGCAGTGCGTATATTATACGGTATGTTTATAAGTTAGGTATTATATTAAAGTTATAATAAAAATAATACTGTGTAGGTACGTATTATAGTGTATAGTAAAATCGATCGAATCCACTTACCCATAGCTGTATCCATTGTGCCGACTACGATACTCCTTTGAAAATCTAAAAATAAAAATATTGCAATTATTATTAATATAATTAGGTATAGATACTTATGTATTATTTAATACGTTAGAAACAAATGAGTTTGTCCAGAATTCGTAATGATATATTATAACTTAAAATATATTATTAAAAAATTTGAAAAAAATTAAAATACCATTTAAGTACTGAAATAGACACTTAGAAACAAAAATTCTAATAAAAAAAAATTTTTTTTTTAACCATCAAAATAAGCAAACCAAAGTACTTTAAAATGTTATATTAGAACTCTTAATCTTTTTAAAACTACATTTGTGGATTTGTATTTTCCTCTATACCCAATGAAAACTGACTCGACAAATAGATAAGATAACAAAAATAAATAAATGCAGGTCGGTTTATTATATTGAATACAAAGGCGAAATTATTTAAAAATCATAGGGTGAAGGGGCATCTGAGTTTTTGTAAGTGGCTTACGTAAATATCAAATTGAAAATGTACAAATATTAAGCAAAAAAAACTAGTAGAAAGTATTTTTTTTTTTTATAACAATCGTAATAAACAAAAAATCCAAAGACTTTTTAATTTCATAATATACTTGTAATATGACATACATTTCCATAGTTACTCTTGCTATATTTAACGTCAAGTCAAAAAAATAGGCAAATTCAACCTTAAGTTTTGAATTCTGATTATAAGTCTATAATACACTTCAGACTTTCCGAATTGAAATGATATATTAGTGTTCGATCGGTTGCGATACATTAAATTTGTTGTTTGAATTTGTTTTTTAAAATAGGTACTGTAATAACAATTGTAAAACTGTTATAATTTTGGATCGCGGTTTATTATTATAATATTATTAACGGACATCGATATTATGGAACGCGAGAGTGAATTATTATTAATATTAAAAGCAAAGACGTATCTTCCGATTGGCTTTAGTGCCAAACGCTGTTTTCGAACAATGTAGAGAAGCTCAGAATAAAACATTTTACATAATAATTTTTGTTTACCGCGGTTATCGACCACGGGAAAAACGACCTCATCAAAGTACATTATAAATGCACAAATACCGTGTTCTCGCGTATTCATACACTGCTGCCTAGCCAAAAATAAAACGTTTTCTAATAAAAAAAAAAAAAACTATTACTCGGAATTTTTATTTGCACTGAGGATACAGATATTTTATTTTTCCTTTGCGTATAGTAGCAAAACACGTCATACTTTTCTAAGTAGTTTAGATAAAGTGTCCTTCGATTTACAGTTCGATCAATGTGATGACGAAGCGATAAGAATTCTTTAAATTCAACGTGAAGTATATAAGTATATTAAAAGATCGGTTGGGCCACTTTTTAGATTTTGAGCGTAGCAAACTGATTTCGGTAATAATCGGCCTTTTTTTGTATGTTATATCAGTATATTATGCGACACATTATGTAAAATAGGTGCCAGTGTTTAAATTTGGTGGAAAAAATGGAGAGAGACTATAAGACTTGAACAAAAATTTGCGTCTTTTGCAATTATGGAATTCAACCTAACAGGTGGGAGGATTTTTCCAATTTTCTGTCAGTAAATAACTTTTCTACTAGAAATCATGCCCTGATCATCAACTTTGATCATTGATGATTTCCAGGAAATAATTAGTCAGTAGACACAAGTAGGTGTATTACGGAGATATTCTTTTAATTTCCCTTGTATTTTTTTTAATAATGGGAGAAAAGAAAAACCTAAACAATCGGTTTCTGTTGCTATATTCGATTTGTTTAGTTGAGTTTTAGGATCTATTAGTTTTACGGATGGCTAGAAAATCCCGGAAAATATTCTTACGGACTGTAAAATTCCGGAATGTAAATTTATGTTCAAGAAAACGGCGGACTGTAAGAATTCGGAATATGAAATACTGTACATTTCCGGACTGTAATTGGCAAGAAAAATAAATGCCTGACTAGAATATTCCGGACTGTAAAAATTCGGAAAGCATAAATGCCAAAACCAGAAAGTCCCGTACTATAATAATCTGGAAAAAAAAAATTTGCACATTGTAATTTCCCGGATAAAATAATAATGTTTACCGTCAATAAAACGTCGTATTAATTGAATAATATAATTATTATGTTTTTGTTTTCGTACCCGATCTCTATATATAGAGTCTCCGAGTCCAATTTATTCACATTCTTGTTCTTCCGCTCTACGTTTCGACATTATATAATATTATTTAAGTGTAGGTATCATAATATTATTACAATATTATCAAGAATAATAATTATATTTTATGCGTGTATAATCTTCCTCATGTTTTTTTTTCGAATGACGAAACCGGTTAATGGACACCCGTCATTCGGTCATATTGTTAAATTCGATTAATTAATTAAGTTAATAAGTAGGTATTATTATTAATTTATTTTACGCACAGTGTACATATTATCATTAATTATTATATATAATACATTGAGTATTTTTTTTCCTACGATGTTCTATTATTAAGATTTTATGCAAATTTTGGTAAGTATACCTTATATAATAATCGTTTACTAGGTATAAGTATTAAGTACTATAAATATACAAAATAAATTTAAATAAAAAAGTGACCATAACGCATTTACGACTGCACTCTAATGTATTAATATAGTCGAATAAATGCGCCAACAAAAATAATTTTGAAATACTATCATCCGATTTACACTTATCCTGCGAGTTTCAATTAGTGGTATGCGTATGGGTAGAAAGTTAGTAGTTATATCCCCTCCATTAGATTTGTATCTTTAAATTATTTATTTTAGCCAAATTATAAAGAAAATTGACCGTTTTATTAAATAAAAATTACTTTTGGTTCCGCAGCTCTTACATTTTTACTGTCGGGTTGAGTATAACGGAAGCAGTTCTACAATTTATTGATGAATCGTGATTATTATTAATTACATCTCTATTGCAAATTCCTGGGCATACCACTGATTTCAGCTCCCATTATCTCATTGAGAAGCGTTTTGATTTTCAAATACAATATTTTACCCTAATAAATAAACGTTCGTCAAATAAAAGCAAATAATTCCCAGTAATTATTATGATAATCGATTACCGTAATTATTTATTTGCAGTTTCATTTGAGAAATCGATTTCGTGAATCGACAAAATGCCTATATTATTAACTATAGTAAGGGTTCTGTGTCCATTGTCTTAGTCCCTTCATATTATCAAAACGTGAGTATAGAAATATTAACAGAAAACGCTTAATATTGGTTATACAATTTACTTAATAAAATTAAAAACTGTCTAAATTATGTACTTGTGTAAATAAGCAGTAAATATAGTAAGGATAATATGTTTAAATTACCTAAAAATGTTTTAAACATTTTTAACATATTGTTTTTTTTTTTTAAATTTAAAACAATTTTATATTAAACATTATACATTCTAAGCGAAACGAGATATGTATTTGCAATACTGCAGTGTTTTCGTTTTTTCTGCGAACACTTTGTTGAACGGGATTTTTTTGACGGAGAGATGAATTAAAATAGATAGTACTTATAGTCATATATATATTCAAGAAAATTATTATGAAAGTCAGACAAATATTGATCTTAATAATTCAAATTTAGAAAAAAGGTTTATAAATATAGTTCCATGGATGCAATGTCCCATATAAAAACCCAAAAATGTCGTAAAAAATGTGCTTTTATGCCTCAAAAATAACGTAAAAATAAAATCTACTAAAAAATCAAAAAAAAGACTTTAAAATTAAAAAATGCATAATAAAATGTCTTATTTTCGTTTGAAAATACACAAAATTAATTTGAAACAAAACGATAGTATTGCACACGGCGTTGGCGTTGCTTTAGGGGTTGACGACCAGAACCTACGCCTAAGGGCGCCTGCTATAAAGAGGGCACCTCAACGACGGTAATTTTACTCGACTAATTGGAGGTAGGACGTAAAAACATGGTTCCGCCCAGGGCGCCAGCATGTGTAACCCCGGCACACATATTATAAATTTTGTAAAACAATGAAAAGTGCATTGAAATCCTAGCTCTAACTACATTATTATGTATATTATGCACGATACACACCATATTATATTATGCAGCAGTCATTGTAAAAATATATTTACTAAAAATAAAATATAAGAATCATTAGTAAAACAAAAATATAATAATAATAATATATACTGTATATATTGTATACATGATGCAAACGCGTTGATTAAAACGATATTTAGAAATATTTAAGTGCGTATTATTTTATATGCCCGACCGTTGCCAGAAAACTAATGGACAACGTTTTAATGCGGTCATGTGTTTGATTCTTAAAAGAAAAATTTAGGCCTGTCGGATTGCATTATAAAACACGTGTGTGTGTGTATATTTACCTTATCATAAATTGTTATTGTTCGTGATGCTGTAGATTCGATCTATGAACATCGTTAGATCTAGGATGATTATAGGATGATATATACAGAGTGATTATTTTATCACGATCCGACGATTTTCTCTGGAGATTTTAAGTATAAATAATACATTATTCTTTTCGTCTTTAATCGGTTGATTCATTGATTAGTTTACTTCAGTTAGCCATACATCCCTTTTGTAACTTTCCATTAACTCCATTAACAATCTTTATCCATATGATCCTTATCCTATTATGATTTATTTTATATACTCTATCCTTCCTAAGGTCTTTCTCTCCGATATAACCTTTTACGTTACCTTCTATGACGCATTTCGTAAAGCTATCATGACGCAATTGATGTCCTATCTCCTATCACTTGTTTTTTTCTGACTTTTAAACCATATTCTCGTTTTTCCTTTATTTTGTTTTGTACTTCTCAGGTTGTTATTATTGAATTGTTTATGCTTTATTTCAACACTATTTTGTATGCGTATAGTAACATTCTCCTCTCTTATTTCAATTTGTATACAAAATAAGAATATTTTTCTAAAAATGCTTTACAATATATAATATGACTGGATTTACCGTTTATTATAACTCATCATTGATGAGTTACAATAATTTAAAACTTAGACGCCGGAAACTGCTCCGGTGTGTAAAGGGATACAGGATAAATAATTAATAAACTGATCAATGATCATAATAACAGTAATAGATCATCAATAAATAATCACTCTGTATGTATATATTTTTCTTTATCAAGGGTTTGAAAGAATAATGTTTTAAAATAAATAATATTGACCTTTACATATTTTAATAATATGTGAGATTACAAATCACACAATCTTTAAAGATAGCGCGTAATATTAAAATAATAATCACAATTATTATGAAATTCCATATACGAGTATAATGCTTCTATCATTAATGATAGGTAAAATATCGAAAATTGTAAAAAAAATTATATTTCGAGTACAAATTTTGTTTTTTTTTTTTTTTTTGTAGGTAAACTCATTCAATTGTTATAGTTATTTATGTTTTCTAGAAGCAATTGAATGAGAAAATTATTAATAATTAATATTTAATACCTTATCTACTTTATCATATTATACCAACGTAATTCTTATGCACGTAAACAATTTCGATTATTTTACAAAAATATTGTTATAATAACTATAATTATTTAGCTAGCATTCTATAAGTAAATATAATTATAGTTTAAAAAAATCTAATCACAAATACTGGACATTGAGCACTTGACTCTATAAGATTCGCTCATATATGGATATAGGATTATAGTTAACTAGTAAAGTATACCTACTGTAATTTTGAAATTTAAACCCAACGACTACTACTCGTGTATATTTTTAGAATTATTTGAAAAAAATTAATAATAATTTGTTGTGTCTGTTAGAATATTCAATGCTAAGGGATGTAGTGAATAATAATCGCGATTCGTGAATAAATCGCAGAATCGTCTTTTGTTATACTCATATATAATATATAATGGATAGGCCATGTGCATACAATCAATAATACATCATATCTTCTATCCTACTCGACAATATTTGTTATAGGTATATTAAAATATAATTACTGAGTAAGAAAGAAAATTCAGGAATACCTGATAATGTTTATGGCTTATCCATTATATTATCTATGGTTATATCTAACACAACAATGAGAATTTAAAAACCGGATTCAAAAAACCAATTCTTCAAAAAATCAAGCTTTTTTTTTCTTGGAACTTGGCTAAAATAAATTACTTCAAGATATCTTCAAACCAATAGGTTAAATATACCTTCTATTCATGCTACTTAGTGCATCTTAACACGAACTGCCTCTGAAGCCCAACGCAAAGGCAAAATCGCATTATAAGGAATACAAAACATCCAATATTACTAATACTCCAAAGACTTAAACAAAAAAAAAATGTTTAGCCCTCTCCCTAATTAAAAATCCTGGAAACCTCCCTAATCAATACTCATTTAGGGGAAATTGAGAAACGTTTATTTTTACGAACAAATATGATATCATGGAAACATTAGGATAACTGTATTATTGTTGATTATTAATATTATTAGTATTAACCGTTTATTTTTAATCGACAAACAATATTCCATACAGCCTGCATTGAACTCTGATTTTTTAAATATTGTACTAATTTAAAAAAGTTGGTACAAAAAGCTTAAAATGTATTTATTTTTTTTAAAGACCTATTATTTAGTTTTAAATAGAAAAAAAAAATTGAATTAAATGAATAGGAAGTCTTCTTCATTCCGACAAAAAAAAATTGTCAAAATCGGTTATCTCTACGAATGAGTTTTTCTTGTAATACATGTTTTCGAGCCTAAAACATACTGTTTCGGACTCTATAACTGTCAGATAATTTCCATATTATTGTTGAAATTAGTTAGTTACATTGAAAGAATAATTTTTTGTCAAATTTTGAATAACACTGGTCGGAAATTTGTTCCAATACACACCAGAAAATAATGGCCTTAAAATTTAAGCTCGAACAAGAATATAAAATATCTAGCATCTAAAAGGTACATAGTTACACGGCAATGTAAAATTGTTATTTTGTATAGAGTGTAATACTCGTACAGTTGTTTTGAATTTTTGAAAAAAAAACATTATTGTAGAACTAATAATTTTCTTAAAAAAATGCATCTTTGTATTTTTTTTTTCAAGTTAACCTGTTCTATATGAAATCAAAAACAAATCTACATAATAATATGTTGGTTGCTTATCAAATTTGGACTTGATTGCAGTGTACCAAAATAATAATTATAATTTAATATTTCGTTTTAATTCGTTTAAAAGAGCTGGCGCGAGTCAATCATCATACTGGTTTACACCACTGTACACTGTCCATATACAAAACCGTATACCTAGACAAATAAATTATTACATGATTGAAAAATAAAACGGTTTGTTTAATTTGTTATATACGTTATAACTGGATAATGCAATTTAATTTTAGTAATAATTATATTGTTACACGCAGTCTCGCGTAGAGGATCTTCAATTTTATTCCTTTTATCAAATACTTTGGGTCGAAAGGTTGTGCCCAACTATAATCTCACTATTATTATAATACATACACATACACACACATACACAGATTATAACAAACAAGTTATATACACTTCGAAACATTTAAGGATTTAATAATTAGATTCAATTGAACGCGTCGTATATACGGCGGAATTGAATATAATAATATATACTACATTACGAATAAATATTAAATTTTTTTTATCTAAAGCGAAAATCATCAACAAGGAAATAAATAATATATTCTTTCGAAATGGTATTTTATTATACAGGGTGATCAGAAAAACACAATACAATGTCTTTATTCTGTTCGATATTTTTTGTAATTTTTTTTTTATTATATAAACTATTATATAGTTATAATACGAAACGTTAAGCACGATTCACTGCAACTTATAAAAATATATTAAACGGCACTAATGCTATAATAGTGAATTTTTCGTGTTATGTGTGTATCACTCCGTTTATAAATTTTTCAGCAGAAATTGTTTTCATGCAGAAGACAAATTCTATATTATAGAATTTTTTAGAACCAATTATAATTGAAGCGTATAGTCGTTGCATGCGCATTTTGTTTAATTGAACGATTGCATTTTTCCGTGACTACTTCAAGGTATAATAGAAATTTCCGAACGAGATTATCGGTTTTTTTTTTTACGCGTCGATCGATCATTGCTTAAATCTCGAGATGTATAGTGACTAATCTCTCGCTGTGGAACTCCCATTATCATCACTGAATAGTGCATAGAATATGACCGTCTCCGAGACGACAGACGAGACGAGACAGGCTTTTGAATTATTGTTATTATTGTCAATCGCGTTTATTATAAAAGCAGCTCGGAGGGGTCTTTCTAACGGACGAAAAGCGACTTAAATTGAAAGACAATAAAAAAAAAAATGATCGTCATTGATGCTGATGCTGCCTGTAAGGGTCACGTAACGTGCTCGTTGTAGTTTAAAAATCGTATTATGAGCGTATAAATCGAGGGTTCATGACTCGTCATCGTCATGTAATGTGAAATTGAATTTTGTCAGATTTATATAGTTTTTATGATGTAATTATAATAGAATTTTATGACACAAAATAAAAAGATAAAATTTAAAATCTCTCAACAGGGGTGAATCCAGGAATAATTCATAAAGGTGGGGGGAGGGGGTAATTTAAATATATCCAATACCAAATGTAATGGTGTTTCTTGGGACAGGCCGACTAATATTTTATAGATAGTGTGCTTAAAAGGGGGGTAATTATTTCATTACCCAGTCCCATTGGATCCGCCGTTATTATCCAGCACTAATCGCACGGTAAACGTTATAAATTATAATGCAAGCCGTCTGTTTTCTACAAAATCGACTAATAAATGGAAAATGTTAAAAATTGTTCTTTTTTTATGCTTTGAGAAATGATATCACGCTATACCTAGCGTGCCTTTTATTATACATGGTACATGTCTTGATAAATGATTACACATCAAACAAGCATCTAACTGGTTTATTAATAACTACGTATAATGTATATTATAGGGAAAAGTTCGGTTGGTTTCAAAATCACCAGTTTAATATTATAATTTAAATTTCAAGACGGTATATGTTTTACACGGTAAATGTATTTTCAAAACCTGCAGTAGTATACTAATAGGACTGTAAATTAAATTTATTAAATTATTGGTTATACTAAATAATATTATTGGACGAATTTCGCAACAAAACCATCTAGATATATTGATATTATAAATCTGCAGTATAACTCAATTTTAATAGTCTATTTTTAAAATACATGTTCAAAAGCCATAATAGTATGCCGGCCCTCCGAAGCTCTATGATTTCACATTGATTACAAAAATATTCTAATTTCGGTTTTTTGTCGTTTTTAAACAATTTTAAAGACACGACGAAGGCAGCATATTTGATGGTACTTGAGAGGGAACAAATTTGTATATGAACCAATATAGTAAACCAACAACTGTGTCTATGTATAGAATCTTTTTAATATTTCCTGATGATATACTTGTATTTTGTAGGTCAAAAAAATGTATTTTTCTCATGGTCGGTAGTTTAGTTCGATGAAACAGTGCAGCTTATATTAACCTAGTTTAAAAGTATAAACATATTCTACTCCCGGTATCTCACGATCAAATTTTTTCTACATAAGATGAGATATGACTAAATCGGAAAAGATTATTTCACATTGCACGACGAGTTTTGACCTTACACGCACTACGTCGTCTGATTCGGGAGCCGGATTTCGGGAGAGCGGTGGCCTGCGTCCTGCGCAGGATGCTGTTTATTAATCCGACAATGAACGGCGTATATTATAATATTATTAAAAAAAAAAAATTCGTTTAATTACTGGCAATTATAAAAATCGCGGTCATCTTCTATATACGACTGCGACTATGTATATAGCCGTCACCGCCCACGCAGACCGTCGCGACGAAATCATCGACGAATATTATCGCAATAGGCCTGATTTTAAAGAATTTTTCGGTACCGCGAACGATTCGGATGCACGGCCTGTGGATGCAATATTTTATAATATATCATTGATCCCGGAGAAGAAGAAATTAGGTTAATTTGTGTTGAATTAAATTTTGAAAATGTTTAAATTACATAATATCATATTATCGCTAAAAAGCCTAACCTAAATATGGCATTTTAAATTGCCCAAGTCATATAATTGTATGATTTATATCTGCGCATAGCTAATTATAAACGATATACGTGTTTTGGCAATTCAGTTTTTGATAAACAGTTTTCTGTTAGAACTATACTCGGTTGCAATATTTTCTTATATATATTCAATATTATATTATGGTATTTTATCAATGAATAATCCAAAGTCACCGCAAAAATGAAGTTTTTAATTATTTACTAATTTCGGCAACCTGGTTATCGAACAAATGCATTCAGTTATCAAACAATTTCATTAAATAATAACGCTAAAACAGTTAATTAGATACCTATTAGGTAACCAGGTTTCTCAAAACTCCATCGCCAACATATCCCTTTTATTTTGATTACATTTTCGTGTTTTATATTATCATTATACCTATTTCACACTACCTATTGCCGGTATGTTGTATAAATTATTTTAGTATTGTCGACTATTGTGTGTGCCTATTGGCACAGTTTTGTAAAAAATTTTAAAATCGACTTACGAGGTAGTCTAACTGACGATATTTACCGCGATTATTTAAATCACAATATCTATGCATACTAGGTACTTAACATAGTTATTAAACTATAATTTGGATTAAAATAATTTAAGAGTTAAACCTATACATTTTTTATTTGAAGCTACGCAAAAAGGTCCAAACGCTCGTCAAAACAAACCCTACAGTGAGCGAGCCCGTGGCGGGTATCTAAATCGACTTTGAAGACATGATCGCATTTCCTTTAATTTTTTTTTTTCTAATGATAATTGGAAGTCGGCCGCGGTGCTAGGTCAAAGGTGCGGCCGTGTTTGGATAACAGTGCTACAACGGTTTTTATCGGCCAAAAAGCATTGTGTTTGGGCGTTTGTATATAGGTATTACGTATTATATACACCGGAAGAATTGAATATTAAACTGTATTAACATAACATATTTTATTATTATTATTTATAACGGGGAAAAAAGAACACAACAGTTAGTAAGTAAGTACACTGTTTGTGATAATTTATTCATTAAACTCGATGCGAAAATCGAAAATAATCACGTTTAAAAACTACGATTCCGACACCTTAGGTATATATAAGTATACATTTTGAAAATATAATATGTTATTAATTAGACGCCCACTGTTCCCGCTCAGTCCTATACGATGCACGTTATTAATGTGACGGGGTTTAGACGTAATTCGTTGCACTCTCTGTACTCGTACAGCGTTCGAAAACGACGATTAATACCACGTAATTCTACACATAAACGATTTATAATCAGGGCCTTTTTCAGGCCGGTTTTCTTGGATCGTTTGTCTGGAGCCCGGCCCTGTCTGTTTTTAAGAAGCCTAGACCTACAAAAAAATGTCCATTACCTTCCCTAAAATAATAAAGAGGCCCGGAAGAATATGTTTGCTCGGGGCCCGGCAAAGCCGAATTTATAATATATTATTTTGTATAAAAAAATAAGTATATGTTGAAAACTAATATCATTATTAAAATAAATAACTGTTAAAAATGATTAGACCGAAATACCTGATGCAGTAGCGGCCGCGTGATCGCGTGGACTGGACCGGACCGCGAGAACCGTCGTACAGTCTCTTTAGGAACGTTTCACCCTCATTGGCGGCGGTGTCCGGAAGGATGATGGGTGCGCCACCACCGGTGGGTCACAATACCGTTCGCGGTATATCGGCGGCGGCAGTGCGGTTACGACTGGATTTATACCGCGCGTGTACAATAATGATACGTATCTTATCTATCGGTACGAAAATAATAATATTCTATATTTCAATATACAATAGTAATAATAATGTACGACGAGCGTTAAACAAATCACGTCCTACGCCCCCGACAGTTGGCGTCGACTACTGTTGTATATACTGTTGTTGTATACTCACATGTTATAATATTCGTTTGAGGATGTAAAACACACACACACACATGCACACGTGGATGCGTGCGCACTCGCACGCACACACGCCGCCCATATTGTACAGCGTGGCGGCCGGACGTCTTCATGCGGTCCACCAAAAAACGCCATCTACGCGCGCAAGACGGTGCCCCAAGGTGTATATATAATTAAAATTGCTTTTGCTCTACGCACACATGATTTTTTTCTTTATTATACTTCCCTCCCCCCTCCTCTTCGGTGGTTAAAGTAAGAGAAATTTCGAAGGGGACTAACTATATTTCCCGAAAATTCAGGGACGTTTCCGAGAAACCTTAACTAAACTTTCAGGCAACCCATCGTGAATACAAGACTACCAAAATGTTTTTCTCTCTCACGCATTGTTTATAGAAATGTTATATTAATAGTGTTTAAAAATATAATCTGCAAGCCCCGTAAAATATTACCTTACACATACGTCTAAAAATTAAGTAAAACAGAATCTGACAACGTATAATCTATAATATTTATTTTCTATTAAAAAAAAAACGTATGTAATTCGAATTTTTGAAAATGTCTCCAGTGACAATAACTAAAGCGTCCCACCAGACTTCGAAGACTACACTAAAGGAGACTGATAATTTTACCTTAAATACGAAGGGGTATTCCATCCACCCACTTTAATCATCACCCCTCCCAGGGGCCTAACCTAACCTTAGCTAACCTAATATAACCTCCCTCATAAAATAAATCTATGTATCAATTTATAATTAGTAATTATATTAATACCTATTACCTATATAGGTATAAAATTAAAGTCTCTTAATCGGTGATTCCAGTATAAATACATTATACAGTATTCTAAGTTGAAATGGTTATCTACACGATATAAAATTGTACAACTTTTTAAACGAAATTTTTGTCCGAACTAATCTCGAAAACTGCTGAACCGTAATTTCGATAGAACTTTAATCGTAACTCGTAAGATATCTAAGAAAATAACCATCATTTTATTCTTTTTTTTTTTAATCTGTCGTATGTCCGTTATGTCTGTCTATAGTTTCTGTGAGACGAAATCTGAGCATTTTGCTCACCAAAACTACGTATTAAGAAAAAAAATTCAGAAAATCATTCAAGTTATACATAACAATATATTAAAACAGTATATTGATCATGAACTCCATACTATTACATTCACTACTGCACATACTTTTAGACCTTGCGTAACTGCAAAATGATATAAATAAAACTTGTTTTTATCGGATAACTCATCCGTATCAATATTATTCGAGTATATCGTAGTCGCAATATAATGCAAGATATTACTTTACTTACCGAGGAACATGAAAAACGCTAAAACGTAGGATCGCGCCACGTGCAGTACAATGTAATGTTTTGATGTTTTTCTCTGGACAAATTTACATGTTTCTTCAAATGTGTGCAGCATTTTGGTTTTTGTACAGTTCATTCACGCACATCCTAATCGTCTGTAAAAGCCGTTTTGAATAAAAATAATTTGGGTATAATAATTATGTTATTCACACTAAAGGTAGACGTAGCGTGTAGACCACTGTTATAGATAAGAAGTTGGAAAAGGGCAATAGTTAATAAATACTGAATGCAATGATAAATCATTGCAATCAAAACTAACAGACTAAAATATGACGTGATTTATATGATTTCCGTAAAAATCTGAAATCAAGAGTTAAAAAAACAAAAAAAAATTACGATTTTTGATGTTGTATACTGACATAAGAATAATTTATAATAGTGAGAACATCGAGTTTGTTAAATTTTAGAGCATTTTTGGCAGTTCAAAACAATTTTATCTACATAAAACCAAATAAAAACTAAAAATACCTACTGGAAAATTTCAACTGGCTAAAATAACTAAAAAAAAAAAAATAGGTAATGAAAACGCTATTAAATATATTTTCATGAATTTTGGACACTTTTTTCGCATTATTTAGAAGGCTATAAGAGAAACCCAAAAATGAGCAACGCACCAATACGATAAAAATTGCTACCTAAAATCTTACTTGTCGGTCTTTGATTGCAGCAAGATTTCTGGTAAAAAAAAGTCGTTAACACAAAAAATACATACTATAAGTAAAACTCTACACTTATTTTTATGAAAACTAAGTACACAAGTGACTACACGCAATCCTATAACACAAAGTAAAATAAAACAAATTAAATATCAGTATTTTCAAATGAATAATATAACAAAGTTTTAGTTATTTGGATGTCGCACATAGATATAAGTAATGAAAAAGACGGACATAATTCGCACGATAGGAGGGCCACTGTTGTAGGTGAGAAATTAGAAATGTAGGATAAAGACGAGAATTTAATGTATATCTGTGCAGTGCAACGATTAATCAATACTAACGAAAAACGATTCGGAGCGAACTTCGGTTGTAATGTCTTGATAGACTGTAATATTTACGATTTTCATAAAAATTTGATTTTACAATCTTATAACATAATAAAAATACAACATTACACTCAACTTCTTTTTTTTTTTACCACTTAATACGACTTATAAGTTATGGAAAAATATTATGAATTCGATGAGAACTTACATTTATTATTTATAGACTTCGGACAGACGTATGAAAATGTGAACAGTAGTGAATTATGGAAAGGATTAGAGCTACTTAAAATACCAAAGAAGTACATAAATATAATAAAAATGTGTAATGAGAAGACAATATACAAAACACGATTTTTAAAAAATTACTCGGAACCATTTAAGATAAAATCTGGCCTTCACCAAGGTGACGTCCTCTCATCCACATTATTCAATCTAGTTCTGGAAAAAATAGTAAAAGATGTAAACGAACAACGGAAAATAAACATAGCGGGAGTCAGTGATTTTGGCATACGCCGATGTAGTGTTAAAAAGTACTGAAGAGGAGGTCGTTCAAACAACTGAAAAACTACGTAAAACATGTTAATGGGTCTATGCATAAATGAAAATAAAACAAAATACATGATGATGTCATGGAACGATTATTGTCAAACATTTCTGTTTGGCCTAACATTTGTATAACAGAATGCTTATACAAAGAATAAATATTACGTGAAAAAACTCGCGAAATGGCTTAAAAATTGATCAAATGTTTTGAACATTTTATTATGTTTATACAAAAGATAGATATAAATTTTCTGTCAAAATTTCAAGTCTACGAATAATTTTCACTGAATTACAATAAAAATACAAAATTGAAAATAATAAAAGCATTATTTTCGTAAATTTTCCCGTTTATTGGGGAAACTCCTGGGAAAATCAAAAAATTATCTCCCTAAATTGCCAACCCCTTTTAGAAAAGATGCTACTTCATTGCACTCAGAATTTAAAATACCCGTAAGCAGTAAAACTTAGTCACTAGAATCAAATTTTTCTTCAGTCATTTTTTTTTTATAATTTATCTGAAATATTTATAGATGATCAGGTCGTCAGGTCAGACCTTTACTGCAATTATTACAATTTTTTTATTATTTTTTTTGGATTTTAAATACCTACATTGCTCAAAACGCTATGTTTCAAGGTTTATGTACTATAACTATAAAAGTAAGTTTTGATTATACCAATGGATTAAGCATTAAAAATTACATATTTTAGGGAGGAAAAAGTTTTAAAATGTTTAATTCTCACTAAGAAATACGTGAAATGGAAAATCCGAACTTCATGAAGTTTTCCCCCATAACTTCCAAACAAAGTTCGTTCGACTGTTTTTATTTAAATTCTTAATGTACAAGCAAAAGACATATTTTGAAAAAAAAAATTTGAAAAATGAGCTTGGGTTGTAAACTAGATTTATACCTAAATATTTAATTGGGATGCACTAACCTTTCCCTCCCTATTTAAAGGGAATTTTTTTGGTTCATTAAGTGACACCGATCATTAGCCTACCGTTGCGGATGAAGTCTAGTCAAGATTATAGATAGACAATATGTTTGTATGGTTAAATATGATATTACAAAAATATAAAAGTAGCCACACATACATTAAATATATAATAGTAAACTTAATCTATACCTCAAGCGAATGAAGAAACATCCTAGGCAGTTACCATTCGGCGTACCGACACAAACGTATTGCCGTACCTCTTTTTTTTACTGTGTAAATAATTTCTCAGATGTAATACCTATTTCTTTAATTCGTAAAATAAACCTATCGAATAATTTTTTTTTTCTAAATTGGCTGTGATTAATTATTTTCTTTTATTTCTAAATGTTAATTATCCTGACAACTGACTCGCTATGAGCATTTGTTAACTAATAACTGAACTGACGGGTATACTGTCGGAGGGAGTAAACTTCTTTTATTATAATTTTTTGGGTAATAAGTACTGTATTTATGTCTGTTATATTTGTGTATTTCCAGCAGTTATATAATTCCCAAGTTTGTACTCATTTGATCTAAAATTGTCCAAAAATAGTATAAAAAGATAAATAGGTAAACCTAAAAAAATATAAGTATATAATAGTAAATATATTACATTTTTCATGTATATGTTACAGTGATTGATGTTAAATTCATATTTTTTTCACATGACAAAGAAGTGTGGCATTTAGAATTGCATAATTTCCCAACTACACGACAGGTACATTTATTCATTTTACACTTCGTCGTACAATGACATTTTTGATAGCCTTGTGTACCCATAAGACTATTACAGCTTTTCGCTTCTCTAAATGTTATCTCTTTTTCTCCCGATGATTCAAGAAGAGTTTTGAGATCCAACAAAATTTCTTTGTGTGGCACAAGTTAAGATCTCGTTTACTTGTATTTAAGAAAACCATTTTTGATACCTAATTCAAATATATTAGAAAGCCCTACGCTAATAAGCCCCGCTAAGCTTATTAATTAATACTGCAGCTGTAATACCATCTATCGCTGTTAAGATAACATTTTCCACCGTGTGTAGAAATTATCGACAATCAAACCAAACAAATAATAAATAACGATATAAACTGGTTTGTTAGGTAACTAACATCATTTTCCAGAAAATAACGTTATTTTGGTTTATAACATCATTTACTGTAACATACACAACAGATACAATACAGTGCAATAATATTCTCTGTTCTCAGGGAAAATTCGAAAAAAAAAATGAACAATTTACCTTTTTACAGGAAAAACGAATGAATGATATGAACGGAAACAACGAATAATTTCTTTTTAAAAGGAAGTTTCCTAACACTAGTATAGCTGCAACAGCAGCAGTACAACCGGGAAGTATTACATGAATAAGTGTTTTTAGACACGTGCGATCGTATTTTTTCTTTTTTTTTTTTACCGAATGACCGTCGCATATATAATTGTACATTTATACATATATACCTAGACAATATTATCGTTATCTTTCACAATTATCTTAGGAATGTATCCATCGTCGTACACCGTTAATTAAAATTCAGCGTAACGTTCTCTCGCGTGTGTACTATATAATGAACCGTCGCCGCCGTGACGTGCAACGTTGTCCGGATATTTTTAATATTATTATTACTACTATTATTATTATTATTATTGTTTCACGCGACAATACCGTAACGCCGTTAACGTTGAGGTACGTTAATTACTATTATAGTGCACAATACATCTTAATTAAATCAATAAACGTTTAAGAGGACGTGATACTCACATGTGCTGACTCTGTCTTACAAACGTACGATGTAACAAATTTGTGTTCATCAGGGATGACTTAGTGCTTTTATTCTTGATATTAAAATAAATTGACCCGATATCAAACTTAAAGATAAGAATATTATCTGTACAACATTAGCGCTTGTTTTTCGATATTTCATTTTTAAAGCTTGACATAAGTGTATAAACATTATTAAACTGTAACATTTCACATATTCATATCTCTCTGGGCAAATTAAAATATCGAAAAAATAGCGCTAATGTTTCAAAGATAATGTTCTTAAATTCAAGTTTGATAATAGGTCAATTCACTCTAATAAAACTAACAGCACAACGTTATCTTTATTGAACGCAAATTTAGCATGTTCAACATTTGTAAGACGGAGATAACAAATACGGATATTTCATCCTCTTCGTGAAAACCATCATTATCGCATATAAATACAACACACATACATTATTATAGTAATAAAATCGGATTTGAAGATGCAAATTCTGTGCAATATAATAGTCAATATAAGCCAATAGGTAACTATTATATTCACACAATTCAAATTGCAGTTCCTCATCATACATATATATATATATATATATATATATATATATACAGAGTGATTCTTTTATTGTTGTCACGAACTGGCTATTTTATCCAAGGATTTTAAGGGGCCACACATATTTTGTTTTATTTGTGTGTTTCGCGCATATAATAATACACCGACAATGGCATTCATCATAGGTACTTCGAAGATTGTGACTCTGGTAGGCAAAGGAAGGACCCTTAAAAACCTATATTAAATATATTATAAACAAGAAGTATTTATTGTTTTAGCCGAATAATTCGATTAATACCTATTTTCATTTTCGTTGTGATAAAATGCCCATTTTAATTTCATTTCATTTATTTTTATTTAAACCATTAATAAATTATTAAAAAATAAAAATAGTAAAAAAAATAATCAATTGGCCGAGACATACTATAAAATATAAATACTCTTCTCTATAAAATATATAATAGGCCCATCTTTTGACTCAACAAGAGTCACAATCGTTAAATAGTGAAATATATTTCTTAAAAGAATTATATACAGATAGAAAAAAGAGTTCCTTCAGAGAACTCCATACTCGTATCTACGGCCTCAGTCTAATAATATTCAACAAGCAACAAAGAAAAGTTGCGTTACGTAGAAAGTAAATTATGGCGTTTAGGTTGGAATAAAAGTTTAAACACAATTAATAAAATATAAAAAATAATAATATTTTCGAATATTGAATACAATGCAGAGACTAATCGGAAACAGTATGAATTTTAATGCAAATAGGCATAGAAGGAAAGAAGGGGAGGGAAATACCAAAAAGAGACGGTTGGATTCAATTGAGAATGATATGAATATGAGGATAGTAAGTGCATGTGAGGATGATGTGTGGGATCGTGTCGAGTGAACGTTTAGACGAGGGAGTTCGACCCCAAATAGTTGGGATGAAGGCGAAAGAAAATAATACGCTTTTTTAGGGAAAGCTAAACACAGCCTTCGAAATATTCTTATCTTTAAATTTTGTTATTTGTGTTTTAATCTAAACTCCAAAATATACGTCCAAAGTAACATACTTTACAGCTTTAAAGGTAAGAAAAAAAAATCGTAAATTAATAAATTGTACCTATATAAAATATCTCTTATACTCATAGAAATAATTAAAAATAAATGGTAATAAGAAATTATGTGTCAAACATCAAAAAGGTTATATGAACAATGTGAATTGTGAATATTATTAATTAGTTTTTAAGAAATCTTTTTAAGATTTTTTGTTAATGTTAGGGTCAAAACTAATAAGACATAAAATATATTTAACGCTTTATTCCACTCATATTTTTTGAACAAGGATAATGATATTAGAAATTATAATCGATAAATTAAAACAAAAATTATTCTTCATATAGATTCTAATGATTACATATCATACCTGTGTTTATACATATAAATAAATTTCAAATTGTTATCGCATTGATATTCAATGGCATATATGTTTCAATTTCACTATTTTTATGCATAATGATAATACATAATTATAAAATAAGTTTGTTTTTATTTTTTGGTAGAAGATGAAAACCTCAAAGGTCAAACAGTGACACTAACAGCAACAGGAGTCTTAAAACTTTCGTTATTTCTATGATACTTTCATAATATTTTCACATTTGTATATGCCTCTATAACTTATCAGTAAAATATATACTTCACAGTATACACATTAAAATAAATTATATTCGTGATAAAATGTTTACTCTGTATACATATACTATTATTAATATTATATAATGTAATGACGGACACCCACTGCAGTACATCTTAAACACCAATGGAAATCTTGTAATAAAAATAATAAACGATGAAAAAAAAAAACAATTAATCTGTGCACGTAACGATTAAAATTGCAAACGAAAAACAATTCTGAATGAATTCTGTGGTCAAATAACCTATGTAAGTAAAATGCGAAGTAATGTACAAGTTCTATAGCACTTAAAAGGAATTTCTCGGTTATTATTCAAAGTTTAAAAATAAACATGATAGTTATTTCAGGTTATTTCCGTATTGGTAATGCCAACGGAGATAACGAAACCGACTTGTAACTCGCGTCTCCAATAGTACGCCAAACAATTTATCGTTGAGTAAATCTATACATATTATTCTCTTCTATGGGTGTATCACTATATTATCATAGATTATATAATCTGTATAATCTATGATATTATTTTAATCTCTTTTCTATATAGTATTATTGGTATTCATTGAGTAGTCTGTTAAGTGTGAACCGTACGTTATTTACAATTGAAATGTTTATTACAAAATACAAATATAATTTTACGTTTGCCAACAAATTAATATTAATTTTAAATAACAAAATTTGAAACAAACGACAAATATGCGGCGCTGAAAACTAAAAAACAAAGAGTTAGTATTAGATTTAGCTAAATAATGTTTAATTTTAAACCAAATGTTTTCAAAACAAGACTTCTGACAAACAAGTAAATAAATAAATTATTATAAACAGATAACCTTCACTACTTTTATTTTATCATGACAAATTTAAGTAGGGATAATAAAAAGTATAATAAATGTATAGGTAATTTCTTCCAATCAACAATTTGTGTTGAAAATAAAAATATTTAAATTAAATAAAATATTAAATAATTAATTTTAATTTTAAAATACCTATATATTAAAATTAAATATTTCTACATACTGAATACTGGATATGTGATCATTTTATTTTAATAAAAATTACCTATCTACTTTTTTTCTAGTTATCTCGATATAGGTAGTAAATTAAAATTTTTTTTTTTTATTTAAGTTGGAGTGCATTTGTTTAACACTAACTTATACACTTAATACTTGTATACTTTAACATTTTAAAACATTGATGAATTAAGCTCGGAAGTTGATCATGATGTATGATAGCATAGTAAATAGTATAACCATAATCAATAACAACCATGTTCCTGAGTCCTAACAATGAAGTCACATTAAAACTGTAAAAGAAAAAGTATTTATACATTGTTACAAAATAATAATAAAATAATATATTATAAAAATATATTTATTATCCTTAATCTCGTCTTTAATTTATAAATTTAAAAATGTTAAAAACATTATGAAAATATTGTATGAAAAAAAAAATTCAAACTATTAAAAGAAATTTTGATGTTATGAAACTAATTGGTAAATATGCACTGAGTTATCGAGCACATAGAAATGAAACCACAGTAGTAGATCACAGAAATTTTCTTGAAATTATTATTCTTTTAAAAACATACAATATTGTTTTAAGTGCACATGTTTACAATGTTATTGAACATACTCAAACCAAATTTGCACGTTATCAATATTCATCTGCCTGAGGTCGAGGTTCAGCACTTACTTTTTTGTCAAAAACTACCATTACTTTAATAATTTATATAATTGGAAGGTTGATGAAAAATCAATTATTACTGAAGTTCAAAAAGTAGAAATATTTCTATTTAAATAGATGCAACTCAGAACCAATGTTCTATAATTTTAAAATATGTAAATGAAAATGACCTTAATGACAAATTATTTTTAGTTGTTATTATGTAAGATTCAAAAAGAAAGAGTTTCCATACTATTATGAAAAATATATCAACTGAGAATGGACTAAATATTGAAAATTCTGTGGGAAATGCTACTGATGGAGCAGCTAATATTTAGGGCCAATATTATAGCTGTTCTGCTTGGTTATCTAAATCTTCACCTACTTAAGTCTCAAGTACACGTCTGGTGTTATAGTCTTATTCTGAACTTAGTTTCAATTGATGCTACTAGTTAAGTTAACTTTACCAGCTGCTTCATTATTTGTTTTATTAAATGATATAACTGTTTCTTTTTTTTTTTAAGAATCATTTAAATGATATATAAAAATCAGTCATTGGAGAAAATGACAAATGGTAGCTAGCAATGGTTGGGAATGAAGAAAAAGTGTTAAACCAAATTTTTGCAAACGTTAGTGCTTTATACATTTTTTTATAATAGTAAATAATACCATTATACAATCAAACTCCTTTAACTGTGATATTAAAGTTAAGGCTAAACATTTTAAAGATTATTTTTTACAATGCCCAAAATTTTAACGGCTTTTATTTTTATAAAATTGTTGAAAATTATTTATCTAGGTATTTCCAGACTACTGGTATGAATTTAGTAATAGCACACAATCTAGAAAATGTCTAATCTAATAAAAAAATTCAAAGAAATTTCAATTTAATTAAATTACAAGCTGATATATTTTTTTAAAGAACATTGGTAAGGACATTATGAACAAGTTTATGAAAAACGGAGAAGAGTTTTCTACTTAAAAAGAATTTCGAAAATTAACATCTCAGCAACGCAAAATATTAGATGGTGACAGCTAAAGTTGACTCAATATTGTGTCATGAAAAATCGTTTCTGTTAAAGTCTTTATTGTAATTTTCAATCAAACAATATCAACATCTATTATAGAAAAGAATATTTCTAAAAATATTTTCTTATACAATGATTTTAATAATTTGTTTCCTAATAATTTTTATACATCTACAATATCAAGATTTATTCTGAGATTTATCACTTAATATTCACACTCAAACGTAATGTGCTAATAACGCGGTATAATAAAATACAATGCAATATAATTTCGTTTGTTATTTTCGATCAAAATTGTCCGAATGAGCGTAGTAAAGTATAGCAAGTTTGAACGTCTGTAACTCTAAACCCAAGTCTGATAGACTTATTCTGACTTCAATAAAAAAAAACTTTGTTATCTAAATATCGATAACTACAAATAATAATAATAAAAATATTTCTATTTTTGACCACATTTTGGATTAATTCCAAAAATGCTATTTTTTTAAGGTTTATATACAAAAACTTTAAAAGTATAATGAGTAAGATTTGATTATACCAATAGATTAAGCGTCTAAAAACACACATTTTAGAAAAAAAAAAAATTGAAAATTTTAAATTTTAACTAAAAAATACTCGAAAAGGAAAACCCGTACTTTATGAAGTTTTCCACCATAACTTCCAAACGAATTTCGTCTGACTTTTTTTTTTATATTTTTAATGTACACGCAAAAACACACATTTTGAAAAAAAAAAAAACCCGAAAAATCGCGTGGTAGCTAAACTAGAATCGTTCCAAAACCACATAAGATTATTTTATTATATAATTATGCGCACATGAAAAAACCGTAACCGCGACTTTCGGACTTAGGCGTGCGCGAATGTACGACCGGCGACCGCGTCCCGTCGAATACTTACTGTGAAAGTGATGTGAGTGGTTTGAGGGGGTTGGGGGGGATATCAACCACCGATGTTTCGTAACGATATTCATCGTTGGATTCCTGGCAGAAGAAACGAAACGATGCGGTGAACACGGGCCAAAACGGTACGCGAGTGTGTAGGTTATAGGGGGTCCATCGTGGACTATTCGCGGACCCGACTCACCGTTTCAGCTTACTGGTCGACCGCTCGTGTACAACAGCCGGAAAAGAAAACCATCTTGCAACCCATAATCGATTACCAGCCGATCGAGGCCCGCCATCGGGATATAATGACTATATATAACAGTAATCGTTCTCTATTGAGACGGATGTTGCCGAATCGATATGCATTTGTTTTAACATAACGGACCGCGGTTACTGAACCGTCTATAAAATTTTCGTCGGGTGGAAATGTCGGTTAAACATCGAGTTGTGTGCGATTCGGAGTGATGTTATATATGTTTTGAAAGGCTGTAATATTTACAATTTTCGTCAAAATTTAATTTTAAAACTCTTTAAAAAAAATATATAATCATATACCCACACACAATCCTCATTTTTATTGATTTCTAAATACGACTTATACATTTTCTATCATTTCTGTTTGGTCTAACAATTTTATCCACCTACCAAACAAAAATAAAAATGTCTATACATTGCTCAAAAATAGTTCAAATGATTTGAAAGTTTTACCACGTCTAGAAAAATCAATTTATAAGTCAAAATTACAAATCTCTACAAATATGTTGACTGAATTAAATTTAAAATAATAAAAATATTATTTTCGTGTGTTTCCCCTTTCTTTCTACTTCATTTTTGGTTTTGCTCAATTATTAAAAAAAAACTTCAAAGAAAATAAAATAAACTGTCACCTTAAAGTCAGAGCAACGAAAGTCTTGTTTGTTTTTATTGGAGTAATATTTTATGATAGAAAATATAATCCGTAAAAATGTAAAATAATGAAATTGCTGTACCATAATTTGAAAAAAAAAAAATCATATTTTTCTTACTTTTTAGTTTTTCCCAGTTAATAGAAAAATAATTTAGATATCAAAAGACGACTCATTCTATCGGCGGCTAAATATTAAAAATAAATAAAATCAATTTCTTATCATTTTTTGATTGGAGCAATATTTCTGGTTGAAAATATTTTTTTATTATTATTATCATTATTGTATAAAGGCTTCAACCAATCCTCTCTTTTATCTACTAATCTTTTTCACTTCGTAACTTGCTATTTAGGGATAGTAGCTTCTTCATATTACCCAGATGTATTTCCCTCGGCCATCCTCTTCCTCTTTCCCCATTTAATATTTGTATTAAACTTGTTTAGAAAACATAAGTTGCAAACATTTTAAATTTTTAAAACTATTCCAATACCTATTCCAGGCGTCGCATTAATTAATTAATTATTTTTTTTATTTCTATATAATACAATTTTTATTTTTATTCATTTTAATAATTTTGTTTTAACTTTATCATTTTATTAATTATAAACAATGAAAAGGGTAATGCTGCAACATGTCGTAAAATGGCAAGCGTTTCACCTATAATTTTCTTTTGGGTTTTTCCCAATTATTTTGAAAATCAAAAGATTATTATAATAATATAAGTTAAAAATATTAAAATTAAAATAAGAAATTTTAATATTATAAATTGTATTGATACTAAAAGACTTAAAAGTTATTACTTATTAATATTTAAATGTGATAGATAACCAAAGTTATTAACATTTGTACCAGTAGTTAACCAATGTAAAATAATATTAATGTTCAATGAATTCTCTTTATAGTTATAAGTTTTAAAATATTTAAGTTAAACATTCAAATTAAAGTAAAATTTTCTATTATTATTCATTTAAATTTTCAAAATAAAAAACAAAAGTATATTATTATGTTTTTTTTCCTGTATTTCAAGAAAATCAATTTTATTCTTTCAAGGCTTATCTAAATGTACTATCAAGGCTAATCTCATGATCGTGAATCTTTAGTGAAAACAGATGGTTGATTGTAATCATTTTTTTGAAAGATAAAGTAGAGTTAATTATTGTACATAAGTGTACTAACATCAAGAATTCCTAGCAATAAAAGTTGGGAAACCTGAGATTGGCCATGATGGTTCTTGGGCAACAATATACTCAAATGGGCATTTTTAAGTTTTAAATTGTATCATTTCTTTTTACTAAACTATGATTCTGAATTTTACCATTCAAATTCGAAAAACAAACTTGGTCATTTGAAGATTATAACTATAAAGTAAGTAGGGAAGTCCGTTAAGTTAATAGTATTATCAACAGGGCAGCAGCTGAATATGAATCCAACATTTCATTTGAAGTATAAAAGGTGATTTGGCATTGCAACAACACCAGTCATACACACTGAGATTTTACAGTAAAATATCATGAACAACTATAATTAGTAATTATTATATTAATACTCTTGGTAGCTTGACATATTAGTAGAAATTACTTAAAATTGACTTATTATATAATTGTTATATCACATTCAATTTTCACATATTTTGAGTTTTACCTTTTTTTTTCTATGGTAAAAATAGAGTTCTTCTTCATAATGCACTACCATATTTTCGTGTAAATACAAAATTGATTAAATTAAACAAGAAAATGATTGGTTGCTTGTAAATGCATTGCATAAAGCATAGGTTTCGATTTAATTGTATTGATTGTTTTTAATGTTTTTAGTTTCATTTAATGATCAATTTGAAACTAAAATATTTAACAACAATGTCTTAATTTGATTTTCACTTAAAAATAAATATAAAATAATACTTTCTATAAAGAATGAATCATTATATTAAAAATAATAAAAACTAATACTAATTAAAAAAAAACTTCACGAGATTAAAAAAAGAAATTTGTATTTATGATAAAATAAATTGTGTATAACAACATCAAGTTATTCTTAAAATTCTTTTCTTTTATAAATATATAAATAACCTAAATCAAAAGGAGGATTTTTAGAGACCGCTACTTTTTCATCGTTGTATATCACCCAACATCCTTTCTTTTTTATATGACACACATAATGTCCAACCATCGAAGAGGTGCCCATATGAGATATAAATGCTACTAATTCGTATCCTGTAAAAAAAAATTATATCAATGGCCTTTTTTTTTCTTCGTATGAAATGTTAGTCAAAAGAAATTTACACCTGAGCCGGTAATTAAAACCAGGTCAAGCTAAATTAATTGATCTATATGCTCTGTTGACTGAGCTATCAGATCTTTTAAAATACATAAATAAAAACCAAAATTAACTTTAATTTATATGAACAAAATTTAAAAAGATTAACAAATTCCTACTTCCTTTTCCATCTCTCTCATTGGCAATGTCCAAACAACTGTTGACTTCTGGTTCTGGCCCATGACTCATGACCCAGTCAATTGCACGTTCCACATTATTGTCAGTAGCTTTTAAAGCAGCAATTACATGACTTGATTCAAAACCCATTGACATTATCAAAGCTGCAGCTTCTTTATCAAATAAAAAGTCTAAATAAAACAAAAACTTGTAAATAATTGTTATACTTTTAAAAAATAATTGAAGAAAAAATTTAATTTCACACCAGAATTAGATTCTGCCCCTGGTGGTACAAAAGGTTCTGAGAAATCAGAGTCTGAAATATGTTCCATAAGCCAATTTGAAGCATCATTCAAACCTTGGTTTTTGGTGAAAAATAATGCACGTTTGCATGCTTCTGGAGGAAATCCCATTTGAGTTAATTCAGACATTAAATTTTCATTAAACTCAAATGGAGGAGGAATAGGAGCATCTAAATAAGCACAAATATTATATATAAATTATAAGTAAGTTAATAAAATTAATTGTTAAAACACACCTGCTGAATCAGGTAAAAGATTTTCATCGTCTTGTGGGCCATTTGCCCTTAAATATGTAATGTCCAACGTTTGTGGCATTTCAACAGCTACATCTAACTTAATAGGAACCCAATCTTCACGAAGTGTAAATTTTTTTAAATGTACCACAAGAAAATCAGGAAAAGTAGCAATCCGTGTAGTCCTACAATAATATTAGTTTAAAATTTAAAGCAAATTATTATAATTTAAAATTTAAAAAAAACAACCCTAGTAAAATAATAATTCCATAACATTACATACTTTTGTGCGGTAGTTCTTTGGAGTAGTTCCGAATTGAAGAATTGCTCAATAATTTCAGGTTGTTCAAAAGCGCTTAAACAAGATAATATTGAAATACGAGGTCGGACTACCTCAATAACTCTGAAAAATAATAATAATAAAGATTAAATAATTAAGTAAATTGATTGCAAAAAAAAAAAAAATTATTTTTATTTTAGCATACACTTTTTAATTAACTACTTATATTTTATATACAAGTATCAAAGCGCGCATAGTTTATGATTTGCATCTTCAGTATGCAACAGAAAAAGGTGAGCTGCTTTAGTAGATGTATGTATTTGACTATGTATTAAGCTAACCAGTTTAAGACATTAAAATTTGAGTGAAAATGTCAGAAACAGAACTCTAAGGGACTACAAAAAAATTTCTTTTTACAGAATTTTGTTTTATATAGGTACGCATTCAAATTGTTTTTACAACAAAATATTACTGTAATAATTAATTACTCTGAATTGTTGGTTTCTTCTTTTCTTTGCTGCCAAGCAGCAACTTCTTCCTTGTTGATGACATCTTCAAGAGGAATGGACAATGGTAAACAATATTCCGGGCGAGTAGTATATTTAACCTGTCCTGTTGTTAAACATTGATAACGCTCTTCAATTTTAAATTTGAAACAATCTGCAGGATTTTCAGATGATTGAGAATGACGCTAAACAATTTATTTTATTATATAAAGAAAGGTGTTATGTAAAGCAAAATTGTTGTTTTAATAATAACATATTGTAAATACCTCAACTAATGATAATAAATACAAGAAAAACTCTTGTGCATCTTGTTGGTTCTTCGAAGCAAACTCGGGGTTACTTTGACCAATTAACATTTTTAAAGAATTTGGTCTAATACCATGATGCCAATACTTTTTTTTCCCTTCAATTACTTCTGTAGGTGGGATTGAATATTTACCAGAACAAAGACCATGCGCTATTTTTGCCCTAAAAATATACATATAAATTCCACATAAAATTAAAATAGTATACTATAATTGAGTTATAGTCATAAACTCACATTTGTACATCAAAGTTCTTATTTGGATCATCTGGACAGGATTGAAGTATATTTCTTTCATAATATCTAAATAAATAAAAGTAATAATAATAATAGATCCAAATATACATATAAAAATTTTAATATTTGTACAAGTTAACAAAATAATAATTGTTTTACTTTTGAGTAAAATCTGGAATTGAAAATAAAACTTGCAATACACTATTCATGTAACAAGAATTTCCCAAGTTGTGAATTCCTGTATAACCAGGACCAAATACTGGCTTTAATTCACTTCCAATTTCTTGCATTGTTGCCCAATCACCAACCTTTTTGTTCAAATCCAATTCTAATTCAATCATTGATTTTTCAGTCTAAAACCAAATATTATATTATTTTCATGAAATATAACTACATGAATGTTTAAATAATATCATTTAATACTTTTTCTAGAGTAGAAATATTAATTCCAAAATGTGATAAATGTTTTATTAAGTTAGGATTTTCAACCATATCATCTTCGGGATAACTATACACATCACCTTTGCCATCTTTAGTAATTGTACCAAGTTTAACAGCCAAAGGATATTCTAGAATAACACATTTTTTTTTTAATTAAGAATAATTAGTTTATTAATTTAATACAATTTAAACCCTACTAGTGTTGTTATAATGGATAATAGCATGGCCATTTCCACCAGATCCATCAAAAAATTTACGACCACAATAAATTGAACCATCAGTTAAATTAAGCCACAAGTTATTATCTTTGTCGCAATTTTCAAATTCACATTTCCAACCGCAAGGAGCAATTTTTTTTCCATTATTCAACTGTTCTATATCAGCATACCTGTTGAATACCACAAGATCAAAAATGAAATAATATAGATAGTTAAAATACCTATACATAAAAAAATTTACTTAAACATTTTATTATGTAATGATTTTGGCATAAAAAATTAGTATCATGTCTTTAAATTATTTAAAAATAATCATGTAAACATTTATAATTATACAATATATGAACATTCTGCACATCAAATAAATTATACATACTTAGTTTTTATTCTAACTTCACCATCCCAAGTATTTGACATACTCTCCAACTCATCCAAATAGTTAACAGATTTAGCTTCTATAATACCTTTTACAGAATCAATCACCTTAAATAGATACAATTTGTTTGAATAAAAATTATACATATTAATTAAACTAATTATAATTAAAAAATTACTTTTTGCGGTAATTCACTCGTTTCAAATGGAATTCTTTCGAATGAAGGTAAAATGACAATTGAATATTTTTCTACAGTTTTGTACTGTTTGTTCTCTGCATCCGGGTCAAATCCACCTTCAACTCCAATAGCGAGTCTAGTAATCTTCCGTTGAGTTGGCGCTTCTCCTACCTGTGTCATTTTGGTTTCAACCTAACAATACATACATGACATACTATACTATCTCATTAATCAAATTAAAATGTTTTAAGTTGATGTTTAAATTTCAGCATAAAAATAATAAATTATCAATATACAATAATCTTAATTGATTTATAATTAATATTGACAAATGTTTTGGAACTATAAAAATTGAATTGTATAATTTTTAATAAAAAAAAATAAAACATCAAACATATTATCAGGTTGATTATGTTAACAAGCTAATAAATATTAATTATTACTGTTTTTGGAAGGTATATTTAAATTTGTAAATGTATACAAGGACCAAGAGTATTGATTTAAATAATAATTGTGAGGATATGTCACTGTAAAAAATAAAGGTTCATCTTAGCCTTGCAGGTATGATAGATGTATATAAATTGTAGTTATTATATTTAACTTAGGTTTTCATTATTTTTTTTTTTATAACATATCAAATTATAATAAGAGTCAGTGTAAAATTGGTACAGATACATGATATTTAAATGATAATGTAAGTACCTTTATTTTGGTACGAAGCATGTGCAAAAACACCGAGTTTCCAGTTTTTCTATAATAACGGTCAACAAAATCCAACCCAAGTCCATAAAATGTCTTCAGACAAATAAAAAGACCATTCTCACAATCCTGTAAAATATTAAGTGTAATTAATTTTAACCTTCTAACGGTCGCGCGGTTTATTTTTCATACTTGGTCAGCGTGGGGTATTATTTTATAATTTATTAATATTATATTAACTTTAGTACATTTAGCTATTTTTAATACAAATTTGTGTTTTTGTGTGTAATTATTTAATTTATTTTAGGTACTTAATATATAAATACAGGTATTATACAGAAAAACAATTTTTTTTTTTTTTTAATGACTCATAAATTTAGATAAACATGTTACCAACAGCTATATGAAATATTAGGTAGTTACATTATTGTAGGAAAGTTTTTTGAATGTCTATATTTAAGCTGGAAGATTATTTACTCTGCACGACAGATAGAAGGTTAAGATCTTAAATATTTAAAACTAGAAATAAAACATTAATATATTGTATTTTGTAAATTGGTTATGTATATACAATATGTATGTATTTTCTTCTATATGAATAAAAGGAAATGTTTGTGTGCAATTCGCAATCAAATAAATCTCAAACCTAAATCGGAAAATGTACAAACAGAAGCTGATGAACAGGACACGTTTATGTCGTGTTTGCATTGCAAAGCCAGATTTTCAAAATCCAATCCCTAAAACATGATTGAGACAGTATTTTTAGAGCAAAAATCAAATTGTTTTGTTGATTTAAGGATAATGAACCTATTATTTTTTTTCCTCGAAACAGAGCATCTATGCAAGGGTTCAGCAATTTTTGTATTATTTTCATGTAAAACGAAAATGGTGAAAAGTAAACATACCTACTATAAATAAAACACAGTATAAAATAATAGTAAAATATCAAATAATGTATTATATTAATTTATAAAAAAAATTTGAAAATGAACATAGTAGTCTAATTTGCTTATTTTCTGTATTTCTTGAAGCAGACAGATTTTTTTTTTTTGTCGGTGACTAATTACACACACTTTTTTAACAGAATGCATTGCCCACAGTAGTCTTTTTTTAAAAATGGAACATTTTTGTGTTTTTAGAGACAGTGAAACAAATGGCTTTATAAATGGAACACATGAACACGTTATTTATAAATTGCCTTGATGTCACATAATAATAAAAAGTACATTAATGCATTACCTATATCTATGGTTTTATACCTCTATTAACCACTATAATGTATGAAATAAAAATAAAAACAGGGAGACTAGCGACTACCTCTCGACTAAGGTAACAGTGTAAAACATAATATTTTTTATTATTATTGATTTATTCAATACCAGTGGATTGGCAAAGCTGTGTGTGACAGCTAATATTCAATAATGTGTACTTATTTAGTAATTACACTCATTATTATTATTATTATATGTTGTAGTCTTTTATGAAGGTTAAAAATGCATAAAACTATTTGTTACCAAAGAAAAATTATAAATATGATACAGATTATTAGATAAACCAGTAGGTAATGAAGTAATATTCACTATAATAAGAACATTATATGTTAAATGTTATTAATACTCATATGAATAGATAAGTCTAATAACAAGTTTATAGTGTGTGATTCCCTACTAGGTGCGTTTTTTTGAATCATTAGATTTTAATTCATAAACATGAATTGGTTAGGAGTTATTCTCAACAAATTTATATTTTGTTACAATATAATACCTATCATGTATATAATATTAGCTGATTTTTAAAAAATGGATTGAAGGGCCCAGACTTCCAACCTATAAATGCACTTTTGGCAATACATATTGGCATATATTAATATAATACACAATAAACAATATATCAATCTAATTTCAAAGACAAGCTAACTACTCAACGACCAAACAAAAAAACAATTATATAATAATGCATGACTATTAAAAAAAAAAAAAGATTCAATACTTCAATTTATTTTTGAATAACAAGTGAATAATAAACATTATGATATACAAAACAAGTATGCAGAATTAATAAAAATCAGAGATTATAGTCCTTTGTATTTTCATTTTATACTCATAAATTTCTCAATGACACCTAAATAATATAGAACTACAAAATATTAAACTGTTCTTTTATAAACTTGACAAGTCTAAGGTATCACGGCAATATAAACATTAAATAGTACGATTTCCTGCAAAATTATTACATAAACCATGTTTAAATCAGTTATAGGTATGATGTAGTTCACTTTCGATGTAAACACGATTAATTACACTAATGCTGTCTAATTTAATTATTTAAAAACAAATAGTATTGTGCTTACTGGAGAATCAAACGAGTAAAGACATTCATCTTTATACACCCGATCAGTATTGCTTGGAATGCGAGCATCATAATTTTCTAGGATCTCCTTTACAGTTGTCATGTAGTCCATTCTGGATGTTTGAAATTCAAGATTTTTCACAATGAGGTCGGTCAATCACTATATTAAATAAAAAATAATAATAAAAGGCAAAGCGTTTTTTTAAAAAAAAAACATCAAAATCTATTAATGTTCATGACAAGATTCATGATTTGCCAGTAGCGACAAAACGAATAATCATGAAAGCTGCAATATTACAATAGTGAATAAAGTAACAATATTTTTATAACCTAAAAATTTTAGAGATATCAAGTCATGACTCATGTATATTAATGACACGGGCCACGGATTGGCATCGGTGCACTATGTGTGTACCCGGAGCCGAACTGTTTCCCTGGGAGTGCAGGAAGTTACAAAACTTGCCTGAATTTAACGCCATCTATATGTAAAAAGAACATAACCGACAAAACGCTACGCACCTACGCCACCACCATAGATAATAATAAACGAGAGTTTATCACACAGATATTTATAAAAACTAGATAACTGACTCCGTGTACAATTATGATACCCAGTGCCATATGCCACTGGGGCATGTTTAAAAATTTTTCCGTTGCCAGTTAATATTTTATGTTAAATTATTTTATAGTTATTAAATTCATCCATGATAATGACAGCATAAAAATGATAACATGACGTAAACATTGCCCGAGTGACAAATGTTGCGGGGCATCATTACCCGTGTGTTCCTAAATTCATCAGATTGGTCAGCCGCTAGATTTAACTGTTCCTAAAATCAGCTACTGATATTTTGTGGATGGAATGGTGTTTAATCAGATGGATGTGATAAATATTTTACCCTACGTATTTTTCGGAAAATATTTTTAAATCTGAAAGAAAGTACTTAAGTTGTTAATTATGTAATGTATAATATTAATAAATCAACATATTTCTATGCATGTACAGCCAATATTGTATGAACGTTCAAATCTTGGCTATTTTAAGTTAAAATCCCACTTACAACAGAGGCACATTCGTCTTCAACATTTGGATTCTGAGTGTATTGGTTTTACAATGATATTTATTTTTTATTTTTTTATACACAGTATAAAAATTCTACCAGAAATCGATCCAAAATATCAAGTGTAGGTAACACTATTCTGGAAGTAAATCTGACTGGTGTATTACTTTAGATAGGTCATTTTTTACCGAAAAAACAAGAAAATACAATATTTAATATAAATATTACCTATTAAAGAAAATATGTTGGTAATGCATAATATGAAATGGTGTAAAAATTGTATTACACATAGCGTATAGAATTATTTTATCACTATTAACTATTGTAGTAATAAAAAAGTATTATCATTTACAAACATGTTACCGCTACTGAAAAAAAATCATAATTAACCATCTTCAATATAATTTGTAATAAAAGCAGTATTATTATTGCATTAGTATTATAGCAGAGTATTTTTCATCAGAGGTGCAAAATATAAGCAAATTTATCTCAATCTCGGGGGCACTGGTAAGACATTTTTGTCCACTCAGTACAGTTCCCGTAATGTCATTTATAGAATTTGCTAGCAGTCATAGCACAAGACACAACTTTGGTCATTCTCGATAATGTAGAAAGCAAACTAATGAACGCATTAAAAATTATGAATTTATGACATTAATATCTAACCCAAACAAAACACAGGTATTTTGCTTCTACTTATACGGACCCGTGACGCTAAGAAACGTTTTAATACAGGATGACTTTGAAAAGTATTGAAGAATATGAAAACACTGACCACCCCGTGTAGCTAGGCGTCACTTTAAATAGAATGCTGATTTACAAATTTTCAAACCAATAATTATTTGTGACGCAGTGATCATTTTTCTGAATGAAAATCTCGAGGTCCAGGGTTCAAACTCCTTAGGTGTTCAAAATGTTGACACTTTTTTACGAAAATATTCTTCGATGAATTTGTTCGTGTTAAAATTAAGACGTTTTCTCCTGTACCTACCCGATGTGGTTTTGTACTCTTACAACAAATCAAGGTATCGCACAAAAAAAAAAAATAATCCGACTAATAACTTGAACATTGCCAATAATATTTTAGAACGATAAAATACACCGAAATAACCAATATAAAACCAAAAAATCGAGGGGCATGCCTACAGTCCTTCTCCCCTAACTACGTCAATAATGTCCGCTATTTAGAATAGGTTTATTTTGGAATTAAAGGTTAACTGTTAATATTTTTGTGTTTAATCCTATAACTGATAACCAATTTTTAGTGGAAGAGGGATTAGGATTTTTGTTGAGTTATATTTGATGATATTTGCTTTTTTTTGGGGGGGGGGGATTGGCCACAAGTTTTAATCCCTCCCTCTTGTTCTCCTCTGAAAAAAGGCACTGGTCATAAATATTTCTACTCAAATTATTTTACAAGCTGCATATTATAGCTTTACACATTGTGTAGATACTGCAATAGTCGTTAGTCAAATTGCTAGGTTTTGATTATTTTTAAATTTACTAAATTGAAAAGTAATGCTCAGAAAATGTTAGAATGTTCATTTATTGATTGGCATATAGTGTAATATTAGCTTAGGCCTTAGATAATACAGACTGAATTGAGTTATGATTTAAAATCTTGAAATATAGCAACTAGGCCTCCGATGGCATTACTGTGCATTCGTACAACAAAGTATTTGTGGCAATAGATATATACCATAGAGTAATAATATATATAACGGCAATTATGGTACCACTATACATGCACAAACAATGATTGTGATTTCTACTCTGTCCCAAGCTTTCTATTTTGTTTCTGACACATGCGCAATAAATACATCAAGGTCTATCAGGTCAGCTGCAAGCACAGACTACGGGTGATATACACTGTAGTTCTATCCAGTGTGTATTGTCTAAGATTATTAGGTATGTAATGTTGATAATTTCTGAAGAAACATTGCAACATCTATAGATAAGTTTACTATCTATATTTATGGAAACATCTCACAAGCAGCAAGGATTATAATAATCACTGTTTAATATGACAAATATATGATCAAAAGCTATTCATAATATATTTATAAAATCATAGATTATAATAGACAACAGATATATTAATATCTTAATGTTTAAATATTGGAATTTAAAAAAAAAAAAATGATATACATTAGACATTTTTTTTTTTAATTATATTTTATAGTTTGGAACAAATTTAAGACTCCATTACTTTATTTTTAAATATACCTAGAATGTAAAAATTACACCAAATCAATTTTATTCATTGTTGATTTTAATAATAATAATGTCATTAAATTAAATACACGGTTACAACTAAATACATGTTAATAATTTAAATCCTAATCATGACAGGTTCTTCAATTTTAAATAATAAAACAAAATGATGAGCATTGTAGATAAAACATATATAAATATATATATACATACATACATACATAAAAACATTTTGTGTTTAAGATAGTTCGGATAAATAAAATTGTATCTTAATGAAACAAAAACTAATCTGCATACAAATAAACCAGTGGATATTACATTTATTTTTAAAATCTGAAAAAAAAAAAATTTTGAAGGTAAAATATAATACATGCTACAAAGTTATTTTAATTTATATTTTGAATAACATAATAATATAAAATATATGTTATGAAGGAAAAGGTACTGATATTTGTATTATTTTTTAGACAAAAAGAATTGATAATGCTATTGAGAGTAACTTATAATTTGCTTTGTTCAAATAATACTAATAAGTACATAACCATTGTTCAAAATTAAATTAAATTAACTTCAAATTATTTTATGTTATTATTTGAACTACTATCAATAAAAACCTATTTTTTACATTGTTTTTCTAAAACAAAACATTTAATTATTGGAAAAGGATTAATTAATATGGTGATTTAGAATGATTTTATTTTTTAATGTGTGTAAAGAAAAAAACTGTATTTAAAAATGGCATTAATGTAAAAATATAGAGAAGTTTAAAGAATACTCATACTTTTATCCTAAAGTAATGGAATCCGGATAGATTATATTAATTCCTTAACAATGACTTGACATAAGCTTCATGTATTTTAACCATAAAATCTTGATCATTTTTTAATAAGTATTCTAAAGCTTGCAATAGTTGATTCTTTGTTAATGGTTCTAATCTATTAGTTGCTGGCTCCAAGTGTTTAGATTCTGTTAATGAAATGGCATTTACTGAAGAAGTAACTAATTCATCTTCAAGTTCATCCATTATGAACCTATTAGGTGCCATAAGTTCATCATTTTCTACTCGTGACTCTACCATAATTGGAGCTCCTAAAACATTATACACATTACAATTATTTATTTATTTTAAAATATAATTTGTACAACTAAAATCATACACATATTAAATTATAAAAATGTATGTATAATATATAAATGTAACAGAAATCTACATTGGGTATAGGTATTAAGATTTTAAATTCTGAGCAGAAAGAGGAATGTATTGGTTTTACAATGTTTTTTTTTTCCTGTTAACAACTTTTCTACCAGCAATTTTGCTCAGATTTTTGAATGTAGCACATTTGCTAAAAGAAAATTTTATTTGTGCAGTATTTTAAGGGAGTCATTTTTTGATTTTTGAAGACGTTTTCATAACAAATGAAAAAAAAAACAGGAAAATTTACAAAATGTAGTTTTCAATTTTTTTTTTTTTGTTTTGTTGCAATTCAGTTAAAAATATGAATAGACTTAAAATTGGGATAAAACATTTATATTTGCCTTTTGTGGTAAAATTTTGAAAACATTTAAGCCATTTTTGAACTATTTAAAGAAATTTGAATTTTATAATTTTTAACGTAATTCTTATTTAGTAAGCACTCTGTGAATAAAATTTTTGGCCAAACAGAAATGTTTGAAAGTTTAACTGGAGGTTAATTATAAGTCGTACTTTATAGTAAAAAAAAATTGAATGTAATATGTAATTTTTTTGTTACAAGAATTTGATTAAGAATTTTTTAAATATCAATTTTTGAAAAAAACCATAAACATTACGGCCTTTTAAAAAATGTAGAACCGAATTGTTTTTGTTTAATAATGTTTAATTGTTGTGTACAGATATACATTAGATTCCCATTTAGGTGTATCCTACTTTATTAATTTATTACCTACAACAGTGAGCACACCACTACAAAGTATATTCATTTTTATAAAATACAAAAAAATACCTTTTAACTATTTGATAAAATATTATGAATGTTAATTAATTTTTTAATGTTTCATGTCTGAAGAAATTTAATTATTATTTATGAAATGGAGAAATGTTTTTAATATATTTACCAATAGCAACATTCAATTTTCCAGATGCATCACTTTGGTCAAGAAACTGTTCAATCGTTGATGGACTTAATGAATAATTATCTTTTGGTCGATGGTATCCATTACGATTAACATGAGGAGTACAATCTTCATTTTGCTGATTTAACTGAGTAATTAAACTTCGAGGTTTTATGTTATTAAATGAACATTGATTTACAGGCATAATTTGCTCAGTAGTATTTGCTCCAATAATATCAGCTCTGGGTGTTGCAGACCTTTGTTGCATTTCAATTTGTTCTACAGTATGAATTGGACTAGCCATAAACTTATGCAACAAAGACTCATTTGATCCTTTTAAAGCTGGAGTTTGCGTACTTTGTGTACTTGCATAGTTTGATAATGATGGTAATCCATCAGAGAAATTTTTTCCACTTCCCGCTTTTGCAAAAAAATCCATAACACATTGTGGTGGAGCGGTTTCTTCAACTTTCTTTGATGGAGTCACAGTTCCCTTTGAGCTAGTTTTAGTAGCCCTATAAAATCAATATAAATAAAACATAATAATAAAATCAAAAATGTATGGTTGAGTACTAAATATATAATTATATAATATGAATATAGCACAATATACAAATTGTTCTAAAAAGTAAAAAAAAAAAAGTTTTGATTTTATATTCCTAACGACTATTTGTATCTTTTATTCAACAATTAACAATGACTGAACATATTTCTGATGAAAAATTTAAAATTTAGTATTTTTTATAACTTATTTAAATCTAGAAAAGTTCAAATCTTACCTATAATCCTCTTGTGCTCGGCTGAGCATTGAAACAAGATCAATACTTTTAGTAGGGCCAGTATCTTGCTTACTTATTTTATCGTTTTGTTTAACTATCAAATTTTTGATCAATGATTTCAATATATTAGAAATTTTGGCACATTCATCTTTATCATAAAACCAAATACCATAAATAGCTCCATTGCAGTTTCTATACAACAAAAATGGTTCTTGAAGTTGAAGGTCTAAGCCATTTTCAATCGGTTCCATCAAGTTATTTGTATTTAATCTGTTCATTATCATAATGCTATGCAAAGGTTCAGCAGATCGTGTATATACGTGCAAAGTCCCTTCTACATTAGTTTTTTGCCATGCATTTGCATCTGCATTAAAAGAATACAAAGCAACATGTCCGGCTGTTTGAACAATACTATCAACATATGGATCTACTCTTTGTAAAGCAGAAAGGTTCATTTTAGCTTCTGAATCACCGTAACTCATTGCTAATGCTTAAATATTGAACAGTAACACTAAAATAGGTGGAGATCAATAAATATAGTTATAATAATATATATAGTCAATACAATAAAATTTGTTTAAACAAATTATACCCGTACGTTGTACAATAATTCTGAAAATACTAGAAGCTATGTATATAGAATTGTATGTTTTCTTTTACAGTAATGTTCCTTGGATAAATTTCGAACAAATGATAACATTTACCGATTCTTTAGTTTTCTTCACAACTTGATTGAATGCTCGGTTTATGAACGATATTAAATAAAATAATATCTTGGATCACATAAAAAATAAAAATAATTTAAATAAAAATATGTCAAAAATAATAAAATGAAGTAAACTAGTCGTAAGATTGTTATAGATGTATAGTACGAACGATAAGTGGGAGAATTTTACGAATGAAAAACAAACGATTCAGTTACCGGTAACGTGGTAGCTGTGCGGTAGCTTGATAACAACGAATATTCGTTATCTGAAAAATGAGTGGGAAATAGGAATCATAAATATCAAATAAAACAACTCACTTTTAAGTTATAAAGCACCTTTCCTTTACTTATACATTTCTGTTTTATTTGTATAGTAAAACAAAAAACAAAATGAATCGAAATGATGATTATTTTTATAGCCGAACCATGTTTTTTGCAGAATTGTCTCAAAGTATTGGTAAGTATAGTTTTGTTGTACCAAACCTATACATGTATTACTTATTATTTAAATTATTTTAAGTAGATTTATTAAAAAGATGTCTTTACCACGCTACCTTAAATATAGTTTATTTTATTGATAGTATCGATTGTCTCAACAAACATACTGAATAAAAATAGTTAAATAAATATAAGTCCTTTTTGTCTCTCAAATGATATAGTATGATGTTTATCTGTTTCTTATTTGTCTTTTGATGACAAGGATAGTGTCCTGGACATATCGTACCCTGTTGTCTTAAATATATTATACATTTTTGTAGTTGGCTTATTTGCTTCATTGGCATAAAATACCTATATTTGTAATATTCTTTACTGTTTGTTGACACATACAACAGTAATGAACTAAAAATTGTGATTTGATATGGTGTGATCAGTCTTATAGGCCATTAACTAAACGACTATGACACAGTGAGCATGATTTAAAAGTCTTCATCCAGTGTGAAAACTGCAATTATTTTTTAGAACTAATTGTCAATATCTCGTAGATAAAAACTGTACTTCAATTATTTGTGTTTATCTTTGCAGGTTCTTAAAAGTTATTTTAATTTTAGTTATATAAAATATATTATTAGATAGTATAAATTACTACCTAGATTGAAGTTATTTCATAATTGGTAGTTTGGTATAATTGCTTAGGTCAAATAATACATGGGGTTTGCTCTATCTGGATTGTTTGACTCAAATTCTAGTATTCTACTACATAGAACATTTAAATCATCTATTATCATATTATAATTTATCTAAAATGTAAAATTAATATTATAATTTTTTTTTTTTGTTATAGAAAGAAAAAAATTATCAACAAATGATTTATTTACTAACTTCCTAAATGATTTTAATAACATTGTCCACCATAACGGATTAGTACAAGAAGAAATGAATATTGTTTGCACATTGTTGTGTACTGTAGATTTAAGTAAGTGCCAACATAAATATAATAATTTTATATTTCTGTTATTACTTTGGAACAAATTATTTATATTATTTTAGGACTGAGCAATTTCAGAAAAATACTTTTAACACTAGTACCAGAAGAACCATTTATTCCTTCTAATGTTTGTGAGGAACTTATTATCTGGGCTTTATCAGTTTATTGGCAAAACGAAGATTATGAAATTAAAGCTCAATACATATTATTTTGGTTACTCTGTAAGTATGGTATTTAGTTTTAAAAATGCCAGATAAAAAACTTAGTAATTATTATTTATAAATTATAATACATATACACCCAAACAATGTTATTAAGGAAAAAAAAAAATGTATGTGAGCTTCCATAACTAAAGATTGATTTTCAATTAGCATACTAAATTTATATACAGGTATCCCACGAAAATATACCCATTCTGATATCTTCTGAGATAATAAAGATAATTAGTTTCTGTTTATATATATATATATATATATATATTACTTATAGAGATAAGGATTAAAAATATTTATAATTGAATTTATTTATTTATATTATGTTAGGCAATGATACAATAGAATATATAGTATGGTTATATTCAAGTTAGCATGAAATAAAAATTATATTAACTTAAAACAATGACAAAAAATATCCAAAAATTCAATAAAATATAAAATTATAAAAATAGGTACTTTCTCAGTAACTTCTTTGTAGCTTTGGTAGTTTTAAATCTATCCAAATTGTTACATGTCTTTCGATCAGTGAATGGCCATATTTACAGCATTCTTATTTATTTCCGTGAGGTTCTTTTCATTAGATGATTAGACATATTTTGTAGCATTTCAATAGATGGTCTATTATTTGTTCTTCACCACAGCCATATAGATCTGATGATTCTCTTAGGGAATCTCACTTTTTTAAGTTGGCTTTGCATCACCAATTTCTTTCCGTAGTCGATTTAGGTTTCTCCATAACACCCATCTATTTTCGTTTCCTGGTACAAGGTTTTCTGTGGTCATTATCCATGTTGTTTCGTTTCTTATTTTTCCTCTTTATCTTTCAATTCTCTTGTCCTTTGAATTTCTAATGTACTTTATCCTTTTCATATAACTATTTCTAGATTTGATTCCAGTAGAGCCATATCAGATAGGGTGTACAATTTTTTTACTGGTCCATTTTTTAAACAGCCAGTGACAGCGTGTCTCATTCAGGACTGTGTCTATCTTTTTTGTGTGTGTAGATCTGAACTCAACGCAACCATTTACAAACTTCTGGTTGGGTTTTGCAGCTTATCTTAATGTTATTTATGTATTATATTCTATTGCAAAATAAAGATATATTATTATTATTAGATCTACCCCTCACTGGCTTGCGAAATCTGCGGTTGAGAAACATAGTGTTAAAGCTGTAACTCTACGTGCATGTGGTTCCATACCCCTGGAGATCCGATGAGCTTCCACAATAGCCAATTTTAGAGAGTGTGCTTGATAATTCCTTCTTTTTTTTTTTTATTAAGAAGTCTAGCCAGATTAAAGAAAAAGTATTTCCTCAAATTTCAAGTAGATAAATAAACCTACGAGAAAATACCTAAAATATTTAACTATACATCGAGTATTTACCCATGGCACATCAGCACACTAATCCCTCGCTAGATTCCATACATTCCAAATCTAAAACAGGATCTGATTATCTTTATTATTTCAATTTTATTATTGCAATGGGAGTAGCTAAGATTGCATGTACTTATTGTTGTATACATCTACAATGTATAAGTATAGTTAAAAATATAGTTAATACTGTTAGTAGTATATAATGTGTTATATATAGTTATTTAGAATTTCAATAGTGTTTTTTGCCATTTTAATTGATGGCTTATTTCCTTTGTGGTTTATTATAATACTAACTGGTATTGAAATATTTGTTTTTGGTTTACATATTTTGTGTAGACATAATTGAAGAAAAATTAACTGATTTGGATGTTATTGATAAATATTATAAAATTATCTTTCATCTTGGGAATTATGGAAGATTAGTAAGTTAATATTTTTGTCTTTTTAATATTAAAAAAAAAGTTTTTAATTCTTATTTATGTTTATAATGATTTTGCAATAGACTCAACCTGTTGCTGGTATTATTTATTACTTGACAAAACCTGATGATGTACAAAAGTGGATGATTACTTACTGTACAAATCACATTGAACAATTTAAATCAGATCAGTATATGGACAAATTATTAAAGTAATTAGTAAATAATTTTTGTAGATTTTTATGTTAATAATAATTATATATTTGTATTATTGTCTAGTTTCTTAAAAAATCCTGATACAGTTTATGAGCCACGCAAAAAGGGATTATATGATAAAAATGCACAATTTTTTAGAGACCTAGCAGCTAGTTTGCGTAGTGTACGAAAAGAATTAACAAATATAAATCAATCTGCTCAATCTCAACAATTAATAGAATATGTAAATGTCTTAATATAATTTGTTTCATTAAAAACATTTGTTTAAAAATATATTTCTTTTATAAGGGTAAAAAACGCTCATGTGAAACTTACAGTAAAATACAATTTGTTAATGTTAATAAGAAATTTGATTTGCCAAGGTAAAATGTTTAATATTTATAATATTAATTTTAACTAATGCTCTATAGTTTAAACTGCTTTAAATATTTACTTGTATTATAATAATTAATTAAAATTAAAATTATTATTATTTATATTACTCATATTTGTAGCGCTCCAGATTTAGCCAAGGCATTTATGAGGCATGATATTTCTAACAACAGTTTGTCACTTTTGGGAAATGTTAGTGGTTGGTGTAAATTGCTCATGAACACAGACAAAGAATTAAATCTACAACATAGATTTTCAAATAATTTACACTACAGCCTCAACCAAAGTATTTGAATTATATAATCATGAATAAATATTCAATTTATTTATATTAATACAAATTTTATGGTAGATATGTTTTAATTTTAAATGTTTGTAAGTTTTTTTAAGCGGTGAAATTACTGTGCCACCTTCAAAAAAATCAAAATTTTTACTAGAAATTTTGGAGTTTCAAAAATTTGCTCAAAGAGGTTTGGCAGTTATCAATATATTTATATTTGAATACATACTTTCATGGGATGGTATGGATAATGCTCGGATAATTTATGAACTTTTTGAATATTTATCATTCTCTTCAGAAGAAGGTTGTATGCTCAAATAATATTTGTAGATTATTTACTAATTTTAATTTTTTTACCTAGAATTAAAAAACAGATTTTTAGAAAAATTATATGCAATATTTATTACTGGAGATGAATTAATTTACAGAATGGTAATTAATTCCTTAACTAACCTTCTGTGTAATATGGTAAGTTAAATAATGATTTGATTATTTGTATTTATATACATTTTTTAATAAATACATAAATTATATATAGTAAATAAATATATAAAAATATGTATATATTTATTTATAACTATTAACCATTTTAATAATTTTGTTTTTACTTTATTATTTTATTACATAAATTAAATATTTATTCATAATTAGTTTTATACTATTTACTTCAGTAAATACATCAATACATCAATTAACAATCATACTGAAATAATATATTTTGTTTAGTATTTAAATGCAAGAATAAACAGAACTGACAAAAATTGTATACTATTTGGTGAAAAATTAAGAAATGAAACATTATTTGAAATAGTAAAATGTTTAACAAAATATATATCATATTGGTGTTCATTATGTATTTATCATTATCCACACGAAGAACAGCTTAAAAATGTAGTTTACACATTTTATGAAAAAGTGAGTTATATTAAATAATATATTGATTATTGATATTGTTTTTTTTTTTTTTTTAATAAATATTTATTTGGATAGTTTTATTTAAACTAGAAAAACCCCTAAATTATAGAAAATTATATTCTAATATTTTAAAATTAAAAATGTATATATATAACCCTTGATTTTGTAATACATTTTTAAAAATAAATAAAAAATTATATGGCTGTATATTAACAATATGTTTAAATATTTCAGGTTTCTGTTTTAGAAAATTTGAAACCCTACACAAACAATTGGCCTTTATGGACAATAATGCCACCAAATGTTTTCTATAATGGATTAATGTCAGTTAATATTCATTGGTTAGACAGATTAGCCAAATTAATGCTAAGGTAAACAATAATAATTTTAAAAATTCGTCATTTTTTTCAACTGAAAATTAAAAAAGTATACTTAAATAATGTAAATTTGTTTATGAATTTGTTAGAATAAGTAACCTGTGTTATTGTTTAATTATGAGATGCGGTTAAATATATTTTATTTAGTATTTTTTTATTATTATTATTATTCATGTTTGGCATTTCAGTCAACTTAATGAATTAAACTTTACTATTATTAAAAATTATATTAAACCATTTAGAAAACAGTTGATTTAAATAATGTAAATAAGTTAAACATTTTATAGGCATATCAATTGTGATATGAGTAGAATTGAGGAATGTATAGTAGATACACCGTGCTTATTAAATACATCATTAAAGTTTAATATGTTCATGGCAGACTTGTATAATGCACTTAAAACCGGAAAAGTAAAAACATACATTTTATGTAAGAATAGTTTTGTAAATGTTTAATAATAAATCATTTTGTTTGTTTAGTTGTTTGATAATCGTGAAGAAGGATTTATCTTTAAACATTTGTCCAAAGAAGAAGTTCTAACTGATTTAAATTTGGTAAATTTAAATTTATGTTTCAAATTAGAAAAACATATTGCATTGGCACCATATTACATGAACTTTAAAAATAAAGCAAAGGTAAATTTTTAATTTTAATAATAAACATTATTCTTTAATTTACAGTTACTCATGCAACATATTCTATGACTAATGATGTACTAAATGACACATTGTTTACTACCTCCATCGTTGAAACCTATTTTGTATTCTGTTTAAACTTTGTTGTTAATCACTGGGTGGGATTAAATATGTGTAGGTATGTGGATGATATTTATCTGAAATGGTTTTTATGCATACCACTTATGAATCTGCTACGTACCATTAATAACCAAAAACAGAACTATTCAAAATGTCCATACATTTATTTCAAAATAATAAAGCAGTACAATACTAAAATAAAAAGTCAATTATATTTGACTCTTTGCCAAAAAGAGTGAACAAAACTCAGTTTTAAATATTATGACTTTTTCATGTAATTGTTTTTATCAACTCTCAACTCACAATTTTTTTTTTTATTAAAACCTATTTGTAATTGTTAGCTAGTAAAAATACTTACTGTAAATTATTAATTAAGAAATTTAAAGAGTATTTTTATTGATTTTATAATTTGTAATTATGTATTTATTTTATTAAGTTAGAAAAAAAATTTTAATTTAAAAATGGATAGTTAGCATTTGTTTAATTTTGCTTTACGGAATATTTTTTAAAGGTAAGTTACAACAGTTTTTGTTGTGGAAATTGGTATATACTATACATGGTGCCCACAAAGATATACCCATTTTATTACAATATTGTATAGTAGTGTATATTATCATATCTATTGAAGGCTATTAGGCTTAAGCGCCCCAAAATTAAATTTTTCAGAAGAGTCCAAACATTAATGATGGTACTAATTCTAAATGTACTTACCATAATTTCAGATTCTGAGCATAGCAAGGAATGTTCTATTGCAAAGGTTCCCAAACATTTAATTTCGCGTACTACTTAAATGTATTATGAATCTATCATGTACCACTTGAAACTAAAAATTGAACAATTCATAATGTTTTTACATTTATTTCAAAATTATAAGATAATAAGACAGTAAAATACTCGTATATAATATCAATATAAAATATATTATTCATTAAAAAACATTTCTACATTTGAATATTGATTAATTTATTTTCTGTACTGTTACTGTGGGGCCTTGTATGCACCACCATGTTTCCTACCACATACCATAGTTTGAGTTTGATTAACAATTTTGTTCTACTGTGAAGAGTTTATTAAAAAATGTTTAAATTAAAAAAAATTACTTCAACACCAAAAAAGTAAATTCTATCATTTATGTCAATACCAGAGTCTAATTTATGTGGCATAATGTCATACTCAAAAATGACAAAAGTGTGTTTTGAAGAAATGATCACTTACGCTTAATAGCTTTCTAAAAGTCAATATTATTTTATATAATATATGTATAGATCATTATACTTAATAGGAATTCCACTCAATAGATTGAAACAATAGTAATAAAATACGATAAGCAGACTTGAGTTAGAGTCTTATATAATAGATATGTATAGATCACAGTTAGATAATAAAGTTAATATCATTAATAACTTAATTCTTTTTGGTTTTGCTGTTTTTTATTGTCAGTTCTATGGAATTTGCTTTGTTATTGAGAGTCACTTTGTTTTGATGTATAATTTATTTATCATTATTCATAATAATTTTACTAAGGTAATTTTCCAAACTTAATTAAATTTACTTTTATTACTGATATTGATACAATGATTCAACATTTTGTACATTAAGTATGACTTTTTCTAACACAATATTAAATATTAATGGTGATAGTGTCACCTTGTTTCAGCTTTTCATTCTTATAGTCTGTCATTACTTGATATTTTTCAGAAAGTGTGTTGTTGACTCTTACATTGTAATTTTCATTATTAATATACAATTTTGGTAGAAAGATGAACTTGAGAATCCAAATGTATACATACAATGGTATTCACTATACACTCATCTGCAAAGGGCTGTAATCTTGCTATTAATCCCTTTGAAAATAACAGTGAAATCCCTCCAGGGTTGTTACAATATAACTTGTCCCCATTTTCTGCTGTTGTGAAATGACTATGGTCCTATTTTATTCAAGTAGTTCTTTATCTTTTCATATCTTATGTTCAAATAAACATTAGTATTTTCAAATGTTAACTGTTTGATTATTGTTTATATAAAGTATTATTTTGTAAATAAAATAACATTTCAAATAATAATTTATTTTTCTTCTAATTTTTAGGATCCATCAGAAATACTTGCAGAAGAAGCTCCAAACTTAAAGAACCTCATTAATGTATTACATGAAAATTTGGTGGATGGTGATGAATCAATGTCTGACTAACACAATCATGTCTATGTATATTATACATTATTCTATAATTGTATTAATTCATATTTTAATTTCCAAGCTTTTATGAGCAAACTTTTCTACATCTTCTACTTTAAATGTTACTTTTTTTTAGAAACTCCGAGTATTGAAGGAATACTTAACTTTTAAAATATTTTTGATCTAAAACATTTAAAATTACACCCTAAGTGAAAACACGATTAAATATTTTTGAAGTTTTAGAATTCATAAAATTGTTTTTTGTAAACACGCTTTTATCACTTTCTATATATTATATATGTCAAATAGAAATAAATTTAAAGACAAAAAAATTGTGTTTGACCTTTTCCTTTGTCGTTGGATCTATGATAACAAAATAATTGGCAAATAACTACCACACAGGACATTAAAGCCCAAATAATAATAAAAGAAATTGATTCTAAGGATTTGTGTGTTGGTGTTGAAGGTGTGAAATTAAAAATGTTGAATACATACAGCTATTTAATTTATCAATTGTTAACAAAAAACCATTCTGAAAGAAGTTCCGCTAAACATGTTTTAAGATGCTGTAATTTATATTATTTCCATTATAATTTGAACTTTTAAATCGCAAGGAGGGGAATTATAATAAATAAAACAAATTGTAACTTTGTTTTTTTTTTGTGATGAGGAAATCACTCATGATATTTTGTTATGTATTACAATTTTTAAACCAACTCAACCTCTTTAAGCTCCAGATATGCTACTGAGTTCTGCAGTATTTAAATTATCTGTTAGTTTTGAATGTCTTAGTTGAAAATTGCACCTGTAATAAAGCAGTTCAGTATTTTGATGAATTTCTGCAGTAATTCATCAAATTCATCTGCTCTCAAATCAGTAAAACTTGTATCAGAAATTATGACATTCTGTATACCTTTGATGAGCAGAGCCAGATTGAGGGGTGGCTATGAGGGCTATAACCCAGGGCCCTTAATCAAATGGAACCCTAAACGAATGTTGGAAATTTAATTTATCTACAACTATTTCAATAATATAACTAAAATAATTAAAATTTTAAAAAGTACTGACAGGTGTGTCAATACTGTATATAAGAATTTGAGAAGGCAGGATACATACAGTTATCCATAGTTTAAATCTTTATGAAATGATAAATCATTGCCAAAGAAATATGATTCTGAGCAAATTTCAGTTAAACATGTTTTAAAATGTCATGATTTTTACGATTTTCATAGAAATTTGAACTTAAAACACTCATTAATAAACTACTTAACTACGCTAAACTTTTTTTATCCCTAAGCAAAACTTGTAGATAATAATAAGAAATTTGGGTGAAATGTTCAAGCATTTCTACTTAACAAAAGTAATAATTTTGTATTAAATAATATAATAACAAATCATACAAATAAACTCTATGTCTATCAACAGTATTGACTGTTGAGAATAGATAACGAAAATTTAATTTAGATAAGATACAGATAATTTTATGTAAATTTATCTAGATACAGATAAAGATAATCTACCTTGTATCAAAATAATTTTTGGATGTATGTTTTGAGTTTTTCCAATTAAGAGCTAACGCCAATGGTTGAAACAGTCAATCGTTATTCGTTAATAACATCATTGACTATAAATAGGTACTACTATTCATGAATAAATTTATGATAATATTATGATATTATCACAGATTATATGAAATCCTCAAATATATAATACAACTAGATGGCCGACTTTTCTTATCAAAGAAGTTCTTGTTTACAATTTATTCATTGTCATTTTTAAAAACTGAACAGAAAACATTATAATGTGGGTATGAACCACGGTATAAATTTCTCAAATTTATTAACAAAATTTAATTTATATCCGAGTACTAATCAAAAATATAGGTAATATTGATAATTGATTTTTAATTAACTATAATTTTTAAACAAACTCAAATTTTTTAAAAAAATGTCATGTCATACAAGTAGAAAATATTAATAATATAGTACTTATATACATTTTTGTTTTTGTGATGTTCTGAAAACAATTTTACAAAAGTATCTAAATTTAGGTTCTCAGACATTTTTTTTCTATGTTTATTGAAGCCAAATTATTTAACAATCTTTTGTCATTCGATTCCTCATGTAATTTTTCAGACATGAAAAAGTTCTTTCGCATGCAGCACTGGGTACTAAAATAGTTATAATAATAGCTAATCTATAGGTTTCATTGAATGTAAACTTATACTTTTCAAATAGTTCTATTAGATTCATCAAGTTGTTTATTTTAACAGTATATTAAATTTAATATTTTTTAATTGTTGTTGGTAAAATGTTTAGTTCTGCCTTTAGATCTAGTTTATTAGGTTAGTTTATTAATGTCTATAACAGCGATTCCCAACCTATGAGCCGCAGCCCACTTATGGCCCGTGGTCAAATGTGGTTGGGTTGTTGGGAAAATCGAAAAATGACCTACTCTAAAGTACCTTACCAGTCAAATTTTCTTTTAGAAAAATTGCTATCATTATAAATTGGAGCGAGATTTCTGGTAGAAAAGTTGCGCACAGATAACAAAAAAAAAAAAACATCTTTGTAAAACTATAAGCTTCGCTCCAATCAAAATCTAAAATATATTGTGCATATGTACATTTGAAATTTAATATTTATATAAATATTATAAAATAAATGAATCGTATAGATCACATGACTGACGGCTACCTCATGGCCAAAGATGGCTCCCTTCACGTCCTACATATAGAAGACGTAACACTCATTACTATCAAGCACATACTTTTCGAATGCTCCCAGTACAATGCGAAATGAAACTAAATAGGTATTTGTTTCGGAAACAAATGTCCATCCATTTTTTTTTAAGATTTTTGTCAATTGTAAATCTATAAAGTAGATTATTATTTGTTATGTACATTTAAGAACCAAAAATACTATAACAGTGCAAATATAATGTACTTTTAATATTTTCAATAATAGTGTAATTACTATATTATATTTTTGTTAGTAATATAAATTATCTAGTCCTTAACAAAAATTGCCACTGGTAGCGTTCTTTTCAGCGCTCACTTTTCATGAGCCAGATTAAAGTACAAAAATTGCCAATCACATTCAAGCGCTAGCGGTTAGTTTAAGCATGAAGAAGTTTCATCGAACAACTGATAAGTGCTCGATGCGAATCCTATGAATCTTAATTCGTGGTGTGACCATCTTATCTATAGTCGTGCCCAAAGATATACAATACTGTAATCCGCAGATACATATATATATATATATAATATAATATTATAATTTCCTTAGATATTATATTAATATAATTTATATTTATCTGTGCTATAATCTGTGATAATATCTTAAACCGTGATAACCATTCTATGTATACCTTGGTTATAACTTCAGTGCGTAGGTACCCGTGTGACAACTGACAAGCGCAATGTTTTTACAGTATTGTTTTCCATAACGACCGATTTATTAAATTTGTGTGCTGTTCCGTATTAATGTTTTCGTAGTTGCATTCTGTTTATTTTTTTTCATTTCAACATTTGGAATTATTGTTCTACACTTAGGAGCCAAAAGACGTGATATAAAAAATACCGTTCCTTACTCGTCGCCAATGACACAGATTACTGGGTGAGTGAGTCGTTCATGTATTAATTTTGTTCTCATAGCCACCGGGATAGAAAATTAAAAAACGAATACTGTATTCGGTAATCTATAATCACGGTTCAAGATCAATAGATAGAGGTATCTTCAATCTTGTATAGTGTCTTCTGGAAGCAATACTGTTGATACCTATCGCTGCGTATAGGTATGATACTCTCGGTGGTGGGGTGGCGATAGTGAGTAGGGAAAGAATAATAACAACTGCGGACAAGTTGAACGGATGATAAATAACTATGTTCGGTTGAATGGAATGTGCGTGCGTGGCACAACATTGGCGAACAGAGGCGACGACGTGCGGCCTCGTCGACGAGTATGTCGTACGGATTGGGTCGCGGTCGTACGTTGTTTTTCGGTGGGTATTTTGTGTTGCAGCATTTGTATTGCGTGACGTTGAATTTATCGAGCTTAATTCGGTGACAATTGGCGACTAACCGGGTATGTGCCACGGCGTTGTTTTTAATAATAAATCGTGGCCTTGGCGCCAATGATCGTTCGTGCTCGTTTACGTCGTATTTGACGGCTTTGTTTTTGTTGTTATCGATAAGACTTCATTTAGATTTTGGACCATTTATATCTCCCAACATAACTAGTTACGGGTACCGCCAGTACTTTACTTTGTTTCGGTAAGTGAGTAAGTAGGTAGGTATTCGTTTAAACCTTGTTTGGATTCTGTAATTTTGTCACTCCTCATACATAATGGATATTTAGCTCAATATCATCAATTATCGGGTAGACTTTATCTTCTCGGATGGTTATTCGATTACAATTTGTCACAATCTCGTATCTTTCTTTTATTATTATTCAGATGTTTTCATATGCTTAATTAATATTTATGCTTACAAATTGTAGGTACTTTGTTTTACATTATTTCATTGAAATACAGTATTTTATGGTATAGTTTAGTGCTTTTCATGTTTAATATTGTTATAATTTTATATTTTAGAGTAAACAATACAATCATCATGGGACGTCGTTCCGGGCCTGGTTCTTCTGCCAGAACTCGTGATGCACAACCCTTACCATTAAATATACAACACAATTCATTAACAACAAATGATCGAAGTGGTGTATCACAACATGATGAACTTATTAATTTTGTTGGTGATTGTAAGTATATTCATCTAATATACTCAAATACATTTTAAAATACTACTAGGTACCTACATGTTGTTGCCTAGTATAATACCGTATAATACTTAGGTATGAAAATGTAATACAATTTCATTTTAGTAGAATATATTAAAGTTATGTATACTTCAGTACACTCTGAACTGTACATACACTACAGTATTTGAAATTATAATTTATTTGTTTATACCTATCTACTTCTAATAAATAGTAATTAATATGAATACAAATAATATTTTATTAGTTTTTTTTTTACGTTAGACATAAGTACTTATATACTATATTTTCGGTAAAATATCGCAAAACCAATATATCGCATGGAATAAATATTGCCAATATAAAATATAGCAGTAATTTAATTATAAATTAATAATATTGATTATTGATTGATATTTTATAATAGTTATAAATAATTTTATGTATTTTAAAGTATATAATATTGTTATATTAATATATAGTAGAATTGATAAAAATATGTATAATATAATACAATTGATATAAGTATTGTAAAATGTATATTAATTAATGGAAGTATATATTAAATGAAATACCTTAAAGATAATCTTCAAACTCTCGATTATGATAATCTGCTACTTCTTTCTTTACTCATTCATCCAAACTGACTGTCTTGTTATTTTTATTCGGCGTATTTGAATTTCCTATTATACTTTGACCTAACTTGTCCTTCTGTTAGGTTTTGTTGACATCTCAAATAATTTAATTTATTAATTGAAGTAATTGCATTTGTATTTTATAAAAATAACAGGCAATAATAAAATATAATAATATTTCATAATTAAATAAAAATATGTAATTGAAACTATATACAAAGCTCAAATAAAAATGGACTAAAAACTAAAACATAAAATGTTATAAACTGTAATATTATTTATCTTACCTTGAAGTCAGCATCATATTTTTCTTTTGTAAAAGTATATACATTATGAACTACTAAATTTTTGTATTTTGCAGTTTTTAAAAAATTCAATTCCATTTAAAATAAAAAACCCTAAACTGTAAAAGCATCCGTCACAGTGATAGTACAAAGTATTACTATTTACAAATTATAAAATGAAAAACCAGTATACTTGAATGGATTACTAGGTAAAAGGAATAAGATACAATAAAGTTAAATGTAATATACAGGCGTGATAATGTACGGCGGTATTATTTTTTTACAATATATTGGTTTGGCAATATTTTACTGGTTATATTTTGTCGAGGTACCTTATAGTATACACCTATATTCGTAAATTATTGTTGTGTTCAATACAATATATGCCTAGTAACAAGTAGGTATAGCTAGACAGTGAAATTTAGATTTACTGTGAACTCTTTATACATGAAAGTTATTTTTTTCTGCCTGCATAAATATGTTTATTTTTATAATTTATTACCTAATATTATTTATTAATGTTTGATGGTAATAATTAATTGTTGTAGTACCTATTAATACTTTCATACCATAATAATGATATTGATTATATTTATATTTTACTGAACAACTAACAAACTATGTTGTATGGTTCAGAGTGTTGGAGGGTAGACAGAAATATAGAACAGAATAAGTGTAACAGAAATGAGAATGCTTAGATAAATGAGTGGAGTGAGTAGAGGAGATATGATAAGGAATTAGTACATAAGAGTTAGTTTAGGTGTGTCTTAAATAGTTTGGCCATATTACGAGGAGAGAAAAATCAGAAGTACTAAGAATTGATGGAGAGTATATGCTAGGACAAGGTGGGGATCAAGCTAAGTGAAAGTTTAGAAGTTAAGAAAGTTTAGTGGCCGACTTCAAATAGTTAGGATTAAGGCTAAGGAGGAGAAGAAGAAAAACTTAACAAATTATAAATTCAAAATAAAAGTGTATGTGGTTTACCAAAATAGACAAAATTTTTGTTAATCCTGATACTTGATAAGATGTGTATGATCAGAGTCGTGCCTAAGAGATTTAAAAGTGCCCACTCGCTAAGCGCTATGACTACAGGGGTGCCAATGAAAATTTTTAAAATTTCGTAATTAAACTTTTTTTACAATAAATGTATAGTCTGTCCCAACAAACAGTTTTTAACTTTTTGTGTTTTTGTACATCGGTAAATTTGTCTGGCATCGGGTGCCGATTTTGCTAGGCCCAACACTGTATGACATATATACAATATATCTTTGGGCTTTTATTCATAATTTTTTTCTTTTTGATTGAAATGTTAGCAGTTACCATTTTAACTTGTATAGCAGAAGATCTTGCACGAGATATTAATTATTATTAATTTAAACCAGGTATTTTATTTTTATTTTGCAATGAATACAATGAAAGTAAAAGACTTCTATAGGTATTATACAATATACATGGTACAAATATATATTTATATTATCTTCATCAATTTAGTTTGTAATAATGAATTATGATGTTACCTGTGACGGCAAATTAAATTAACCTGCTAGGATAATGAGTAGGATAAAAATGTGATTTGAGTATACTGTAACTATTCTCTAATTAACTTATGCTATACTCGCATGTGCTATCTCAGTCTTACTAACTGGCATTATAGCAAAATCTACACAGACTGCATAGAACTCATTTAATTTTGGTTTTAGAGTAAAATCACCTATTATAAAATTATAGAGGACAAGACAATGTGTTTTTATTATTATTCTAATTATTTTTTCGGATACATTATTTAGAAATAAATCTAAATCATTGTTTTTAATTGACTGATATATTTTTCAAAATTAATTTTAAAAAAGAAACACATTGTCTTTCCCTCTGGAATATTGTCCTCTTTTAAATTTATAATACATGATTTTACTCTAAAACCAAAACTAAGAGAGTTCTATGCAGTCTATGTAATGTAGATTTTGCTATATTGCCTGTTGGTTGGACTGAGACAGTACATGCAGGTATAGTATTTTCTTAAGAGTACACTGGCACTGGTTTGTGCATACGCGATTGATAGTTGTACATTGCCATATCCCTTAATTAATTGATTGGAAACAATTATTATGCCGTGTATACAGCAAGTGATTATATTTACCCCTAAATAAATCATTACTTGTTATAATCAGTTCAACTCTTGAATAAAGAATTATATAACCAGTACGGTAGTACATTTAATTGAATTTTGATTTTATTATAAATAATGAAATAAATACATTATGATTGTTTACAAATTAAAATAATAAAATGTATAAAAATAATATTATGACTCATATTTGTTTACAATTATGTATTACAGAATTAAACAGCATTTTCAAATTGAATCTGAATTAATGAAGTTTCTTCAGTGATATTCGTAACTATTTTTTCAGTTACAGTGGATAATATGTTCTTCTTTTTAGTGTGGTTTATGAAATTGTTCCATTTTTTCAAACTTGTACGGTTAAAACAAAATGTTATCAATGTTCTGTTCACTACATCTGTATATTATGTGTATCGGCAGGATCATGGTGATAGAACAGGTGGTAGCAGTGGTTGGACTATATGAGTGGTGAGTGAGTGGATGCAGAGGTACTGATAACCGGTAGTGGAAAAGTATGCGCGGACATGATGTGTTTTTTTGTCTGTTACCTGGTGTACTCTCAAGTTAAATAGAGTATAAGATATTCAGGAAAAATATTTCCATAGGTAGGTGACACACTTAACGCTTAATAATAATGACAGTAGATCATAGTACCTATTATTGCCAGACATATTTTTATAATAAATTTAAAATCTCAATTCTAAAATATTTTAAATTTAAGGATAGGTTTTAATATAAACTTGTTTAATAATATTTTTCATAGTTATACCTAACAGTTACTTAATAGTTAGATAATTAACATTGTTGTTCAAATCAAATCATTTAAACTAATTTTGTTTTAGCATGGAATGTAATATTTCAAGAATATCAAAATGGATCCCAAGGAAATAATGGTAAATGTTTTATGATTATTTAAATTAATTGTGTTCAGGGTATATGTATATTATTGTTTAATACATATTTATTATTACTATGACTTCTATGATAGAATAGAGATAGTATACATGTTTTTTAGAGCTTGTGTAATAATATAATTTTATTGAAATTAAACTTTAATTAAACATTAAACATGTTAAATAATTATACAGCCAAACTTGGTTATCACGAAGTTGAAGGGACCAGAAAAAAGGTTGAGTTATTCAAATTAAAAAAAATTGTGTATGGTCATGTTGAAATGTAATGGAGCACTGAATATTGAAGTGTATATGAATGTTAGTAGATTATGAATCGTTGTGTAGTAAACCAGTTACTACTTATTAGTAACGATAATACTAATGACCTTATTTTCAATATTAAATGTACATACACGAGGGAAATACATATCATAATTTTGAAACTATAAAATCGAAACTTTGAGTTATTCACGAAAATATTCGAGTTTTTTTGGTAATTGATGCAATTAACTCGGTTGAGCTTTTTTTTTTATATGCACAGGATATAAACTAATTGCATTACTCAATAAATGACAAAAATAGAATTCATTGAAAAAATAATCAAGTATAAGAGAGAAAACATTTTTATAAAGTGGATCAAAACTAGAATTTTGAAAATGTCAGAAATATAACTGATACTTGTGGTTGATCAGCAAGTATTTGCTTTGGAATGTGTATTTTGTTAAAAACTGTTAAGATAGAGCTTATCCGAGTACCGAGCTTATAAAGAATAGAGCTTCTGATGTGGGTGTTAATGAGAATTAGGGTTTTGAGACCATATGTTAGTTTGATAAACTCTAAGAAGTGTGTGTGCAATAACACAAGATTTTGGTATTAGATTAGATATGTATCAGGGGTTGGCTGTGAACTCTTACTCATTTTCTGTTGTAATGGATGAAGTTATGAAGGAAATATAAGACGAGATACAATGTTGCATATGATATAATTTTGATAAGAGATTTGGAAAAAGTTGATAATAGGCTTAAAACATGAAAAGTAGCTCTTAAAGGAAAGCGATTAAGGGTTTTTTTATTAGCTTTTAGTAACATTATAACTGCTCAACGATTATAATTTAGGACTGAAGTTAAATAGAAGTAAATCCGAGTATGTCTTGTTTTTAATGGCAATTAGCAGTAACATAATATGTAAGGTTTAGAGTTAGATAGAGTTTTTTAAGTACCTAGGATTTTTTATACAATAGAACAGTGATTTCGACAAAGATTAAAAACAGGATTAAGTGTGATTAGATAAAATGGAAAAAATTGTCAGATATTTTATATGACAAGATAATTCCAATGAAACTTAAAGATAAGTTCTTTAAGACTGATGAGACCCATTATATTGTATGATAGACAGGAAATAGAGAAAGTATGTAGCAGAGATGAGAATAGTTGGGTAGATAAGTAGAGTAACAAGAGAAGATAGGATAAGAATACATAAAAGGTAGCTTAAGTATGGTTTTGATAGTGGATAAAATGAGAGAAATTAGATTAAGATGGTTTGGGTATGTCATGATGAGAGAGAAATCAGAAACAACAAGAAATGTATTAAAAATGTAGGAGAAAAGACAGAATTAGGAAAACCAAAAAAAGAAATGATTGGATGCGATTGATAATATATGAGGCCGACAAAGGATGTATACGAGGGCAATATGGGGAATTGGGTCAAGTGTAAGTTTGGGACGAGGTTGGTCAACCTCTACCACAAATAGTTAGGATGAGGGTAAAGAAGAAGACATTGGAATCTGTATAGGTTATAATGATCTTATAATTCTTTTAATATTTATTGAAGTTTTCTAAAAAAATATAAAATTATTTGGTAGAAATGTAGGACAACGTGAAAGAAGAAGGATAGATAAATCTTTCGATTTATCGCTGAATACAATAAAAATAACTTTGTGTAGTCGAGTAAATGTATATAAAATCAAAATATGTATCTGAAGGTTATGGAAGAATAGCTTAGTTATAATATATAGACATGTATTTAAAACATTTGTAAATTTAAGTAATTTAATTATCTTTTCTTAATTAATTAATTTTATTAATTAAGTTTTTTTTTTAGGTCGTTTTCATATACAATTCTACGATGAAGGACATAGTGAAAAACTAAAAGGTATTAAATTTTTGTATACTACTAGATCCCCTGGTGTCCGGTTATTTATTTACACCAATTCCAAATTTTTTATTGAGCAAGAAAAGGAATTAATTAAATTACCTTAGTGCAATATCTACCCTTTCCTCTTCGTGATACAATTTATTATTAGGGCGAAAATCAGAACAATTAAACCATGCAAACCATTAGTTTTACAAATATGTATTTAAATGAAATCATTATATTAATTTAGGTTAAATTATCAAAAAAAGGAATAATAATATTAATTTACTTATCTCCCTTTTACTACCACCTCTTCTCATTCACCATCATTCATCCCTATTATTTTATTAGTAAAAAAAGAAAAGAAAGGAAACTTGACTGAACCAAATTAAATAATATTTTTTATCTGTGTAACCAAGAGAATCCAAAAAAAAAAAAATTAATTAATTTTGCGTCTTTATATAATAGCTAGTAGTATAGATAGTTTATTTTAGAATATACTTATTATAATATAACTGATTATATTTGTTTACAGTATTTACACATACCTAATTAAAATCTTAAATTTTGCCATATTTATAATTTGTGTGTGTTAGCTGTTATTATAAACAGTTTGACTGGTTTTTGTGTATTGTATGAGAATGCCACATCGGTATTTGTTGTTTTTGTCTATTCAATAAACAATGTAGCATTAACTTGTTTTTGTACTTTCAGTTCAATTAGTTTTTATGATAAGTTTGTCATAGAAATGTTATTTTAGTGCCGAAATAAACAAGAAATTATACTAAATTTTAAACCAGTAGAATCATTTAGAATTTATTTAAGTACAATTTATCTTGTTTATTTTGGTTCTGAAATCAAGTATATCTGACTAACAAGGTATGACTATTATTTAAAGAATAAAAGTATGTTTTTGCTACATTTCCTATTATAAAAAAGAATGGCAAATACTACTATTGCGTCTCATTAACTTTTTTTGTATTTATTTCAGGATTTAAGCCCTTTGATTTAGAAGCTTGGTGGGGTAAACAAACTATCCAACGATATCAACAACGTTCCTAACAATATAACTGTTATTTGTAATGTATTATTCAATTCAATATTTTCTCCCAATTATGTAATAAACAAAAGGTTTATGTTTTATTAATATTATCCACCTCAAATAGGAATATAATAATAATAATCTATGACTTGCCATAATATTTTTATAATTAAAAATTGTATTTATGATTGGCGGAAAAAAATATTAATAATCAAGTATTATTTAATTTAAAATATATATTTTTTTTTTATTTAATTTATTATAATATCATGTACATACATTTTCATTTAGCTAAATAGAGATTGATTAAATAAAAATATTCTCATAAATAAATATAACATTCCGAGTAATAGGATATTTCAGAATAGGTTTTATGATTGTTAAGTTTCTTATATAGTTTAAATTGCATACAATTTATTCATATTCAATTAATCTATTACCTATTTTTTAATGAAAATTGTATTTTTTCATATTTTGACTAAAAAAAAACCTAATTATTGCAATAAATTTGTTGGAATTTCTTCACATTCTTATTTGTGTTGAACTATATTTATGTAGTTAATTTATTATTGTATTATTCATTAAGTAAATGTACCTGTAATAACAAAGTTATATTTATATATTTTATACATAAAATAGTATTAAAATATAGTTTACTTATATACAACATTTTTTCTTAAAATAAAACAGATAGTACATTAAGATTTATAATTTTTTTCCTTTTTTTTTTTTAAATATAATATTTTTTACTGACATATCAATTTGTTGTTTTTATTTAAATATTTATTATATAATATGGTATTATATGTCGTTTCTTGAAATTTTTACTATTTATTAGCTTTTTTACTTTAATAAAATTTAATAGAACAAATCGTAGGTGTAATTAGAAATAAAATTACAGGGCAGCAAGCATCTTAAATATTTTTCATACAGTTTTAGTCTAATAAAATGAGAGACCAGTTGGTAGGTTATTGATAAGTCTTAATTCCTGTTCATCAGATTTAGGTAGACATATTTAAGGATGTTGTAGGTATTAAATAATTAGTTGTGCGATTTGTTTGTACAACCAAATTCAATATAGCCAATAGTATAACTTATTAAATTAGTGTCATACTATAAATAAAAGCAGGAACATTTTATTTTTTATTTACAAATTACTCAGGCTAGCATAGCTATTAATTTGGAACACCAACAAAAATATCTATGTAGCAGTTGCTATCTTGTATTGATACCTATTAGTATAACACAATCATTTTTTACCAAATGGATTATTATCACTTGAATATTGTTTTTAATAATTAATATTGACTGCAAATGTAGGTATTATGCAAATATTTAGACAGAGTAGAAATATTACAAAATACGCAATAACTGGTTCGAAAAAAAAAGTACTCAAATCTTCTTATTCGCCTTCTTCTAGAAGAAATTGAGTAGAATTTTAAAAATCCACAAAAGTGGCACAATCTTCGATGAGAACAGTTAGGTAATAGAAAATGATAAGTATCCGATTAATGATAACAGTCTGATATAAACACAATGTATATACCTAGGATACCTAGGATAATTACATACTTAGGACATATAGGTATATTTGACACTTACATTATATTTTATTTTGTGTGACGATATTGTTTTAAATTAATAACAATAATAGGTACTTACATTATATAATTTGTATAGGTAATATTAATGTAAGTAACATTAATATTTTGTATTTCTAAATGAGAGTAAAGAAATATTGCATAATTTAATTCTTCAGTAATTAGTAAATAATAATAAATAAAGAAGTAGAAATTTATTTATTATTTATGCAGGAAAGATTTATAAAGATTTAAGTTAAAGAATATTGCTATTATAATTTTACCACATAAAAGTAAAATCGCCAACATAAGTATTCTGTGAAAACTACGGGTCTCTATTAATTTTTATTTTATCCGTGTTTGAACATTAATTTGTAATTAAATAAATTCTACTGCTGGAGGCTGTTTATTTGGGGAAATCAATAAAATGTCAGTCAATGAAACCAATATACTTTCTATTATAACTAGGGTAAATACAACAACAAACTATTGGTTTTGATGATCATTCTTGTGCCTATGAAATAAACTATAATTTTAATTAAAAAATTAGGAAAATGATTTTATATATGAATAATCTATTTGATTCAACATTTGTAAAAAAAAAAGTATTGATTTGCAAATTAAAAAATTCAATTTGCAATTAATTTGCAAATCAATACTTTTTGAATCAATTGTACAAAGTCGGGGTCTATGTAAAGTTGGACCCCAAAATGATTTTAGATAATTTGAATGATAAAATTAAATTCTAAAAATCAATTTGCAAATACTGGCATACTTTTCAAATCATAATTTTTTTTATTTGTGAACCACTTTTCTAACAGAAATTTTGCTTGGTGCTCCGATTTTCAATTATAACATATTTTTCTGACAGTAAATCTGACTGGGGTAATACTTTAGGGAGATTGTTTTTTGATTTTTCCCAGGCGTTTTTCCAATAAATATGAACAAACATGGGAAAACTGGGACAATAGGTACAATATTAAACATATATTATTAAAGAAAATATATAATGCATATGTAACTACTTTACCACAATAATTTTATCACAAGCCAAACCGTTTAGATGTACCTCAGAAATAGTGTACGGGTGTCATATAGGGGGGCTCGGTGACAGCAGCCCCGAGTCTAATCTAATCAAGTCTAAGAAAAGAATAACAAAAGAAACATCTTAGTAAAACCAATACATTCTTTGCTACATTAAGAATCTAGAGTAAAATATTTTTTTAAATTTTTCTATTATTTTAAAAACCAGAATAAATCTTACAAATCCGAAACCAGATTTGGAATTAGCAGCAAATTTTCTTTCAAAATTGACTATCAAATTGGTGACTGTAAATGTCTTGTGTTTGTTCTTACCTTGATCACTAATATCAATGCCAGATTCGAATGCAATGTCAGAATGTATTTTCTGTGATCAAAACAGATTATTGCTGAATTAATCGTAAAAATAAATTTTGAAGAGACCTGCAATTATTTTAAAACATTTTTGAATAGACCCGCTTTAAAATAAAGTGGGACGTCCAATAACCAGATTATTTACAATTTTAAAAAACTGTGTCCCACGAACTAAAAAAAAAGAAGGTAAGACAATGACGATAGGTGCAGCCACTAGTATAGGTGGGAAGTTGGGAAGGTAGGATAAAGACGGGAATTTAATATATATCTGTAAGCAACGATAAACCATTGCTAATGAAAAAACGATTTTGAGCAGAGTTCAGTTGATAGAGATGTTTTGTCAACAATGTACATATCATTGTGTAGTAAAATAATGACCTAAATAGGCTTTATATATTTTCTGTAATAAAATTTATTAATGTTGTACCAATTTTCCTACGTTTATTCCGGTTTTCCAATGTTTTATAATGCCTGTTTTTCACATTTGCCGGGAAAATTCTTGAGAAAATAAAAAAAATGACCTCTCGAAAGTACCTTAATAGTAAAATTTCCGTTTAGAAACATTGCTATCGTTAGACGTTGAAACAAAATTGCTTGTAGAAAAGTTGATCACAGATAACAAAAAATAAATAAAAATAAACATCTTTGTAAAACCATAAGCTTCTTCGCTCCACTCGGAATCTAAAATATACCAACCCTATTCTACTTAATACCCACTTAATAATACCTAGGTACAAGTATGTAATTTTAATAATATCATAGGGTACTGAATACCTATGATGAAAAAAAACAAATTTGGTTAGATTAAATGCATTCATATTACCTTGTTTTTCATATTATGTTTATCGTAGGTATTTGCGAACACTGATAGTAACACGAAAACACTTCATAATTATATACAATTTTCGTTAATTAATGTCATTATACCGTGATTACCGATTCGAATAATTAAATATGATGTTAATTTTAATTGTTTTATAATCTTGTTGGTTATTAACTTCGTAACATATTTTGCATAATATATAGGTACTCGAGTTAAACCCGTACTCGCAAGGAAAAAACAAAACGGTAATTACCTAGGTAATGCAAATAATTTATAAATAATCCCAACAATTATTATCGTATGATTATCATTATTAAGGTTAGCATACCTACCTATTTATTAGCTTTGGAAATGAGAAGTCGTTAAGCGTTAAGCCAACTTAGGTACATAGGTATATAGATAATAATATTTGGTTAAAAGTTCATTGATTGAAGCAGTTCAATCTTCTCTCGATATTGATATTACATGAAGGTACCTAATTACCAACACCTTCATATTAGGTATCTATGCTTTATAATAATAGCATTAGTTTCCATTTTCCATCCATTTAGTACACTAAATATGTATAATAATCATAATAGGTAGGTAATTTTAAAATCAAAACCATCCAATTTTCTATGATTACCTATTTAAATTGGTTTTACTTGTATAGCCGTTACTCATTAGGTATACGGTATACTTGATATAAATATCATTAGGCAATAGCGTGTCCAGACATTTTTAATGGGAGGGGATGTCTGTATGTAGGTAATAAATAATAAAATCATGAATACATCGTACAACTTCTATAGGTACTATTCAAATCCGCTAATAGGAATTCAAAAATCGATTCTTTTTCAATAAATCAAACTTTTCCTTGTAACTTGGCTGCAATATATAATTTTAAGATAAAATTACTAAATAAATACCTACTTAATACTCAATAAAAACCGAATTTTTTTTCCTCGATTAATCGTTTTTATTTTAAATACAATTACGAAAATCAAAAAATGACCTATGTACTTACCTAGAAGATAAAATTGAATTTCAGAAAAGGTGCTACACTTATACATAGGAGCAAGTTTTCTAGGAAAAGTGGTCTACAGTGTAAAAAAAAAATAAAGTACCATTGAAAAAAATTTAAAAAAAGAAAAAAAGTCGTCTTATAATTTTGAAAATTTTACCACGTCTAGGTAAGTCCAATATAAGCAATATTATTAAGTTTCAAGTTTTTACATGTATTTATAACCGAATTACAGCAAAAACTCCCAAAAATTAAAATTCCTTAAAAGCTCAAAAATGGCACAAAAGTTTTAGCAATGATATCGTAAGAGAGTAAAAAGGCAACAAAATAGATTTTTCTGGTAAAAAACATCGTCCGTGTTTTTATAAAATAATGAAATGTGAAATTATACGTTTTCATACAATTTGAGTTTTTGGAAAAAGTGCTATACGTCAAAATCGGAGCATGTTTACTAGCAAAAAACATATCCACAGACTAGAACAAAAAAACAAAAATAAAAAATAAACAGCATTGTAAAACCAAAAGCTTCATCGCTACACTCAGAATCCAAAATCCAAATGCCGTACAATTTGCTGTATTTCCTACGTTTTTCGAGGTTTTTTGTAATTATTAGGAAAACTATATAAAATATTACACAACGACTTTCTTCCTTATGAAATTTCTGAAAATATGCTATTCTTGAAAATTGGACAAAGTTTTCTGGTAGAAAAATACCTGAATCATTTAAATTCATGATATCGTGAAAAAAATTGTATTTTTCGTCTTTTTGGTTTTTATTATGAAAACCACTTTAGATATTAAAAAAACATTTTCTTTGTCAATGGTTATATATTAAAAATAATAAAATCGATAAATTATCATTTTTTGATTGGAGCAATATTTCTTGTAGAAAACATAGTTTGCAAAAATTAAAAACAATGGAATTTTCAGGTTTTTCCTAATTTGTATGGGAAT